TTCATGGCTATGAGGGTGTTCCTGCTACCTGACCTCTCCATCCACTAAGAACGCATTAAATCGATTCCAGCCAGCTTCCTGCACTGACAGTCAGCTCACCTCGCCTCCCTGATCACCATGGTGATTACACACCTCTGTGACTTCGGCCACCCAGACCCCACCCCAGTCCCAGATAACAGATTATGGGCTAAATTGATCTGTAGCATCACATAGAATTCCCCCTGGTCATTCAAGCATTTTTTTTATCTTCTACTTGCCCTTCATCAATCTATCTATATCCAATTCTACCTGTCAATTAACTTCCCCAGGGCTATTCATTCTCATTTCAAATGGCTGTTTGTTTGTTTGCCTGGAATCAAATACTTTACTTGTTTTACATGCAATTTAATGTACCTGAAATAAATCAAAATAGGGGTCACTGAACACTCTAAACAAGTCACCCAAAACACACACTTCAAGTGTATAAAGGGCGTGGCTGTGTACATGCATGCAAGGTTGAAAGAAAAAAGGAAGCAAGAAAAGAAACAAAGGAAAAGTAATAAGGACACAAGGTTCAACAAACCCAAACAACCTCAGGTAACCAGTCACTGACAAACTTACATTTAAGCGTATTGAAGGCTAGTCCATAAGCAGTACGTTGCATCTCCTCATCTTTGACGTCCGGTAATGGGATTCCACTCTCTTTGCCATAATTCACCAACCTGTGGGCAGCAGGCTTTTCCAGATGGTTATTCTGAAAGATGATTGATGCCAGCAGGTAGACTCTGTCTGGGAAGCCCAGCTGACCTTGGCCAGTGGTCTGGAGCTCTGGAGGAGCAGCAGGGATGTCACTGTCGGCTGGGTCATCCAGAGGAGTCAGATCTTTGCTGCTTGCAATCTGGGAGTCAGCTATTTTTAATGTGGAAGAGCGACTGTTTTTATTTCTAACCATCTTCTCAGTGATGTGTTTCCTCTTTGACACCTGACAACATGCCAAAATAAATCGTTACTTTAAGGAGTTAAATAATGCACAAACCACTCATACACAAGTTAGACACTGAGATAAATTTGGGATTTGGGGCAGTATAAAGAAAATCGACTTTTAGACATTATTAAATAAGTTACTTGTGAATAAATGTCCACAGTCTAGCCATAAACGTCACTGCAAAATGTGTGCAGCCAATCAATTACACTCAAAGCTAACGTTTATAACCATGGTGAAAATGGTGTGATTCAAATATCTATGACTTAACCTTGCATTGTTTCATTTAAGGTTAGCTAGCCAGGGTGAACATTTGGCCAAAAGTAATGCTTTTCGAAGATAATGTGGCCTAATTATTTATTTAAAAATGTAACTGGCTGTAAGTATTAAGTAAGGCACATAACAGTAAACTAATTGAATATTCTGTTTTGAAACAAGTGAGGAAATGTTAGCTAATGGCTACTATGATGGTTACGTTTTCGGAATGATTCGTTAAAAACCTAGGCAATGATTTAACCAAGCTAACGTTACTGTTTGTTAACAGCGGTAAACTAAATATTTCGTGTAATTCACCTTACCTTACGAGAGGAGTGTCCCGCTTTCGCTCCCAAAAACACTTCACTCGTATCCGGGAGTTTTCATGTTTATTTACCGGTGCAAGTATGTAACGCTAGTTTTAACGGTAGTTGCCACTGTTGGTCGTTCTGGTGACTCCTTGACTCGAGGCAAATAAATTCCCCACTATAAATCTGGGTCCGTTATGAGGCAATGGGCGTCTCCGCAGATGTTTACAACACCCCCCACTCCAACCCTTGAATCTCCTCTGTTATTTATAAAACTGCTTTTAAGTTTTAACACACCCAGTGTTGTGCCTCCACTTAAAAACAAACTTCCTAAATGTCTGTATAGCACTTTTTGGATTAGCGTGCTTCCATCACCATGGCAACCGCATGCCAATTTCAAGGTCCTGTTCTTCACGGATCAAGAATTAATCTCTTTAGCGCTGGATGTCCTCTGTCTATCTGGAACATTGTGTGCTTGTTAAAGTTTTACAGAGCAATATGTCAAACGAAAGCTAATGACAGCACTGGTGGACAGCCATAGATAAACCTAAATCATTTGCAGATGGCGTGCACCTGCTGTTTCAGAACGAGGGTCCATGAAGAAGGTTTCATGCAAACGCAGGGGCGAAGCTAAGGTCTGGGGAACCTCCATTTTCCTCTGCTCCTTGCACTACGATTATTCCATCTGAGACAATCATCTAAATTACTATATGTCTGTATAAAACTTCAACTTACACACATTGCACCATACACATAAGCAGACCTTTTTTTGAAGCCTATATTGAGAAAAATTGTACCTCTGAGACTTCCATTATGTTCTCAATAACACTAATGTTACACAATTTGATAAAGATTCACTTGTATAATGTGTCATTTGTTTTCAGTCTTGCACATTTCAACCAAAATCTATTTCAAATGTAACGTGAGATAAAAGGTTTTCTGTGTCCAGACACTTCAAATTCCTTTCCATAAGGTCAGTCAGTGACACTAAACAATAGTGCAATGAAGGCAATATGGCATTGTTTTGATTTTTTTTTTTTAATTACTTTCAAAGCCTTTTATTTAAATCTCTTCTTTAAAGTAAAATAGACAATAATGTGAAAGTATGAAATACTCAGTAACAGTGTAAAACTAGTCCATTATAAGTAAAAGTGTGCATGTTAATGTTGCAGCTGGCTGAGGCGGAGCTGATTTTAGCTGCTATATCTTCTGTTGGGTAGTTTAAGATGATTGTATGTCTTCTATGAAAAATCTTAAGCTGCAAAGAAACTAGGAACAACAGCTGTCAGATAAAAGTGATTTAGTAAAAAAGTACCATATTTCCCTTTAAAATGTTGTGGACTACAAATATAAATGAGTATAAAATGGAAACATCCATGTAAAGTGCCTCCAAATTGTGCTCAAGGGTGGTAATTGTGTAAAAAAAAAACCTAGTTCCTTTCCACCACTAGTCAGTCATTGGTGAATTCATTGTATCATCACAGTGATTTTCCCCTTCTGTGTGTAAATTTAAATGACGACAGATAATACTTTTCCAAGTGAAATTTTGTAAAGCACTTGGTAATTTTCCCAGCAGTCTTTCCCTCAGAGCCTGAGGGAAAGACCAAATTACACGGTTTGTACTTCTCCTGGTCTCCCATGGTGATTACGGCCTGCTGTGGCCCCTGCAGCTCACTGAGCACTAATGCAACACAATGCAGTCGGCTCCTTTCAGACAGCAAATATAAGATATTCTCATTTACATCAGAAGCATCGTGCCTCAGCATGACAAACACTGAGGAGGATAAAAAACAATGACTCCTCTGCCTATTTTATTTCTGCTCAACATGGTCCATGTTGGAGAGACTCAATAGAACAATCAACAGACATAATGCCTGCTGCCCCAGCATTTTTAGAAACTCCCTTCATCAATAGTCTCCGTTTAATCATGGAATTGCAGCATGAAACAGTCTCTTACAATACTTTAACCTGGAGAACTAATAAACAACCCACAAATCTTTTTTTTTTCTCCTCTCAGTGGTGAAATTTTGTGAGTGGATTGCTGTGGATGATGAAAAGACAGCAGGAATAACTCTGAGGTGCAAATCCTGTGCACTTGTGTTGCCACATGCAGCTTCAAACAGTTACGCTTAGGGGCATGCACCACCAGATTGTGGGAAAGCAACGCCCTCTACTGTAAGATTAAGGTATTGTGGTGGAAAATCTGGGAGAGAAATTTCTTTAAAAATCTTGTTTTCTTGGGCATCACTCCGACTCTTCTGTTTATCTACTGTACGGGGGTCATTCTGAAAGAGGTTTAGGAAAAAGAAGGGAAACACAATCTATCTTATATACAGTTAGTTTGATGTCTGTTTGATGATGTTTGATGTTTAAAAAAGCAACATATGTTTTGTAAAAAGCACAATATTTCCTCTGAAATTTAGTGGAGTTGAATTATTAAATTGAACAAAAATGGAAATACTTAGGTGAAACACATGTGCCTCAAACTGTACTTGTATTGCACTTGAATTAATGTAGTTTACCTTCCACTTCTGGTATCAACATTATTAGGTTTTCCTTCCTTCCTTATTGTTCTTTATTCCTCCCACCCCCCACACACACACACATACACACACACACACACACACACACACACACACACACACAAACACATTCACTTGACTTTCCAAGTTCAAAGTATAGGGGTTTTTGGAAAGGGTGGGCGTCAGAGTGTGCACGTTGTGTTACATAATTGATGCTCCATATTACCTTACATCCTCACTGCCTTGGCTGCGCTACAAACAAAGCTTGCTCATTAACTATTCACTGGATGATTTTGAACAGAAAATGATTCTGTGGATCGGGAGTGTGCACCTTGTGTCTGTCAGCCCCAGGCATCTGATTTCACAGTGGTGAATAAGACATGTGCTGTCTCTACTGGTCATATTTTAACTTGACAGCAGATCACCTTACGTGTATTCAATGGTCAGATGATGAAGTACCTTTACATCAAAGCCAGGGATTGATGGGGAGAAGGTAACAAGCTGTAGCTTTATAACATGCTGTCAATGGAGATACTACAGATTGTATAAGTAGCAAAGTAGGCAGAATGGATGGTCTAACAATAACACAGAAAACTGAAAACCCAGAAAAAAGTTATTGGCATTGATATTTTGTTATAGTCTGGTGCAAAGAATGTAATGATGCTACGTGTAGGACACAAAATTACTCTATATTTAAGAAATCTTGGGTTTTAATGTTTTGTTAATGTTAAGGAATACAGCCTGTGCTGTATGTACCTGGGGAAAAACAATGAATGCAATTGAAGTATATTATGTTTATTTTTATATAATTGTAATCTATACTGCTATTATTAATAAAGGAATTTTCAACATACAAACTTGTATATATATAAAAAAATATATATAGTCCCTCCACCTTATTTCTGATTACATAGTAAAATATTAAAAAAAAAAATCTATTGTGTCACTGCTTGGTCACGGTTTCTTGCCAATGATGAGGATGCTCATGAGGAAAACCATGATGAAGAAGATCCACATGAAGAATCTGTCCATCACCTTAGCAATCTTCTTCCACTCTGCCCCCTTGGCGCATGTGGCCCTCTGCTCTCGGAAACAGTTGGCGATATACTCAACATTGCGCACCAGCTTGGTGTCCACACCAGGGATGCCACTGCCGTGGCTACAGAGCACACACGGGCCAAAGGTTACAGTGGGGCCTTGAGGTAGAGGCTTTTTGTCTTCGGGGCAGCAGGGGACCTTCTGGTCTTCTTTACAGCAGTCACCTGTGTGGATTTTACCATTAGAGCCTTCATACTTTCCAGGTGCAAAGCTGGAGAGATGGCTCCTCTCTTCTCTAATGATGTGGTGCTGGACTTTCACTCTGGGATGTTGTTGCGGTTTTGGGGTCTGGGGCCTGGGGTATTTGTGATTCTGCCGCTCCTCTCGGCTACCGTGGCTCCCTGGTTTTCCATTCGCATGAATGTGGGAACTGAGGTGCTGGTGACGGATTTCATCCTGAGGGGGGCGAGGAGACGAAGAGGAGGAAGAGGAGGAGGCAGAGGCACAGTTCTCACCTACCTCATAAACAAAGAAAATCTTGGACATGTAGTCAATGATGAGGACTTTTGCCCAGTGGGGGACTGGTTTGGCCTCTGCACCACAGAAGTGGATGTTCATGATGAAGATGGTGAGAGCTGTGGAGGCTGTGACCATGGTCATAGTGGCAATATAGTACTTCCCTGGCAGGCGGAGAAAAGAGACAGGAGGGAAGTTATCTGTCAGGACTCTTAAAAAGATACTTAAGATACTTCATTACCTATGTTATAATTTGTTAGTGTTTGTCTTTTGTTGTTATTGGAACTGTGGAATCAGCATGTTAATGTCACAGTGACATTGCTGATGTTTTGCAGGTTCAACATCAGCTCACATTCTTACCTATAAGCGGGACACTCTCTGATGGAGGCATGCTCTCAGCCACCATTAGTTGAAACACAGTGAGAGCCAGAAGAACGGTCACTCCGAGGGAAACCTTCTCCCCAGAGTCAGCAGGCAGGTAGAACCCCAGAGGAGCCAAGAAGGAGATGAGAAAGCAGGGGAGGAGGAGGTTGAAGATGTAGAAGGAGGAGCGGCGCTGCAGGAGCACGGTGTATGTGATGTCTGGATATGGATCAGAGCAACAGCCATACATGATGACATTCTTGGTGGCCGGCATCCCGTGGCATTCCCATTCCACATTTTCTACAAAGTCTGAGAGGTCACCGCTGTCCCTGCCCATAATGATGTCTACCTGGAATTAGGATAAGTGATGAGTAGGTGTAAAGGAGGCACATAAAATCAGCTCAACCCACTGACATTTTCCGAGAAAAGACAAATTCAGCAAATGGATATAATGCTCTATACAATGAGTCTCAAGGCAAAAGTATATGCGTCTGATCTTTTATTCAAGCTGGCAATTCTCAGTTAGCCCCTGATCTAACACGTAGGTCATGGCCTCACAACCCAGACCTGAGTGAGTCTGGAGTCATTTAACAAACTGACCTGAAGTGATCATCATTCTGAAAAGGCGGATGAACCGAAATGAGGAGAGTCTATCCTCCACCACATCCCCCGGTAAGTGTGAGTGAGTTTGGTTGCACGTGTGTGTGTGTTTCTCCATACCTGGTGACCATTGTAGGTCCAGGAACCAAACGTTAAATTGCATTCCTGGCTATCAAAGGGGAAGTAGGAGACATCCACCACACAAGAGCTCTTGGTGATGGCAGGAGCATCCCAGGTTATCTCTCCATTGTAGCGCAGTCTTACGTTGGTGTCCATCGGCCCAGAAAAGTCGTCGTCAGCTCTGTAGGAGGAGAGAAAGTAGAGACACACTCACAAAATTTCATGTCGCATTGTGTCTTTTAGTGAGCTGCAGGATCATCTTCAGTTAGAGTAGTCAGCATGGGACCTAGAAGTTATCAGCTAAAAGCCAGAATTGACTTACTAGTGTTTGTATCAATGGATAATGTATACTATATGTATGTATACAAACCAATACAACAGCGCTGCCATAAAAACAACCTTTATGAAAGTTCTAATCAGCCTTAAAAAATGATCATGGAGTTGACTCAACCCCTCTGTGATACACTGTCAACAAAAAGTTGACATTATAAAAATCATGTAGGTAGGATTGTTGTAGGGCTACTGAATAACACTCTACAAACATCCCTAATAAACTGGCGGTTCAGTGTGTGTCAATATACAATGTTCTTTTATTGTATATTATGCAATTATGACCACTTTATCATGCATGTTTTATGACATAATACCCAAAATATACTATATACTCAACTACAAAACATAAACATATAGTGTCTTTATTATTGTATGATAGCTATATGACAGGGGCTGTGAACATGTGGGGCAAGTTTTGCAAGTATGCTTATAAACAAAGTATATAAATGCACCATATATAGAATTATAAAAGATGTTTGAGCTGATTATTTTCATTTCATTTTAACCCTTTACTTTGTTTAAATATATTGAAATTGTTGACAGAAGAACCTTTTAACTCCGTAGGGTTAGTGTTATATAATATAACAGATTATTATTACAAAAGTATAATTCTAATCTTACAAATAGTGAGATTATTAGTGAAGTGCCCTCAAGAAATGTTAGACTGTGTAAGTGGTTTGCTCCCAAGAGTGAATGTATGTATGTGCATAATCCTGCCTCTTGGTGGAATTAGTTTTTAATTTTTTTTTATGATGATAGTGCAAAAACCCAACCTATTATAGTTCAATGAGAGTTTGAGAACAATTGAGACATTGGGCCCATAGAGGACCATCATGACGGTGTGTGTGTGTCTGTGTGTGTGTGTTTGTGTTTGTGTGACGTACGGGCGTACTTGTTATAGAGGACGAGGTCAGGCCTCCACACCAGGCTGCTGGGAATGTGGATGACATCCAAGCCGTCATAGTCCTCTTTATTCCACCTCAGGTAAGCATCATACCACGTCTGCCTAATCCAAAGGTAGGCGATTAGCACCTGGTTCCTCTCATCCTTTACACATGCACACACGCACACACACACACACACACACACACACACACAGTTACAATCACACAAATAAGAAAAAGCATTTGCAAGTGCACTCATACAAACACACACCTACCTACAGACAATGGATACATACTAAAAGAAGCTTAAAGAGACATCATCTTGATCTCCTTCTCATTTCTCTGTTTCTCATTAACTCTCTATGAGCATTACGCCGACAGATACGCCTCAGATTATCGCAACAGCTGAAATCCAGACCTGTCTGTCAATATCAGGTGGATGAGCAGAGTGAGTGGAGGATGAGGGTGATTGGTGGGGGTGGTTTTGGTATCACTGCCAGAGCTTCACTGAAGCACCGAACCGAAGAAAACATAACCACTTTGGGTAATAGGACACCCCAACACACACACACACACACACACACACACAAACATTTCTTGTCTGGCCACTCACTCCTGTCATCTCAAACATGACAGACTGACATCAACAGACAAGGTGGTATACCACAGAGACGTTACATTCAGTAGGAAAGCTGCATGGCTTTCTCTCTCTTTGGCTACACAAAGCCAAACACACAGGCACAAGACAAGCGCTAATTCACTGTGGACTGACACAGCACCGAACCTGAACGGAAACCTTATCCAGCTAAGTAACAGTAGGCCCAAGCCTGTACAGTAGGAGGTCTGCCTGTCATTCATACACATCAGCACCTTCAAATCCATCCTTTGGTGACGAAGACCCAGTATGCATTTAATCCAAATCCAATTTAAAATCTCATCGTCATGTTTAAGAACTATAATAAGAGCTTTTTGTGTGCATGACAGATTCATCTGCAGAGGAACTCTGATATTGGAGAGACAACTTTACAGATTTTTTTTTTTTGATTAAACAAAAAAAAAATCAATTTGGCAAAGCCAGTGATTTAGTTGTATACAATCCTGTTGGACTGGTTGGAGAAACAGGTTTTGTTTTGATATACAATAGGTATATATAATGAGCCTTTTGGAATTTAGGAATGAGGATCTTACAGATGAGCAGGCACTCACCATGTCCTTGATCTGAGAGAGAGTGATCTGTAAGGTGACATTGAGGGCTCTGTCTGTGTCCTCCACAGGGCGCAGGGCGCTGGAATAATTCTCCATCAGGTCATTCAGAAGTTTCTGGGCATAGTGACCCTGAGCTGAGTGAACCACTGAAGAGAGAGAGACAAGGTCATCAGTCATTTTCAAGTTTATGATGGAACAACCTTTGTGTTTTCTAATGTTGTTTTATGTACCGTTACTTCTGAGATCACTCTGTTGTCTTGTGCTCACATACATGAAGACCATGAGCTCACATGGCTTAAACTGTATTTTACTGTACTTTGCTCCAATTGTGTCTCTTAACTAATCTAAAAAAAAAAAAAATTTAAAAGCTGAAGATAAACTCCATGTGTTGTCACCTTTTCCGTTGGTGTGGTTGCAATTATTATTACTGATGTTTTCAATATATTATACTTATACTTACAATAAATGCAATATGACTCATTTTTTTATTTTATTTGGAAGCTAATTGTTTTGTTTTTGTTTGACTATTTTTAATGAGTTAACTGAAAATTAATTTCTACATTGGGGATTAAACATTAACATCTTAATATATCAGCAAACAAACTTCTTCACTTCCATAAGATTGGATTCTTTAGATTATTTGGTTAAGTGGTTTGAAAGTCACATGCAAAATTCAAAATCTATTGCTGTGTGCACGCACACAGCCATGCAAATAACAATGATAAACTTTGGATATTTCTTTTTTTTAACCAAATGAAAAGCATGTGTGTAAGTTTAAAACAGCACAATCTGTTCAAATGATTAACAACAGCACAGAGACTCATTTTCTGCAAGAAAGAGCTTGAGCCTGACTCACCTTCAGGAAGCAGCATCGCCAGACAGATTATTGGGATCATCTTGAACATTTCTGAATACCTCTGAGAAGAAATAAAAAGTAACTGGGACCAGAAATCCACAAGTCCTGGATTTCATCTCCTAACAGTACTACATGATGCCAGTTCAACCCCAACTGAACTCCGTTGCAGATAGCAGGGCGCCGTTTCATCTGGCCATCATTGTGGTGAGGCCAGCTCTTACTGCTTGGCAGGGGAGGAAGCATGTCTGCTGACTGAGACACGGAATAAAACTCCGGCTATCACATAGCAGCAGCAGACCGAAAGAAACAGGATGCCCATGAATCATCGCCTCACCACACACTGGGCTATTAACCTGTCAATCAAATGCCCTGCTGCCAGGTGGGCTGCTGGTCTGCTCTTACAACACACTGCCAACACCTCGAGGGAATGGAGTAGAAAAGATGGGAATTTGCAAATCAATTACTCACTGTATTACTCACTTAAACAAACAATCAATGGTGCTTAATTAATATTATGGTTATATTAGTAATAATGCATTTCAAAAACACAGAGTCTTTCAAATGAAGCCAATTTTCTGTATGTTGTCTTTCTGGAATAAAAGTTGCAAATAAGTAGAATCTTAATTTACAGCGGAAAATCTGAACAACTAACTTGAGTGTGCATCATCAGACACAGAAAAAGAGTTGGACACCAGTAATGAACAGTAAAGGCACATTAATTCAAAAGAAAATGAAAATGTCTGTATCTACTGTTTGAATTTTAGAGCATTGATCAGAGAAAATCAGCTGTTTAACTTGTGACAGTCACTTCATGTTTTGCATTTTATAGACTGCTGATGGTTAACTGGTTGTCTTCTGATAATCTTTTAACTATAAATAAAATTAATCAGAAGATAATTGTTATTTCAGGATGAGTTGGATTGAATCACTTTGACCTTGGTAAGTAAAATTCCATTGCTAATAAAAACACTCAAGGCTCACCAGGTTCCCCAGAGAGGTTGTACAGTACTCCTTAATAAAGCGGCTTCATGATTCATGAAAATAATCAGTTAAACATTAAAAACTAAAAGTACCACCTCATCCAAGTAAAGGTTTGTGCCAGATGTAATTTCCTGATATATCACATTCACAAGAACAAGAGGTCACTCTGATCTTGACCTTCAGTTCATCCTGGAGTCCAAGTGAATTTGAAGAAATTCCCTCAGGCATGACATGTTGTGTTCACAAGAACAGGACGGACAGATGGATGGACAACCCGAAAACATAATGCCTTCAGCCATAGGTGTCACCAGCACAGAAGCATACAAACAAAACAAGTTATGGTGAAAGGAGTGCTGAGGAAGCTACACTGAAATTATTGGTTTACACAGGAAATGTTACCCTAAAGCAAAGCTGTAAGAATGTTAATCTAAACTTACAAAACCACATATATGTGAAATCCATTTACGAATCTTAGTTATCCCATATGAAAGATTTTTTTTTAAAAAGGCCACTTTTCATTTTCTTTCAAGTATAAACAGTAATTTATTATAACCAAGGAGGAATGCTGTGGTGACATCAGTCCTACGGAAGCTTCAATACTTTAATAATGCAACAAGTAAATTTATTTTGTTTGCATTTTAATAGCAAGTGATTACCTCAGGGTCATTATATGAGCCAAGCAGCATGCTCTTTTTCAGTCTCATATATTCAGCCCTCTGTAGTACCGTCCTCTGCTCTGGGATGCTTGGAGGAGTTCCAGATGGCAAATACACTAGAGAAATATGCCAACATCCAGGATATAAAATGAGATTTTGTCACTGGGGATGCCTGGAAAACCTGAGGGATCTACACTACATACTGATGATCAGCAGACATAAACACATCAAGTGGCAGCTTCTTTCCTCTGCGGTGCAAGTATGCAGGCTGAAATACAACATTCAGATTACTGCCAGGTTTCCTGGAGAGATTCAGCATATCACAACATGCTACCAAGCAGGCCATCTGTTATTGTGCTCATCCTCAATTTCCATCACCATAAGCAAGGTGATCCGAACATCGTGATAAGTGCTTGTATCACTTCCTTGTTGAGGCTTTAAATGCACCAAAAATGTGCCTGCTCAATCAGAAACTTAACACAACAGCAGAACAATACTAGTACTACTAATCCAAGCTACTATTTTACAGAAAGGCAAACTCCAATATGCATAATCCATTCTCCAGTGCTTTTACATGCACATTCTTCATCTAAATTGGTTTACGTGCTCCATTTTAACTGGTAATATAATTCCCTGCAGGTTTGAATTCTGTTTGTCTTGTAAATGTAGTGCCTTACACTGATTTTTATTCAAATGTATGCATAGCCAAACAACCCTATAAACACATGCTGGATCCTAAACAACATCATGAACAAACTGTTCCTCGATTTATCATTATGTGACTGAGATTAAACAGATTGAATACTAATGTAAGTACTGAAGGTTACATTTCTAGATGTTGCTTGGATTTGTTATATTTCCTGGGGAGTGGGATTATTCCAGATGACAACTATCACGCAACAAAGAATGGTCTTTGAGAGGCAACACAAAGAGGACAGAGTGTGGATTAATTTACACAGACTTTAATATCTTTATTTACAGATGAATCATTTTGACATATTTATCTGTTGGCGTAGTTAAGATGATGCAATATTTTTCAAACTTGTTTGGAACTATTTCCATCCAGACTTGTGATAGATTGTGTTACTGCTGAGCATGTTTTATTTTTTGTTTGTTTTGTTTTCTCTCAATTTAAAAACAAGAATCCAAATGTATTCCTGTAGGAGGCAAAAACCAAATACATTTTTTTTTAAAAATGTGGGGAAAGGGACAGGTGAAGTAAGCCATGTTGAGAACAGGTGTGGAGGTGGGAACTACGGTTTGCTGCAGGAGCTTTGGGTTTATCAGACAGTTGAAGGGGAGAAAATGTGGTATGAAAATGAGTATGGCTACACCTCAGTCACACTTTATGAGCTGGTTTCCAGAACAGGGAATACGCCTCATCCTATTCCATGTCTGAATAACTCCATATTTGCTACCTGATGCACTATATTTACTTTACTTTAATTTCCAAATTTTAAGCGCAAAATGTATACACTTTATAGTGGCCTCAAATTCCCAGTGATGGTAAACTATAGAATATCCCAAAACACTGAGTGTTTATTGTGTGAGGATGAGAGGATGAGGATGGACACAGCACAAGAAATCTTCAGTAGAGACACCAATTTAAAAGTCTAGGACTGCTTAATCCCCGTTTAGAAAACAAGATCAAAGTGTGTAAAAATCAGGACCAGGTCCAAAAGAGCCTCCTTGAATGGCTTGACTCTCTCCTACAAAGGTTTTCCCAAATTAAAGTAAATGCACTGCATAGGCAAGGATGAGCCACTGACAGCCGCTTCTTGGACACAGCCAGAAAAGCTGGGAGACTGGTGGGCGTGGGCGGGGTCTTAAGTCTGGCATTTGCGTTCAAAGGGGGTGAGATGTGGTTGGACTTTTGATTGTAGCACTGAGTGGAATGTTGAATGAACTTAAAGAAACCAGAGATAAGAGCTCACAGAGCGACTGATTGGAGTGTGGTACAGCAGAGGTGGCGAGCAGGGAGGACAGATGCCACACAGAAGGGATAAGGGGGAGATGGAGAAGAGGAGAAGTGTGGAGGTTGAGGAGTCCACTGTGAAACAGAGGGTGCGACAGAGGAAGAGACGCCTTCAGACAGCTGGAGTTTGGAGGAAAGAGGGTGTGCATGTGTGAGGAGGGGAAATAGGGATCGAGAGGAAGATGAAGGGGGTGTCAAGATTCAGTTACTGAGCAGTAGCTCTGTTGCTGTTTCCACGTCCCAGGATTTCGACGACAACGCCACTATTACTGCATTCTGGGGAGAAAAACAAAAACCCGTCAGCACCACAGTTCTATCCTGCAGTAGAATTCAGCAGAGCAATGCACAGCAGGGGAGAAATAAAGTTTAAAGATACTTACTTTTTCAAAGCCCATGGCACAGAGTTTATCTATTTTGCGTGTGTACTCCGGACTGGAGACGGGCGCTCCTGCATAGACATGAGACCACAGCCTCGCTGTCTGTTTGAACATCTCTGGGTTCTGCTTGTACTGTGTGAACGAATGTGAAACATAGGAAGTTTGTGTGAAAGGGGTTCAGCATACCACACTGTCAACAACCGAAACTTTCTACTTCTCTACTTAGTTTGGATCAAGTTTCAGAGATTCATTTTCACTTTTCCCATGTTCTGTTGATCACTGTCAAAAACATCTTACTTACATCTACTGCAGCATTACAACAATTTGTCATTCAACCTTAAAATGACTGCCAACAAGTTTGATAATCAATTAAGTCATTTTTCAAGCTAAAATAGCTAAAAGACATGGGATCTAGCTTCTTAAATGTGAATATTTTCTGGTGATATTCTTCCATGATAGTAAAGTGAATATTTTAGGGTTTTGGACTGTTGGTTGGACAAAACAAGTCATCTGAAGACATCATCTTGGACTCATCAAACATTTGATAGGCATTTTTGTGAAATTAGCTGGCTTTATAATAGACCAAATATCTGATCAATTCATCGAGAAAGTAGATTCATAAAGAATGAAAATACTCGTTAGTTTCAGCTCTAATATCTACTGTGTATAAGAGTTGTAAAACAACACCAACACGTTTGACAGTAGAAGAGGTTGGAATTATTTGGTACTGTGTTGAATAGTATCCCTCAGCGTATAGGTGTCTGCGAGCAGAAGAGGGGTGCACTTACGGTCCACTTATACCATTGTTTATATGTGGCTGCACAACAGAATGCCAATAAAATAATGTTTTGCAAGATTTCAAGGCCACTGAGACATTCAGAGCCAGATCAACTCGTAGCGCTGCAGTCTGCCAGACAGTCATTTTAGCCCAGTGTTGGCCAGCTTTCTGTTTCTATGCTGTGTGTGCATTGTTGAAATGTAATGCAGGTGGAGATTTTCCATCATCACAAACTATTAGCACTTGAACTGTCATGTAAATAAGAAAAATAAATCGCAACTACATATTAATTTTTGTACTCAACATAACTCATTTCAAAGGGTCATTATATAGTACAATACTAAGACTTAAAAAATATTGTTAAAGTCAAGTGCAGCATGCAGCATTTTCAGTGCAGCTCTGAGAACTTAAAGTGCAACACCTTCTAAACCACCTGAACAGCCTCAGGTTTCTACTCCATACTAGACTAGTGACCACCTGTTTAACATTCAGTCATGTAGACTGTGGTGAAAAATGTTGAAAAACAAATTTGATACTCTGCTAAATCTTATTTTACCTTATTTCAAGTAAGTGATACATGTCTGTTATTTTATGCAGGATTAGCGATTGCATGTAGGTGTTATGTGTTCAGTAGAGTAGGATAATCTTTTCAATAAGAAACAAGCGACGGGCAAACAGATCACTGCCTACACATATTTCACAAGAGTTTCACATTAGTGGCACTGCACTGAATACTGCTTAACCTGTAACCATAAACTGGTGTGCAGCACAGAAAAATTATTAATGCATCCACTCATATAAAGGGCATTTTAGGTACAATCCAGGGTCATACACAGGTGGTTCTGACATAAACATCTTAACAAAAAAAACTTAACTTGGCATGACAATTAACATCAAACTGTATAGTGAAGCCTTTACAACCAGAAAACAACTGAGCTTTCTGTTTGTAAAAACTACTACAATGATCATATTAGAAGATATCTAATGTCATATAATAATTGATATAACATCACATACAAGTGGTGTCAGACTATTGGACTCCATTGTACATGTGTTGCCCCACTAAAAAAAGGTGAATACATATCCACAGTAAATTTGTCACCCAAAAGTCAAAACATAAAACACATGCACACACACCTGATTGGCTACCACTGCATCCTGTGGGTCATCTGGTTCTGCAGCCGCCAATAAGGCTTGTAGTGACAAGAGGACTGTCCTCAGAGTCATAGCTGCTGCCCTGAAAGGAAATAAAGTATATATCAATGTTAAGTGCAACACCAATATGAGTCTGGACTGCTCATGGCCTCTGACTGCAACAGATGTGTTTCCCCAAAACTTTACTGGTTGGGAGGAGTTGAGGAATATTTTCAATTCGCAAAATAATACTGGACCAGCTAGTTTAAAGACCATTGGTCTGTGTGCCTGCACACTTGAATCACTTGCATCATAAAAATTGGAATTATTAATGACCACATCATCATCAACATTAGGCTCACTCACCTATTTAACTCTACTCTCTCTACTCTCTCTTCATATTGGGGCTGCAGTTTTAAATTATTACTTTTCAATTATTGTCGAGAGAATAGTGTTATCCAGTAGTTACAGGGGTGGGCATTAGAAGCATCTTGGCTCTGACTATGGCTTTTGGTAAGGAAAATACTGTCTCACATGACTAGAGAAGTATCGTGATGGATGTATGGTGGAGGAAGAATGTCAAGAATGCTGGCACACATTCACTCACCACTGGTCTTTGAGAATGTCCAGACATATTGCACCTGTGACTGAGCTGATGTTGGGATGCCAGATCTTTGTGATAAACCGCACCTGAGAGATTAAATGAGAGCAGGCCGAAGAAAATAATTTGCGGATTAGCACAGTAATGGAAAATTTCTGAAGCCAATGACCACAAGGAACAGGATAGATATCAGTAACAATAACAGCAATGAATCCCTACCTTGGGTGGATTAAATGGATACGTCTCTGGAATTTTAATTTCTAGTTGATATCTACCCCCTGGAAGAAATAAGCGGTATCACAGAATCATGACAAAGCTACATCAAGCATGCAATCAAGTGTAACTGTTAAAATACAAGTTGTATTAGTTTATATTGAGGATTAAATTGATTAGTTGGGTGGTGAGGCTCTCTCAAAAATAAAGTTGATGACAGTGACACCCAATATCACAAGAGAATTGTGCAACCATGCATACAGGTTAGCAGACAGCAGTGGGTCTAAACGAGCTCCTCACCTTCGTATGGTGTGTCAGGTGGCCCTGCTATCTCCCCTTTAAGTTCTGTGAAGTTCTCATCCACCAGATCCACCTTTATCTGGTTTTTGCTCGTCTGAAAAAGTGAAAAGGCAAAGAAGCATTTTAACTTCAGCAGACAGGCAGACTGCAAAGTGTTAAGCTAGCTTGCTGTCAAACTTCAAACCTGCCTATGCAGCATAAGTTGACACCCCTCCGCAGCATTAGCCAAAGTTGACCTCAACTTGTTGCACACACCTTACGGATCTACATATAATAGGGCCGCTAATGTAGGCTGAGACGAGTTCATACAGAGTCAGGAGCACACTGTGAAGAGTGCAACTTCAGTACTACAGGCGATTCACACCAAACTATCTTTGCTATGGCTAACCCAGCTAGCTTAGTGACCATAGAAGGCATGGTAAGCTAGCCAATGACGTTCACTTAGCAATATAAACTTGAGGCTCACTTAATTTCAACAAATGCTTTCAAGCCACAGTAACTTTCTTGGCTTTAACTTCCCTACAGTGCCATATGAACAGCTAGCCGTAGTAGCTATTTGTGAAGCCGGATGCACAGCCGTGTCGGAGTCAGTTAGCTATAGCTAGCAGCTCGGTGATTAGCAAGCTGACAGCTGAGCCAGCGACGCGTCACTCACATTCAGCCTGTAGTCACAGAAAGAAAAAAAATACAAGCTGTAACTTTAACGGGGAAACAAGACAACCAACCTCTTCACTTTTAAGGACCTCCTTGAATTCCCGTTTTATCCTCTGAACTGCGATGTTGGCCATGGTTCCCCGTGTTCCCGTCCGCGGTTGGGGCCTCGCCGCCGTCCGACCTGACTAACGTTAGCTAGCTTCCTCTGCCCACAGGAGCTCTGCACTTTCTTTGGACACAACCTCAAAAATAACAGCTGTAACGTCGTTTACCGCGAGTGCCGTCAGTCCCGGTTATCAATGTGAGGCTATAATTCGTTAAAATATCTCAACATGTATCTGTCATCTCAAATGTGTAACAACACAATGGTTGGTGGTACTGAAAACATTTTAATACCAAACTGCATGCAGTCTGGAGGAGAGGGGGTCATGTGATCTGTATTGCCATCCTGAACGCCTCCTGCCATTGGTTGATCTGTTCATAATGAATAATGTATTGTGTAATAATGAAAATAATAATGATAATAGTAGTATATTATTATTATTATTGTTGTTGTTATCTGTACACAAGGATGGTATATATTGAAACACAAGGTCAGTGTGTTACTCTATATCACCTTTTAATACAAAATAAAAGTGATGTCAAAACAAACGTAAATAGTTTACAGGGTTTCACACAGTGACTAGCAGGTTACATTTAATCATTACAATGTGATCACTTAGTTTTGGTCAAAAATGCTCTCTAAAGTGAAGTTAAGCGACATTTTTATGGTGAGCAGCTTTCGTGTCTAAAGCATGTATCAGCTGCAGTCTAGTCAAGACTCAGTTGCTTTTCTTTACAGCACTAAGTTCACAAGAGTGTGCAGTTACTCTTCTCTAATGATCGGAGTTAATTCAGTCAGTCTGTCAAATCAAAGATGGAAGTCACAAAGTATATGCCTTTGAAGACAGATGGGGACACAAATTTGTTAAAAAGAAAATACTTTTAAGTGACCAGAAAATCCTCAGAGAAGCATATCACACTTTAGAGGAACAATTAAAAATATTCAAGCTACCAATTCAAAGTGATGGAGCAACAATCATGGCATCTTCTAAAATGCAAATGAGTCTTAATCTCTGTAGCCATGATGCTTCATCTCTGGAAACACAAGAGCATTTTAAGGTACCTTTGATAGTCGTCCCATTTTTTAACAAATGACAGCCCAGCATTTTACAGTGTGCTTCATCAAGGCTGCAGACAGTGACACTAGGGGGCATCGTTGTCCCATGGAGATTGACAGTCTGTGGCACACAGTGTATCACATCCCGTTAAGAATGAAGTGGATACCACTTGAAAATACATTTTTAAAACTCGTTCTTACAAAATTGATGCAATCCACAATTTAATCTGAGCTAAATTTATCTAATTTAAAATATGTTAAAATCACATTTTAGTCTGATCTACAATAAAATGCAAATCATCACTGACTGACTTTATTACAATACTTGAATCATGACATTGACATATTTTCTCCACAGTGAAGATCAAAAATAAGGTCAATATTTATGTAAAGCATTTCTTCTTTTACTGTAAACCACAAAGCTCACGTAATCAAGTTTAGTAAAAGTACAACATAAAGAATTCAGTAAATCTGTTGCCATCTAATAGTCATTTAATACACCAATAAAATAGCTTACACAATGCAACTATCTGATTACCCTTCATCTAAATAACCCATTATTACAGTAAAATGGATGTCAACACTTTCTTTTGTGATTGTGGGTAAACTGATCACACAACAAGACTTAATGGACCAGACACAATGACAGATCATGGATCTTCTCCATCCACGAGCAGCACACAGCTTTTCTGCTACACAGTACTGAGTCAGCCTCTTTTACAGTCAGCACTTAACAACAGGTGGACATGAGCATATAGGCACTCCTTCCCTTCTTCTCTTCCTGCTCATCCTGTTCGTCCTCCTACCTCTGCCTCTATCTGTTTGGTTTCTCTTTGTGACAATGACAAAGATGACGAGTGCTGCCAACATAACAGCTGTTATCATGAGGCAGCCTCCGAAAACCAGCATCGCTTTGTTCTTGAGCATCCATGCACATACAGAGCAAGGTTCGCGCAGCTCACTGAAAGTGCAGGTCTGCATGGTGTCGTCCTCTGGGAAACCACTCTGAGTGATAATATCTCTGTAGACGCCAATAGAGGCCTTGGCTTTGGATTGGTGTTGGGTTGAAGTGAAAAGCCCAAACTGGGGGGCATGTCGATCTTGCAGTTTCCACATGTAGAAGCCCTGCAGGTTGACCCCATCTAATTGGCGAGCTGGAGACAAGTAGAAAAAATAAAGAATAATAACAATTTTCCCCTCCTCTGCAAGCATTATGAACAACCCAAATATTTTGCCATTGAAAAAAACAAACAATCAGATGTTAAGAATACATGTTCAGTGGTTAACCTATGTTAGAAAACAATACGTTTCTACATGCAAATACAGGAGAGTCGTAAAGGGGGAAGTATGAAGACAACACGGATCAGCACTGTTGCTGTGCTATTTCTCTGCCCTCCTCACTGTTTTATGATCTTCATGGTTCCTCATAAAGTGCAGGTAATAGCAAGAAGCAATACGGTCATAAAACATGTATTGCCTGAAGAGCTGCGTCTGTGTCAACATTCTGGATACTGCAGAGCTCCACTCTGTTCCTACTGAAATATGATTACACCACACATTCAGGATCAAAGAGGAACATAACATATTGCCAGACTGATGGAGATAAAATGCATGTCTCACCTCTGAGAGCCTCTTGCAGGTAACTCCTGAGGTAGTGTTGCCTGAGTTTGTCCTCAACAGGAGCCTGGTCATCAACACCACTGGCTGTGATAATGATAGGTAGAGCACTTCCATATCGCTGGCTCACCCAGTTTAGGATCTTCCTCAGGCCCCAGGGTACAAGAGCCTGACCCAGACTGGATGAGGGCCAGGTGGGATCAGAAAGGATCCGACAGTCATGATCAGGGCGTTGTTTCTGCTGGAAATTGGCCTGTGTATGGACATATGGAGCCACCAAACGGGTGGTGAAATGGTTCAGTGAAATAAAACTCAAAGCCCCTCTCAGCTCCTCCTTCTCCGTCTCAGTAAAACTAGGAAGAGGAGATCCAGGGAAGCCCACTTCACGAGCTCTCTCCTCCAGGTATTCTTTCATTTCCTGTGGGTAGCCCCCCTCGCTATGCTTCTCCTCGTATCTAGTTCCCAGCAAAGGGTCTAAGAAGCGACCGAGTTCAAACAAAAGGAATCTCTGTGCTGCTGCCGTGTGTGAGTCCAGGAAGGGGTTGGCAGGTTCGGCCCAGTCAGCATGTAGTGCAAGTGATACCAGCGCTCCATGCTGACTATAATGTTCCCTCTCATATAACCTCCAGGCTTTTACATGAGCCAGGAGAAGATTATGAGCTGCTTGATGCTTCTCTTTCCCATTGGAATAAACATCTACGAGTCTGTTCGGCTCATTGATGGTGATCCAGTATCGAACCCAGTACCCCAGCTGCTCATAGCAGAGTGCTGCATACTCCTGAAAAGCTTCAACTGTGCTGTTGTTAAGCCAACCCCCAGAGGCATGCAATGGCCCAGGCAGGCCCAGATTTGGAGCTCTGTGTGTCGGGTAGTAGAGAATTACAACAGCCTCCAGGTTCAGCTTCTTGAGCTCAGTCAGGACACAGCGGTAGTACCTGTTATATGTGATAACAATGTGAAACAAAGTATAGAATTAGGAGTTAATTTGTGTATTTTGGGAATTATGATAGTCCTTGTTTGTTTGTGTGTACTTCTACCTCAGAGCCTCAGTGTTCACATTAGCGAGGTCTCCCTGGGGTAAAATCAAAGACCAGTTTAGGGCAAAGCGGTAGTGAGATGCCCCAGTGGACGCAAACAGGCGAAGATGACCATGGATGGCTAAATAATCGGTGCACTGGGCTGGTCTCGTGTGGAGCTTCACCCCCGGAACTGGACGCAATGATCCGTCTCCTGTCAGGTTCCAGCTGTACAAATGGGGGTCAGTAAACTGTGGTGAGAAAGGGTAGAAATGGACCTACAACAACAACAAAAAAAGACATAAAAGAATATCAGAGGCATTATTTAGCATTTTCTGCTGCAAAATCATCCTCTTGTCTTCTCACCTGTAAGGTAGAATCAGCAATACCCCAGTGAAAGTCACAAGGGAAACGGCCTTTGACCTCTCTGAAGGTTTCATCACTGAGGAAACCGTTGTCAGCAACAACACGCTGGTAGTACTGAGCAGAGGTCTTGGGGGTCCTGGTTCGGTTTGGTTGGCTGAAGTCGATGTAGAAAAGGCCTCGCCTAACAGTGTAGCCATAATTCCACTCAAATCCATCCACCAATGACCAGGCAGAGTAGCCAAACACCTGCACACCATCGAACTTAATAGCTGTAACAGAAGACACAGGAATAATAGAGAGAAAAGAACCTCACATATTTGTTTCACTATGACCTCATTACATTATCGAACTCATATTTTTCTCCTCTCCAGTCCGCCGCTCACCTTGCAGGACCTGGTTGATAAAACTCTTCATCAGATAGATGGCCACTGTGTCCTCTATTCCCACACTCGCTTCAGAGAACCAGCCTCCTTCAGCAACCAGCACCCTCGGGTCCCCATACTCCAGCTTTATCCAGCTCAGTATGCGCCTCAGGTCTGGGGTCACAGTCTGCCCATACTGGACCAGGTTCCGGCCCAGACGGAGGTTGTTGGGACCAAAGGACAGAGCAAAAAAGTCAGCTGTTTTCCGCACCCAGAGCTTCTCCTCAGCGCTGAATGTGGGCAGTAGGGCCCCATGCTTGATTTTTAAAGAGACTGGATAGTCCCCATCTCCAAAGATGGGGTTGGCAAACCAGCCAAGCACAGCCTCTATTGATTGCTGGCAAAGCGCAACATTGGCAGCTGTGGCTTGGCCTCTTTGAGGCTCAACCCAGTGGGATCCCAGAACAATGGATACTTTACCCTTCTGAGTTGGTCTGTAGTGGGCATTGTAGGTGTGCCATGCTTTAGCATGTGCCTGAAAATCAGAGCAGACTCATCATTATGATGCATTGTACTGTAGTGAACAACAAAATCACAATAGTATTTTTCACTGAAGACATTTTGACATGTGGCAGTGGGAAGGCGCAGGTTTGGACAACAAAATAAATGATTGAATTATTGTTCGTGCTACCTCACACTGTCATGGTTTTGGCACATTTGAATAGAACAAAGCCTTTGGTGATATTAATATTAATATCTGTGCTTTTGCTACTATGATAACTGCCGTGAAAAAAGCCTATCAAGCTTTTTAAACACTGCAGAGCTTTAAAGCGTTCACAAAGTGCACATATTTGGAACAAGGCTGCACAATCTAAATTTAATAGTTTAAAAATGTTTATAAAACACACACCAGGATCTAGCCCACAGTAAATTACTTGTTCCTCTTCATTGAATTGGCATAACTTTCCACAAGGTTGAATTCAAATTTGTTTGTAATTTCTCATTTCTTGAGATGTCATGCTAACTACCAGATACATATGCAACAAACAAATAGGACCAAAGATATGACTTCCTCAGCGGAAGTGAGAGTATTTATGAAAACTATCTATTAGGCACCAGATAATTATTATTTGCTCACCCTATCTGTTCAGCATTAGCTGTACACGTGTGTTACACTCCCAACTGCATAAACGTAAGTGATTATTAATGAAGCATATCTCCATGGCTTCCTGTCACACACTGTTTCTCTCCTGCACAAAAGTGCTGATGTGGTGGACTTTGACCTCAATGTCTCTTAAGTGTCCTGTTTTCTAATCAGAAACCTGTCAAAATAAAATATGATCAGCTGATTTTTGAAAAGATATATTAGAAGTAAGTATTAAGGCCTTGCACTTAGCTGGATCAGTTATATGTTACAATGCAATAGATCCAACTTAATTGTCTTTATTGAGTTAATTTGATTGCAACAAAATTTCAGACGACTGGTGAAGTCTGTCCTTACTTCACTGTCTCGTGGCCTCAAAAGCATTTGGAGGACGCAAACATTCATTGACCATCATAAACTGATAAAAGCTGCATAGGTCCAAAGTTTACAGATGACCTATATCATTACATGTGCTGTTGTTCACAGCCAAGGCAGCTGCAGCACAATATAAGCACAGATAACATTAATCTACAGACGCCCAATCCACTGACTTACTCTGATCAGGTTGTGGGCCACAATGAGAGAGCCAGAGGGACCCCCTGCCTCTCCAGGAGCGTGTACACCTGTCCCATACCCATGTACAGCCACCAGGTATGGGTTATGCATTGTGAGCCAGTACCTAACACGACTCCCAAACGTGTGGAAACAAAAGGCAGCATACTCCTCAAACAGTCCCACCAGAGTGTTGTTTTTCCAGCCTCCATATCGCTCCTGCAGGACCTGTGGCAGGTCCCAGTGATGGAGAGTGACGATGGGCTCGATTTTCTTTTGCAGAAGCCTCTCTATGAGGCGGCTGTAATGCTCCACAGCAGCTGTATTGGGCTCACTCCTGGCGTTCCCATCAGGAAACAGCCTGGGCCAGGAGAGAGAGAAGGAGTATGATCTTACACCTAGCAACTCCAGTGCCTTCACATCTTCTTCCCAGTGAGTGTAGCTGTCACTTGCCACATTGGCAGTCTCGGTTGCCGAATTACCACTGACAGCGGAGTGGGTGTAATGGTCCCAGACAGAGGTTCCCTTCCCCTCCTGGTCCCAGGCTCCTTCTGTCTGGAAGGCAGACGTCCCCGAACCCCAGAGGAATCCTGAAGGGAAGGTGTCATGGAGGAAAGACTGGGCTTTGATGATGGGGTCTGGCTTGGGCTGCTGCCAAATCTTCCTGCCCTCCCCAAGAGAACAGGCTGCCTTGTTCCAACCACACGCCGACAACAGGACGCAGAGTAACAGGCACTGACATGTGGAAAGAGAGGGATGGTTCAGCATACTGAGGGAGTTCACCTTGCTTCAGAAATCCACTTGGAGGGGGTAGCTGGTGTCAGTCAGAGCAGCTGCTCTGTTCAATATCATGAATCCACTTGTGAATGACAACAGATCCATAGTGGTGGTAATGAAGGGAGAGAAACGATCACAGCAAGGAGAAAGGGACATCTGAAGCTGTGAGGTGCTGCAGTATCCATCTGACAACCTGCTCAGACTTCCCTATCTCTTCCCTCAGTGTACTCCTCAGCCCCTCCCTACCATGTAATGTTCACACATAAAAAGGTTGACTCATATCCACACACACCGTTTTATAACTATAGTTCCTGGTGAATTATTTTCACCTGTAATTCCAAAAATACTCCACCGTCCTTCAATTATATCACCAAAAAAAAAAAAAAAAACTTTAAAAGAGAGGACTGGTACTTCAGTGGATATTACTGAGCTATCCCTGTGAAAGGATACACACACACACACACAGCGCTAAACATGCTGTTGATTGTTGGAAAGAAGGCTCTTGGGTCAATAATTAGCTTGTACTCTGATCTTAGCTCCATAACAGAAGTTGTAACACATCTGCTTGTGCAGGTCTGTTTCCAACAAACATGCAGATTTTTTTTTTTTGCCCAAATTTGAGGTAAGTGACTTAATTTTTTCAACATGAGTTCACACATTCACGTATATTGAGGGCATTTATTGAAAAAGAAGAAAGGTTGACATAATGAAATGCAGTCTGATGAAAAAACAGGCTATTCTCTGTTGTCTTATGGCCAGAAGCTGTGATGCACGTCCACAGTGTTCTTCCAAGATTTGATCAAACCACACCAGGTGAGACCAGTCACACCAGCTCATATGACCTTATTCAATTAAGCTCCACTTGCCATAACAGTCACTGAGCCAAGGAAAAAAGCAGAACTAGCCAGACTAAAAACATTGTTGGAAAGTGTGTGCTTGAGTGTGTGTGTGTGTGTGTGTGTGTGTGTGTGTGTGTGTGTGTGTGTGTGTGTGTGTGTGTGTGTGTGTGTGTGTGTGTGTGACTGTCCATTTATCTGTAAACACGCTTGTCTCTGATTAAGCCTCCCAGTCACAATAAAACTGTTCAAAGCCCATCAAAAAACCCCTTTCTCATCCTCCGTCACTGAGGCAGTGTGTTCAGCCGTCTAGAGTCAACACTGTAGTTGCCCAGGATACACTCTGCTTCAAGGCATTGTGGGATAAGTCAATTGAGTTGGGAAATGGACATCTATGACCCAGACTGACCTCAGTGTGGTCACTATGATACAGAAGAGATGCCTCAAAAACACTGAGCAGCATTGCGACTGTGTATCATTCATGCAACTCACAGCAACCTTTCATGTTGGGAAAAACTAGAAAAAAATAGAAATGAAAAATGTCAATGGTTTGTAGTATAGTATGTTTGTGACTGGGTACTGTCAGTAATATGTTAGTTACTCTGTTTCTTTGTGTAGATTAAATAAACTGAACTGTATTTCACATTGTAACAGTGTGCTATATACAAAGATATACAGAAGATTCAGTCTGCCAAAAAAAAAAAAAAACTTTAAGTCAGATTTAAATTGAGTTTAGTCTGAACAACTTTGTCAAGCCAATAACAAAATCTGAACCAGATCTAATTCCTTTCACTGTCCCCACACAATGATCTAATCTTATGCAACATGTATACATCTCATAGAGAAGCATCAGTAACAAGCTCACTATAGTAAATTTTAGGAAGTGAAAAGAGGATGTATAAGAGAGAAAAAAAGTTTGGTCTGAGAAGTGCTTTCAATTTTGCGTGTTTCCTCTAAGCAGCTATATACTGTAACATCAGCAGATGCTCTTGCACAGAGACAAAGGAGAAGAGCAGCGGCAATTTGTATTTTTATTCTATTTTGGTTTTCCTCCCTTAGAGATTTTGAACTTCTGCAACTGGCATTTTTATGGACTTATAGACAGAGAAAGAGATACCTGAACTGGTCAACTAATTAAACTCAACAAATTAACAAAAGATCAAGGACAGTGCTTCTGCTGAAAAATCCATCTGACCTCAGCACAGGTTAGTGCCCTGTTTTGTCTGTCTGTGTGCTTCATTGCTGCTAAATTCAGCTTCGTTTAGATTGTGGATAGAGTGGATATCCATGTAAGACATGGCTTCTCACACAGGTGGCTTATAGGCTGCCAGTTAGGTTTAGTTAGGTGGTCTATGAGAGGTGAGATTTTTTTTCCTTTGTGTGAATTGAATGTAAGTTTTTATTGTAAAATGTTGTGTATGTGTTTTCACTGGTACAAACTGGTCTTGCTTTTTTCATTTTTTTTTTCATTTTTTTATTCAATTTCTTTATTCCAAAAATTCCACATAAACAACAGGACAAATTACAACAACAGTAGCTGAATTCAAAAGAATTTATAGAGGTCAAGGTCCATAAGTTCTGATAACAAGAAAATGATAAGCCATAGCAACGGAGTCTTACTCTTAGCTCAGGAATCTTTGCTTTTCACTTGTTAAAAGTTGGTCTCAGCAGCTTTGTGAATAGAATTTGGGAGAAAACTTTTAGTGAGAAACTTGTGCAATTTAGTTGTACTCTTAGTGGCAAGATAAAATGTCTGACTATAGATTTAAAGGAAATAGTAACTATTTACATTTGTTATGGGATGTGTGGATGTATAAATAGTACTAACCTTATGACTGATGAATGGCGGTTTATTCTCAAACAAAAGACTTCCTGTTAGGACCAAGCAGAAGACACCACAGGTCAAATGAAGGGAAAATAAACAATAAAATTACATGTATAGTCTTTGTGAGATGAACAACGATAACATAGATGTTTATTTACTTACTTTTATCCAGGCAAACAATGAGGCCCATGAATGCTGCCCTCTGGGTGGCAGCCATGATAGTGGGACTCCAGCAGATTGCTTCATCACCTGACGTCGTTGTAGACCTCTCGTCCAAAAACCTCTCCTCTGTCCCAAGAGACCTGCCACAGACGGTTACGAATTTAGACCTTTCATGCAACCGCATACAGCAACTTCACCAAGGAGACTTTCAAAACACCACTCTCCTGAAGTCCCTGAACGTGTCATGGAATATTCTGGAGGAGATCGATCCAGCGACGTTCCTCAACACACCACTCCTGGAGGAGCTGGACCTGTCGCACAACAGGCTGAAGAACCTGTCGGGTCAGCAGTACCTGCTGCACACAGGGAACCTTCGGATGCTAAATCTGAGCTGTAACACGTTTCCCAGCATGACACTGGGGAGTGCGTTCAGTACCCTGGTAAAACTGCAGAGACTAGCACTGGGAGCAAAAAACATCAGTGTAGGCGATTTCAAGAATATTGCTGGAATGAAACTATGCACACTTACCCTTTGCCTGGGGGATGAACTGGCTTATGAGGCAGGTAGCTTGAAGGATGTTCAGGCTGAAAGGCTTCAGATAACCTTCACTAGTAATCAAATAGTGGGCCGCGATGTGGTTGAGGATGCACTGACACTCTTTGTTCAAGTGGAGTTGATGAATTTGTCAGGTGGCTTCAGGGAACTGACTGAGCAGCTGAGACAGAGAGCAGAAATCCACACTACTCATCTCTATCTCACCAACATATCAATCAAATGGAAAGACTTAACTGACTATGTAAATGTGATTCTGCAGACATCTATTACCCATCTGGCTGCCTCTGATGTGACATTGTACAATTTGCCTTATATAGACACTCCTGTGATCCAGACATCTAAAATGAAGTCCTTTTCAGCCAGAATGGTAGTGGTGACGACTTTTTTCTTCTCACAGGAGGCGGTATATAACTTTTTTATCAATTTGCCAGTGGAGACAGTGTCAATCACAGAGATTTCAATCATACACATGACATGCCCAAAGTCACAGAGTCCGATCCTTGAGCTGGACTTTTCCTATTGTTCTTTATCTGACTCCATCTTCTCCAGAGTGGAGCATCAAGAAATTCTTGAATGTGAGAATCTGGGTAATGTGAGGAAATTGGTCCTGATCAATAACAATCTCAAAAGCTTTCAGTTGTTGAGCAAACGTGTGCAATACATGAAGTCCCTGCAACATCTGGACCTCAGCCTCAACTCCCTGGTGTATGACAGTCTGGAAGAGTGTGTCTGGCCACCAAACATCACCAATATGACTCTGGCTTCTAATGGTCTGACAGACTCTGTTTTTAAATGTCTGCCAAAAGGAATAGAGACACTGGACCTTGAGAACAACCAGGTTTCTGTGGTACCATCATCCATCTTTAAAATGGAAAACCTTTTATCTCTGAACCTGAATTCAAACAGACTGCGGGACCTGCCTGTATGTGATGGTTTCCCCATGCTGAGTGAGCTTATGCTTAAGTCAAATTCCTTCCATGCCCCATCTGTGAACAAGCTGGAGAGCTGCCCCAAACTGAAAACCCTGGATGTCAGTTCCAACCCTTTCACATGCACCTGCTCTCTGAGGGATTTCATACATCTTGCCACCAAATCTGAACAGAAGACCGGGAACACAGGACTTGAACTGGTGAGCTGGCCATTGAACTATTACTGCATCTACCCAGAGGATGTTAGAGACTCCACCTTGAACAGCATCTGGCTCCCAGAAGTGTCCTGTGATGTTGGCATTCTAGCGGCCACCATCCTGTGTCCAGCAGTGATAATGATTGTGGTAGTTTTGACCCTGTGTCACCGTTTGGATGTACCTTGGTACATGAGTATGATCTGGCAGTGGACCAGAGCCAAACATCGTGCCAGAACACAACAAGTTCGACCCGAAGACCTGGTGGGTGTTGAGTTTCACGCTTTTGTGTCTTACAGCCAGCATGATGCCGACTGGGTGCACAACTCCCTCCTTCCCAACCTTGAAGGTCCGGCAGGAGGGCTCCAAATCTGCCATCATGAAAAGAACTTTGTGCCAGGAAAGACAATTATTGAGAACATCATCGGCTGTGTGGAGAAAAGCCGACGCTCCGTGTTTGTACTCTCTGCTCACTTCGTCAAGAGTGAGTGGTGTCATTATGAGCTGTACTTCGCCAGCCACCATCGCCTTGCTCGGGGATCGGACAGTATTGTGCTGGTGCTGCTAGAGCCTCTGCCTCAATATACCATCCCATCCAAGTACTATCAGCTGAAGTCCATGATGGGCCGCCACACCTATTTGGAGTGGCCACAGGAAAGGGCCAAGCACAGGCTGTTCTGGGCTAACCTCAGGGCTGCCCTACAGGCAGACCTGCCAAATGCACCAGTCATAGAAATAGAAGGGTGACCGCAAATAGGTGGCTTAAAAGAGGAAAAGAAACTGGGAAGATGAAGTGTGATTGGGACACAGGGGAGTGTTTGCAAGAGGGAACATAGGAGAAGTAAAAACTTGCGCGTGATCTGGAAAGACTGAGTGAAAAAAGAAGTGCATACATTTTCTGGTAATCTTTCTTAAACGCATGAGCATACTTTCATGAGCTCAAGTGTCAAGTGCTCAATTTCTAATCTTGTACTATGAGCTGAAAGTTATAAGTTGTAAGATATAAATCATATAGTAACATGTCAACTTCTTTGATCCATTCAAATGACATTTAATAGTAACATTTATAGAAACTAATAAGTTGATCAAGTTTGTAACAAAAACAATAAACCAAGAATATCAAAAATGCATTTGATTCTTTTGTCAACACTGACATCCACAAAATATCACAATATGAATAACCCATATTGTGGTTAACACCTAAGAAGAAAACTATGCACACACTGTGAAAAATGCATGAGCACCGAAAACCTGTATTCTCTCCATCTCTCTGAAGATAGAGACCCACTTTTAACGCAAGAAAACATTTTCTTTTCCTACGAGTTCAATGATGGATGAAAAAGACAAAAGAGCTAGAAATGATGTGTCCTGTGTTAAGAAAGCATCAGCCGTTGGGGTCATAAGGTCAGTCCAGCTGCATTAAAACTGTGCCTGGAATATCAATGATGAAAAGGTTCAAAATCCACAGGCCAGTTGTCAAGGAAGAGACTGTATGATGATGATTTTCTCATTGATGCAGAAACGGTGAAGCACATTCAGCAGGTTCTCTCCACAGCGCGACACCTGCCTCTCCATGGCCAGACGGAAATCCTCTTTCACTCCTTTGGTGATTCCACGAGTCACTGTGTGGTGTCTGTAAAAGGATAAAAGAAAATAATAAACACAAACATACACGTGGTCAGAAATGTATTTCTATTGAGCTGATTTGTCACGAACAGAGAGACTGAGATCTATATGACCTACGCAATACAGACAAAGTCATGGAAACAGCATGTTACTTTTTTCTCACACACCAATCAGCCAGTCAAGATTAAACAACGTTTCATTGTCATAAATAAAAACCACATAAAACATGTCCACAAATGAAATGAGATCAAGTGTTATGAAAAGGCAAAAAACTAAATTGGCTGTACAACAAGAGCAACATCATCCTATAACAACAACAACAACAACAGTGATGACCACAGAAAGACGAGCAATGGCTCAAATAAACAAACGCCGACAGGAAATCAAAGAACGTCTAACTCTTGATGTAAAATGACAGGCCCAAAATCAAAACTGTAGGGATGACAAGCCTTGAAGTAGGGAATGAAGGAAGGGTGACTGGTGTGGGGGGAGGAAGGGGGACTGTGGGAGGAGGGGCCTGGGGTACCTGTCCATCGCTTGCACCCCTTGTAGCAGAAGGGTATTTAACTCCACCCCCAGGGCGGGACTAGGGTTCCTGAGGGACAGCAACATTCAACAACTCTCAGTCAGTGTGGGTGCATTCAAGTGTCTTAACTTCTACAGCAATGAATGAAGGAGTTTGAAAGAAGATTTATTTTAAACATAAACCCCTTCTTTTTAAAATGCCCGCTCCGTTAACAGCATTTTCATTTCAAAGTAAAGATTTTCCCCACAGGCCATGTCTACTTAGATCATCAATCAATAGCAGTTTTCTATAAAAACACACCAACAGAACGGGAGTGTGCAGAGTCACGATGCCGACTGAAAAGTTTCTGCGAGGTGCTTACTTGATCAACATTCCCTGATTGGGGAGCAGCTCCAGTTGAATCCTCCCTCCTTCTGGAGTACGCAGGTATGCAAACTCCTCCAGCATGTCAATGTCTGACAAAAATCATGAGCTTATGGAAACTAACATCCAAGGCAACTATACACAGATAAAGTTACCACAGAGCAATTACAAAGTAAATATTTACAAATCCAATCTTGAGAGGTTGGATTGTGGTTGTGTGAGTAGTTACAAAAAGGGATACTGGTGACATAGTTGAAGAAATTCTCATACTGGAAACTGCCTTGCTGACAGATTTTATCCACTGCCTTTAAAAACAGCATCTCGCCGTGTGGCCAGTCGTACTGCAGAAGCACCACCACGTGACCGAGGGACAGGTCGTCACGGTTGTCTGTGAAGGCACGAAGCTGATTGGCCGGAATTAGAAAAGAGGAAAGAGTTTTATATCTACATAGTGCAGAAAAATGCATCAGTTATTTTATCACTTCCAATAAAAATCATAGAAACCAACCCAAATTCCAATCATTTCCACAGACATAAGTAGAGTAAGTACCTTGAAGCAGGCCAGCATGAGCTGGAGACAGAAAGGCAACACAGCTTTGCTGGTGCAGGGAAGCAATCTCAGGTCATTACCTAGTTATGACACAAAAAGAGGCGGTAATTAATGTTCTGATGTAATTCCTCTTACAATATATATTACATTATCATCAAGAGGTAACAGTAGTTTCAACAAATGCAAATTGCAGCAAAGGGGAACTCATGGTCCAAGCGATAGCATTGTATTATAGAAGTATTGAGTATATCAGATGGATCATGGTTCTGAATTGTGACATGTAGCAGTTGTTTTACAAGAGCAGGAAGTGTTTACCTTTCCTCGTTTTGGTCTTGACTCTACCCTGATCTTCTGGGGTCTTCGTTGGTTCTTGGTTTGGGGGTACCAGCCCACCAACAACATCGAGCAGCTTCTCACAGGCCATCTGATGAACAGATATGGTACAAAATCTACATCACAACTGTAAACAGGGCAGCAATATTACACAAAATCCCATTGCAAGAATGTTTTATGTGTTGTCCATGTGATATAATTTCGCTTTTCTGAAAATCACTGGTGATCATATATGTACATCTGGGAAAGTCTATCATAGAATTTAAATATACTTAATAATGGCACATACGTTTAAATGCAGAGGCTTTCAAGTAAAATAATGAAATATCAGTTAGTCACTAGATTACAATGACAAGTCCATTAAACAAAGCCAACAATATAGTTGTACTAAACTTGTGAAATATACGTCTATGCTTGAGTTTGAATATAATGCCACCCTTAGGCCAGTTAGTGTCGTAGATTCATTCTTGGAGCATGGCCCACAGAGCATCAGGTTTTTGTATCTCTAACTTCAGCATATGTTAAAATATACTGAAAATAAAACTCCCCACATATATAACAATGCATCAGTACAGACGACATAAGAACAATAGTTCTCTGCAGAAGTGGAATTAAATGAACAATACTGCAAATCATAATGTCATTGTGATGCCACAATAATCAAAATGTCTGTGCAATGCTAAATTATAACACAATATATTGAGAGCTGTGCATTCAAAATGTATGAAAATGGAAAAGGGAATGAAAGGATGAAGAGGCTTGAAATCTGTGTGTAAATCTACAGTATGTCTCCTAATAGCTTCCTACCTTGCACATGAGTGTGAGTGTGTGTGCATGTGTTTACCCTGTACTCTCCCAGTGCATAGTGGCAGGAGGCCTGCTGTATGAGGGCCCTGTGGTGCTCCAGACTGGCCTGACCTGAGGGGCTCTGCTGCCCAGGCTGAGGCTGCAGCACTGCAGCCATCTGGTGCAGGCTGGAGAGGGCCTTACGGTACTGTCCCTGGAGACAGACAGACAGGAAAATATATTTTAATATTTATAAATATTTAAATATATATTTGTCTCAATTCTGGTAAATTTCTTTTAGTTTCATCCACTTATTGTGTCTAATTAGTTGTCTAATGTCTTATAACCCCTCTTTGTCCCATTCTATAAATACTGTATTTATGAAGAAAAATATTGTGTAGATGTTATTATAAATCTATGAACTGCAATTACCTGTTCTTTGCTGCACCTACAATTACTGCATTTCCACAGAGATGAATGAAGTTTAATTTAACCCAGAGTAAATTGATAAAACACTTTAAAAATGCAGCAGGTGTCTTGTCACAAACAGAAAACATAAATGTTTCTTGCCTGGTATATGATCATGTCAGTGAGGAATATTCTGAACCACAGCCAGCCGTCTGTCTTCCATGAGGCACAGATCTTCTTGAACTCTGTCAAAATGCAAAGTTACAAATACGTTTAAATGATTGCTTTGTAAATCTCAAATTCATCTGCAAATGTCTACAGAATCCGCTTTGTAAGGTGCTCAGTGAGCTGGTGGTTCCCCTCAAGGTTTTGGCTCAGTAACATGAGGTGTGTCTACTGGGAAGTTGCCCTTTCGTAAATCCTCATTTGGACAGATGGCTTTTTCTGTTTGAAGAATCAACATGTGGAACTCTTTACCCGCAGAACTCAAAAAGGGTCATGACTCAGAATTTGATCATTTTAGTGTTTGCAAATTGTTTGCATCTTATGCTGTTTTGTGTGTATTTTCTTGTTGAGTTTTATGTATTTTAATAGTGAGGGCATTGCAAACTATCTTAGGCTGTAAATGCTGTGTTATGTGGCACTAGTTCATGCTATACACCTGTACAGAGATAAAGAGTAAGAATACATCTGCATCTCTAGTAGTTGATGTAGTTGCCACATTATGATATTGCGACAGAGTGAATGGATCATATCTGGGTGTGTAAACAAAAAGACAAACAAACATTAGAGGTGCTTACCAGTTTCCAGGCCGTCGTGGGAGTGAAGGAGATCCCAGCTCTCCCTCGCTGTGCGGAAGTTCTCCAGAGTCTCAGACCAACTGGGCATCTCAGTCTTGTTCACTAAAATGTGTCGACCGCGGCCTTTCCCCAACCCGTCCTCATCATCTGAGCTCTGTAATGACATACACGCACAGTAACCAAAAAGCAAATGCAACGGAAACCAACTATAGTCATATACTACAACCCATTTAAGAACATGTGAAAGTGTTTATGGTTCTCACAAAAATTATGAAGAAACATCTAAGGGATCTCTGATCTGTTCTCACCATAGTCTTCTCTCTCCCATCAGCCAGTTTACGTTTCTTATGTGCATGCTTCACTGCTCCCCTCTCCACCTCCACATCGTTGTACACTGAGCTCAAATCCTCTATGAGGATCCACGGCCCCGAACTCAGCGCATTCACGCCTGCCAAACATACAAAGATCATTTGATGAACAAGAGTGTAATGAACAAGACAGGGAACTAGGTGTGCTTGCAAAGACAGTGGCTGACCCTGGAATAGTGCAGGCTGTACAGATGACATATAGAGAAAGGCGCTGCGGAAGAGGACGAGCGCAGCACAGATGACGACTTGACTGCAGCAGCGGGACCGCGTGTCTCCTTCCAGACCAGGCAGGTAGCGACACAGCTCCTTCAGTCTCAGCAGCATGTCCACGTAACTTCTAGTACGTGCACACACACACAAAAACAAAAGTACTCCTTTTAAAAACATTTATATTTCTCACCTTAAAATAGCAAATGTTGCACAAATACACATGTATGTAACATACGCCTGCAAGTACTGCAAGAAAAATAAGTTATATAAAGAGATCTTTTTGTGACTCCAAAATTGTTCACAATTGTTTAATTTCATTGTTATTCGTTTGCACCTTTTGAATATTCCTATGTTACTATATATTAATCTGTCTTGTGTGTGTTATACTGAAAACATATTCGTGCCTTGCAATTACGTTTCATTATAATCTACTCTAGAGTGTCTCTGTCTCTCATATGATGAGCTAGAAGTGAAATCCATTTATATAAATTACAGTAGAGTAAATGTTATAAACACATCTCAGTATAGCACAGTACAGTTCAACAGCACCACAAACTACTGCATCCAAAAGCATAAACACTTTTCTAAAGCAGACTGATGACTGTCATGAATGTAGGATTTATTCCAGAGCTGCTGTATTAGTCTGCATTAGTCTTATCAAGGTGTGCCAAATATACAATGTGTACCTAATAAATAATTGTAGGCTATATTACAAGAGATACCTCAATACAAAATAACCCTACAGAGCAGTACTGGCTGATTGACAGGCAGACTGAAAGAGCACCTCTGTCCCTTGTCTCCCTGCCACTCGCAGCGAGCTCCAACCACAGCCAGGATATCCAACAGCCTCTCCCAAGGCTCTGCTACTACTGAAGACTTTTCCGACAGGCCATCAATCACATAACGCTGGGAGCCACGGGACACATTAGGTGACTTCAGAGACCCAGCTTCTTGAGAGCCTGAAAAGAAAGAACAAGGAATAAGAAAAAACAATGTCAGGGAGGCAGTGAATAAAAAAATATGGAGACAGATCCTACAGGGCAGGGAAACTTGAGATTCAAAATGATCACACTGGGTTATCACTAAGAAAAATGTTAAGAATATCAACACAGTGCAGCTTTACCTTGTATCTGTACATCAGGGGAGGGTCCACGAGTAACATAACCAATATAGAATTCAGCTGCTTTCAGCATGTACTTCTGCATCAGGCTGGCTGGCAAGCGCATGTCCATGTTGTTAATGACCAAAGGAAGGACATCACACACTGTAATAGTAAAGAAAATAGTATAAAACAAGCGTTTTTTGCAAATTAATGAAAATAGATTTGAGTGTAAGTGTTTTGCTCACCAAAGAGTTTTCTGAAGCAGTTGACAGGAGTCTCCACGTTCTCCGACACCTCTGCCTCCAACAATGTCTCTCCTAAATTGACCTAAATATACAGTAAACCATCGGCTTGTTACCATCAGCTATTTACACTTTGTTCAAACATGAAAATGGAAGAGTTATTGTATTATAATGTACCCCGTGCTGGACCACAGACTCTGGAAAGCGTTTCAGAAGGAGCAGCAGCATCTCTGCTTTCTCCAAAGTGTTGAAACACTGCTCTGTGGCTTTCAGCAGCATTTCACACTGCACACGGCCTGGCAGTGTCTCAAAGAGCCCTGGGCCAACAAACAAACAAACACAGAAGAAAAAAAACACTCTTCTGATTTCCAAAACAAACACTGTTCCTTGCTACCCACACTTCATTATCATGCTCCTCATAGTAATGATGTACACTAATATATGTATGCTTGTGTACTAACAAGTAAGCTTGACTCCTCTCACCTCGCAGAAACTGTGCATGCTTGTCCTGAGAGTCACTGCGCAGGGCAGCTGTAATGACGCTGATCTCCCGCCAAACAGTGGGCTGATCTGGGAAGTTTATAAACCTGTGGGGTGGACAAATCATTAGCAACTGAGCACAGGCTCATGACAGGGCACTTGGCATTGCCACTACTACCATAGAGATAGTACACTGTTACTCACATGTCATACAGGAGTCTCCCAGCAGAAGCGGTCCTCTCTGCATTGCGTTCAATGATGTACATTTCATACTGTGAAAACATGCCAAACAAACCTCACATTTCAAATATGTGATCATTCTGATACAATTATAGGCATCAATATCACTTAAGTGGTTCTATGATCAATAACTAAGGAGCTGGAGCAAAAGCTTGATATTACCTGTATGTTGAAGTCTGCGGGGTATAGGGTCCTGGCTGTTATGAGCCAGGCTTTGGCCGCACAGGGATCATCAGAGACCAGCTCCCGGGCTCTTTTCACCAAAAACTCGCAGTCTTTTTGCGCTGACATTTTACATGAATCGAGCTGTCAGTGCCAAGGCGACACACTGACCCAACACGCAGCTCAGGCTGCAGTTTAATGCATATGGTCACCTAGTGAAGTCTCGGTGGATAAATTTCGTTACGCTAAAAGAGAGCTTTTCTTTGCACAATGTAAGAATACAGCTAACAACAGCTAGCTAGTTAGCTTTAGCTATGTCACTATCTATTGACATCTTTGCTAGAATTGTTCATCAAGCCGTGTTCTATTATTCAATTATCTTATACACATATAACAACCGCAAATATAGATGAAAAGAAGAGCAATCGAACTGTTCTCGACATTACCAGTCAAAGTTAAACCTTTATTTACCGACACATTTTCTGACGTTACGATAACATCACACCGCAGTCGTAAAAATGACCGCTGCCTCCTGCTTTACGGCCAACTGACAAGCACTGCCTGATTAACTAGTCCACCAAAACAATGCGAAAATAGTTCATTTTTGTCTTTTTGTTGAATATAAGCGGTGCATCGAAAACTTCCAGGATGATTTGCCGACCCAAACTATCAACTACTAACTTCGTGCATTACATTTAACTAACTATTTACATGTGAACGATGCTCTCTGAAGTCGGTTGTAGTACCATCCATGTATTCTCAGATCTGTAGTAGTGCGCATGCGCTGAAGAGTTACTGCTGCGGTCACCTGCTGTTGTAGCTGCAGACACGACCTATAGTCAGTGGTGGCCCTAATCACCCTGCAAAAACTGCACTCCACCTGTCCAGGGGCAGGACAACGACTGGCGTACACGGCAGGTAAAGACTAATTTATGAGTTCAGCGGGTGTTTGACTAGAACTGTGAGACGCTGTTTGCCTCTACTGTCAGCGGAGTCTGCAGCCAATCATCAATCAGTTCTTGTCCGTCTTGACTCTGAGTATGTTAGCCACTTAGCTTGCTAATCAGACAAGTATTTTTGCTATAGCATGCTGCCATTATGTCTAACCATGTGTCAGCCCTTCCTCCATTTACCTTTAACATAAATTTGAGTGTTACAAACGTAACCGAGTAGGCCCCGTGACCAGCACTGTTGAGCTAGCCATGTTGGCTAAGCAGCCTAGCATTTGTGGGTGTAGCTATTGAGCGAAACAGGCTAGCCCGCGGTGAATTGTTGATCTTTACCTATTCATTCGCTGGCAAACTATTATAGGTTTGTGTTCTTGTTGAAATTGAGATCAGGGCGTTATGTCTGTATCAGCCTATTGACTGACAGCATGCTAGGAAAGCAGGCATGACACGACATGCTAAGTCGCTCAGAGGAAGCAGCACACAGAGGGTGTGTTCGCCATAGATTTAGGAAATCATCACATTGCATAACAGAGTGGTTCTGTTCTGCCCAAATCAGTTATTGAAAGTGTCAATAACATAATGTGGTTGTTATCCATAATGGGAAAACACTTCCTTCTTGCATTCAAACAGTGGTAGAAGAAGTATAGAGTCATTTTACTTAAGTACTAGTGCACATCACAATTTAAAAAATATACTCTATTACAGTTAAAAGTCCTGCATTCACAATTCAACTTGACTTGAAGTCTTAATGTAAGTATGATAAACAAAATGTACTATCAAAGTAAAAAGTACTCTCTATGTAACAACATGTATGCAGCATTTTACTATAGTAGTAGAGTACTAGAGTTACAGAATAAAGTAACATAAAATTAAAGTACTTCAGAATTGTACTTGAGTAAACTTTCTTAGGTATTCGCCAACACTGCATTCAAATATGACATACTGCATTCAGATATGAAAAATAGGAGCACCAAACCATCAGCAAAGTAAGAACCAAAGCAAAGTAAAATAAGTCATTCATTCTGAATGTAAAGATTATGCATTAACCTGTAAGAAGTATGATAATGGAAGTTATCAGAGTATTCCATGTAGTACTGTTGAGGAGATAAAAATTGTCACAGTTATATAATCTTTTACTGACTTTTGGACCCCACTTTATGTTTGCATAAAAAAATGTTATTCTGCAAACTAAAGCTGTCTGGTAAATGCAGTGAAGTTAAGCAGTTTCCTCTGAAATGGCATGGAAGTAAATATGTAAAGCTTCACAACATGCAACTAAAATACCAGTACCTCAGAGGTACAATACTGGTGCTGTACTTCAGATTTGGGAACTTGGGAATTCTATAACAGGCTCTTACACGTTAGAGGTCGTGTAGTAATCAGGTTTGTCATACTGACCTAAAACTGTGTTCAAAGATTGCTGGAGTGGTTGACATGCTGCGACCTCTAATGACCTCACAACTTTGACACCGCGGTCTCCTCCTTGCTCTATATTTAGACAACTCCTTCAGAACTTGTTTTATGTACTGAATGTATTTACACACTTGTTTTTGAATTTGGCAGAATCTTGCTTTCATTTGAGCAGATTTGTTATTGCTGTTGTATTAGCCAGGCTAGCTTCTTTCTTTCTTCAAAAAATAAAAACTACACAAAACACTTCATGACAACTTTGAACACATGGTGCTTTGTAATGTACATTAAATGAATGAGTGTCTTCTGCCACTCATAGCTATTTTGTCCACCTCCATGACCAGCTGACACTTATCTGTCTGTTAGATTGTGTAACAACTCTTATCAGTGGCCAGTTGGGGCAGCCTGCTTGTACAAGTTTAAGGCAGGTAACTCTGGTTTAACAGTTCAATCTGCAACCAATATTTTGCTTGTTATAGAAAGTATTTGCACAAATGAATCATATCAGTATATATATATTGACAATTATGAAAATATATATATATATATTCGATGTATGATAAAAAGGAATACTTGCTATAGTTATTTTAATGCATTTTTTACTTTTTTGGTTGGGTTTCATTTGCCTTTTACATGTAATTTGTGGTAATTTTCCAGTTAAGTTAATTTTCAAAATATTCACGTTATATTTACTGATTGTGCCTTCTTTGGTAAAGGTGTGTACAGGGACATATTTCTGCCAAAACTCTTTAATAACCAAATCTGAGGTATAGTATGTTTTGCAAAAATGCATTTGTTATACATTTATGTGAAAAAAAAACTACTCTGTCAGGTCTTTAACAGTTTTTTAAGCTTTCAAACATTAACATTTTGTGATGATTTCAGGCTCCAATTGAATCCAATTCCTTCTTTACCAAAATGTAATTCAGTGTGTACACAATGTCCACATTTCGATTGGATGAGGACTTCACATCAGGTCATCACTATCTGATTCTCCATATTTTCTATCTCTGCATTGTCATACTAAGATGTAAAAAATACACTTAAAAAGATAGTGATGATTAATCAGTTGGGTATACCTGATATTTTTCTCTCTCTCACAGAGTGCATACTTTACGGAGTGTGGTGCTGATGTGATGTTGGAGGATCAGGCTGTGGTGCATGGAGCCTCCCATGGCTGTTAGCACCATGGACTCTGAGTCAGCCCGGACACCTCAGCCCCAGGCTGCCCTGACTAAAGGAGGCCACTCCCTGCTGCATGCTGGGGCTTTAAGTGCCATGTTGGGCCCTCAAGGGAAGCACTATGTCTGTGGCTCCATTGCAGCTTTTACCAATATCGTGGTGACCTTCCCTATCCAGAAGGTGCTGTTCCGCCAGCAGCTGCATGGTGTGTTGGCCACTGAGGCGGTGCGGCAGCTTCAAAGGGATGGGCTGAGGAATCTTTACCGGGGCCTGTTGCCGCCGCTGCTCCAGAAGAGCACTACAGTCGCCATTATGTTTGGCCTGTACGAGGACTTCTCCAGAGTCTTATTGGACCTGGCTGATAGCAGTGGTGTGCCGGAGTTGGTTACACGGAGCTTTGCTGCAGCATTGGCAGGAACTGCAGAGGCCATCCTGACGCCGTTTGAGCGCGTGCAGACTCTCCTACAAGACCATCGGCACCACGCCCGCTTCAACAACACGGCCCACACCTTCCGGACACTTCTGACTGAGTATGGTGTCAGAGAGTGTTACCGTGGCCTTGTGCCTATACTACTCCGCAATGGCCCTAGCAATGTGCTCTTTTTCGGGCTCCGGGGGCCCATTAAGGAGCAGCTCCCAGAAGCCACTAGTCGGGCAGGTCACTTGGTGAATGATTTTGTGTGTGGAGGGGTGTTGGGCGCAGCCCTTGGCATTATGTTCTATCCATTAAATGTGGTAAAGTCTCGTGCTCAGTCACAGGTTGGTGGGGCCTTCCAGCCTTGTGGGAAGGTGCTGCTAACAGTGTGGAGAGAGAGGGGTGGCAGCTTGGCTATGCTCTTCAGAGGGGCCCACCTCAACTACCACCGTTCACTCCTCTCCTGGGGGATCATCAATGCCACCTACGAGCTGCTGCTGAAGCTCATATGAAGAGGGGGTGACAAAAAGAAAGAAAGAGAGAGAAAATATTTAAAGGGAAAAACCTGTAAGGAGTAATAGAGCCAGTTTGTAGAGAAGAAGGGTAATTGTAAAGTAAAGCCGATGCACTTGCTGTCTGGCATTGTTTGGAGTTTCCATAACTGAAAGACAGCAATGAAGTTGCACTTCTGACAGGGGCCAACAGTCATTGTGAGATAACCACCTGCCATTGTGACTATTTACTGTTGTCAGAGTATTAAAAACTAAACACACGCTTTAGCCTATACAAAACTTGTGCCAGGGTCCAATTCAAATGCCCTTGTTTGCTCTGTGTACAAAAATTTTGTGGAGCGAACTCCAGCGCTTTTTTTCACAGTTTCAAGCAAAGCTTACTTGACTGGATAAACTGTTTTATAGGAGAAGCTGTTTCTTTCTATGTGCTGTGTGCTGTGCTGTTTTGTAGACAATATCCATCTGTTTTTGTTTTTTTCTTTTTGACCTAGAGCACTTTGTCTGTGAAGCTGAATTCTGCCATTTAACTCAAACACTTTTGTGCTTTTGACCATTGAAATACCCCAAGAATTACTGTCAAAAAGAATGTAATAAACTGTGTGAGCGTTGGCCCTTTTATTTCTCGTTATACTCACTCTCCACCAATTCAGAGTACATGTCGAGGAGATCAGGAGGCTAAGAAATTGCTAAAATGAGTATCAGAGATATACATATTCTTGGACATACTGTCCAGCAGACACAGGCAGGCTATTTTAAAACCATTTCAACTTTCACACATAATTCATCTATGTGAACTGCGTAGTCAAGCGTTGTTTGTCTTGATTTATTTTCTGAAGTGCTAGTGGCAGGTTGTGTCTGTTATTTGAGTGTTGACAAGTGCCCATTGATGTATTATGTCAGTAAAACATACAGTTACACCCATATCTTGTCTGTTTTTATAATTTATTGAAAGAGAGAAAAATAATATAAAACCTTCACTATTCTATTGTAACAAAATTGGACAGAAAATGTTTTCCCTTTATTTTTGACAAAATGTTTGCGGCTTCTGAAAAAAACCTATAGCATTGAGAGCTATGATGAAATTCATTTGACTATGCACTGTTGCTGCATTTGCTCATTTTTGGGCCATTGTTCATTTATTGTGCTCCCTGATGTTTGTTTCCTTTTTATAAACTTAAATGTCACTTTTTTTTTTATACATGAATCTCTCACTCTTTTATATTTTCTCCTCACGCTTGTTCTCTTCTCTGTCAGTAACATCTGTTGACATAATGGGCTCAGATTTCAAGCTTGAGTAGATGCAGTCACCACGCGGCAGCTCTCGCTGGATACAACGGCCCAAAGAGGAAAGGCATGCTGCTTGGACACTGAAAGAGAGACTGAACTATAATGGTGCTGAGAGAAGACAGAGGCAGAGGGTAATGTTCAGTGGCACAAAAAGCTCAAGCTGCCATGAAAATGGTTCACTTGGCCTATTTCTTAAGTGTTTTTTTTTTGTCCACAGTCTACTGTGTTTCAGTACATCTTTTTAGGATTTTCCAGGGTTTCCTCTTTGAAAGTACAACTTTGTATTGTTAGGTTTTGAAAGCAAGACATCCTCGCTGATACTAAATAACGCTGTTTATAATTATCACTTCTCGTGAAGCACAAGTCACCCAATCACTATAAAAATGTCAAATTAATAATTGCAGTCAAATTAAATGTTTAAAATCAATCCAATAAAAATGTTAATAGGTTTGGCTTCATTCATCGAAAACGGTGACAAATGTTTCATTTGAGTAACAGACGTATGTACATTATGAAAGTTAATGGCTTCTGTGTGTTGTGACCTGTGTGTGCCAGTCCTCACCATGACTCATACTTCACAATACCATGTCTCATTTATCTGGCCTATTCTTGCCCAAATATGCACTGTAATCCCTTCTTTGTAATCAGTCACACAAACAGCATCACCATTACAATGATGTATTGTAGTCAAGCTGAACAGTGAACAAACAAGTATTTTGTGTAGTTTAACAGCTCAATCTGCTGTTTTACTATGTATTTAATCATAGAAGTGGCTCTTGCAGCAGCACTGCACTGTCGGACCATGTTATGTACGTGTGCGACAGTGCATAGTGCGACTTTCTAGATTACTGTGTCATGAAGTCAGACTGCAGATAATGATCAGATTAAGGGCAATCTGACATGGGTACTTTGGATCAGGGAGGGTTGAGCTGCTGTAGTTACAAAGCCTCTCAGCTCTCTCGCTGCTTCTTTCCACCCTAAAAAAAATGTGTCTTTCTGATGATCATCTTTGGTGAAATCTTAAATTTTTACATTCAAGTTCATTATTTAAGAATGTATTTTAATAATAGGAGTGGAAATGTTGCTCTAACTCAGCTGGCTCTGTAAATAATTTAGAGACATACCCTGTACCAAGAGAGAGAGAAAAGAGAAAGCAGGCCGCAGCAATCCATGCACAGATAAACACTGCCTTGATGTGAATGCTCATTAACTAATTAGTGGTGGAAAGATTGTACAAATAGTGAGGCAATTGAGACTGCTTAGATATATCTTCAGGTCTTCTTTCTGTGTGCTGTTGTTACATATAAGATCTTATATGAAACTGTATGTTTGTACATTAAATTAAGGTGACACAATACAAGGAGACAAAACGCAAACACTTGGATCTCCAACGTTATTAAGGTCAGTGTGTAATTTATTCCCAAACAATACATTTCTTGGTACATCGACTTCATTGTACGTGGGTATGGAAAAGTGGCTGCTCATGTAGAAACACAATGTCCTCTTTGAATATGAAATGCTGATGATACAATTTCACCATACAGAAACAAAACAAATAGGTGACACAGGCCCTCTTTCACTGTTTTGGCCTGTTTGTTGAACAACTAGAGATGCTCCTGAGACATACAGATGTCTTGATGTTAGTGCTGTGATGGACACTGCTACTGGACATTACCTCCATGGCAACTGGAAGCTTTGAGACCCACCTTATTTTTTCAGTCATAGCCACCTTGACAAAATTTCCCTCAGTCATCTACTTGGAAGATTAAATATACTTCCTATCTCTTCGCCACCAGCTAATCCCCTTATCATATTTGTATAAGCAACTGCTGACTGATTTGGCTTAATTACCTTCATGTTGTTGTAGGTGGCTCGAGTAATTCCTTCAAATCGGATGGCTCATCAAATGAGCTGGCAGCATGTGATATGGACGAGTTGATTAGTGAACACTGTACATCAGCAAACTGATCGAGCAATGTAATTGTTTTACTGACAATTCACAGACATCAGTATAGACAGGAGTCTTAATATTGACAAATGCTAATGCCATGCAACTTTGCAGAATGTTGCAATCCATAATGCAGTAAGTTTTCCCGGAACAAGACAAAAGCCAACATTCCAAACAAAGAAAGCACCCATTATATTCAAACAAACATAATGCAGCTATTGTTGTTTTTAATGTTAGCACAGAAAATAAGAATACATTATGTGGGGGGTGGGGGGTTTATGTTTGCATAGCCATAAACTAAGGTAAAGACAGAATAGGACACAGAGATATAAATGTATATCTACAGTTCTGACCCCAGCATACAGCAGTCAGTCCATCTGTCAGTATGTTATTAATAAGGTGGTGTGCCCAAAGAGGAAACCGCAGTTGTGGCTCAGTGTTTTAAGACTTTGGATCTTTGCTACATCTGGACAGAGTTTAACAGTCACCCTTGTGCCAAGTCAAAAACTTTAACTTTTTTTATTTATTTTTTTTTTATTTTCAAACTACATAAATAAGGTCCCCTGTTTTGCTCCCTGGGCCCTATCCACACATTCCCAGAAAATATATATGTAGCGTCCTTTGGATGAAAACTAGATTAATGTTATAATACTGCATACATTTGGGTTATGGGAGTATTTCCAAGAAGCATTCACTCAAGAGTCAGTCAGGACTGGGGAAAGGGTAGAAAAAACACTTTACACAAGGGTATGTGTCATAAAAAGGTGCAATCTGTAACAGTCAAAAGTGCTCTCCCTGCTTTGTAATGGTGTAGTTTTGTATCCAATTTATATGCAACTGTAATGTTGAAAAACTAAATCCTTAAAAAGGAGCGATCCCTGCACATACAAAACAAATCACTTAATTACTGTATTTTGTAAGTGTGGTAAAGTATATTTTCTGTCAGTAAAACGTACTGTAGTAATAAACTTGAAAAATGACACTTTACAGATTACACCTTGTGGAGTGGAGAAATCTTTAAAGCAGCAAAAGATAACATAATACTGTCTCAAAGAGAAGGAAAAATAAAAATTCCAGTGACATCCATATTTTTTTTTTTTCACCACAGACCTGCACGTCACAGACCATGGTGCAAATATTGTAAAAATAAATACATAAATACATACATGGGTAATCCATCCTTACATACATACACATATTGTATCATAAAATAAGAGAATTATAAGATAATTATAAAATTCATATGTACAAATGCATAGTTCATATGCATCCCAGAAGAGGCCAAGCAATGAAGTTTCCTCTCCTCGTTTAGGGTTTTGTTTGGTGCGTGTGGTTTCCATGTGGGTATGTGTCATGTGGGTTTATGTTTGTGTGCAGTGGTGTGCATGGCACTTACTGTACAGGAACACAGGGGTTACACACCAGTTCGCTCTGTGCTGTTTCATCTTGTCTCACGTCCAGAGTGAGTGAGTTAGTTAGTGGGTAAAAGTTCACAGGTCAAAAGTTGAGAGGTACGTGGCCGGGCGTGTTCGAGGTGTCTAGTGTGCGTGTCCGGAAGAGCTGTGTGAGTGCGAATACAGAGGAGATGAGCACGGTGCAGCGTTTGGCCAGTAGCCTCACCCCGTCACTCTCCCCCTGACCCTGTCCAGACCCATTGAGGCCCACACTCTTACCCCCAACCCCAGCACCAGTTCCAGCTGTCTCAACAGCCCCAACAAACTCCCGGTACAGACCCACGATCTCCTTTAGCTTGTCCATGGCCTCCTGACTGTCATCATCCTCATCCCCGTGGACCAGGCTCGCATTATGGCACATGTCACAGCCAGAGCAGGGGTTTGTTCGCAGGCAAGCGGCAGACAACTGAACCAAAGCGCTGAAGCTGTTGGATAAAGAACGTAGAGCTTCATCGGGAGCCCAGCCTACACGTGTGGCCCGCTGACACCCGGATGCCAATCGTCGAGCCTCTGCCTGGAGAAGACTCCTCTCAGCCTCTGTCATGGCAGTAGGGCTTGTCCCAGTACAGTTTGAGCCTGGTTCTGGGGTAGTACCGTCTTCAGTTCCATTGTGATTTAGGTCAGGCCCCACTTTTATGCCTGTGATATCCTGCTTTGAATCTGGACAAAATGTATGTTGTGGTTGCCCAAGTGCACCTCTCTCTAAGACTAGCAGAAGCTGATCTATATCTTGGCGAAGGGAGGCAAAACCCCCCTTCAGCCCACCGTAATTCTTGTTGGTAAGAGAACGAAGAGGACCACCGAAAGACGTTGTGGGGGAAACCGGACGTGAAACTAGGGGACTGAGTTCAGAGGAGGCAGTGGAGAAAGTAGAGAGCGGGCGGGGGTTGTCTCTCAGCAGAGACAAAATGTTGGGGTTTGGAGGGGGTGTTGTAGGAGAAGGGACAGGTGCCTGCCGGGCAGGTTTGGGCCGTGTGCGGCGGGAGAACTCGTAAACAGTAAGCTCTTCATCAAAACTGACACCATCCTCGGTGTCGCCGCTGAAACAGTTGGCGTAAACGGTGCGGCAGCCACAAGCCTCTCGGTGCTGCTGTGGTGGAGTACTGTCTGCGAGTGAGGAGGTTGGTGAGTCACCTCCAATTTGCATACTGGACACACCTCCCAACCCCACTGCTGAGTGGGGGCGTGACTGAGGCTGCTCCGATGAAACACTGCCACTGTTCGAACTATTCTCTTTAAAAGTCAGATTAGGGTGTGAGCCGTTTGTCCCGTTGGCCTTTTTCATGTGTGAAGTCACATCCTGGGCCTCTTTGATGGTGGCTATGACAACCTCAGCTCCATCCTCTAAAATGTTCCCTTTCCCTCCTGATTTTGAAACCACTGTCTCTTTTTCCTTGACCGGAGTTTTGTTTAAATCCGATAAACCACTGGCTACAGACAAACCAGAGCCAAAGCCAGATGTGTCTCCATTGATGGAGCTTGTGGAGGGATAGTCCAGAGTTCCCAAAATCTCCTGGGAACGGGTCATGTACCAAGGCAGAGCCTGGATCCTCCCTCTCAGGGCAGAGGCTGGTAGCCTGCCTCCCAGGCTGGACGAGCTGGTCCTCAGGTCTGATCCTGATCCAGATCTTCCAGGTTCTCTACTTTCTAGGCCCCCAACACCTTTAGAGTTGGTTGAAGTGAGGGAGGTGGTAAGGGTAAGAGGTGCATCTGTATTTTTGGGTGAGAGGCTCTCGTGACTCAGAGAGACCCTCCGTGGTCCTGACTGGATGCTGCCATTGCGGCTGCTCCAGGGGTGGATTCCATTTGGCGGACTAACGCTATCCTTGAAGACCCCTTTGCTTGGATCAGTGGGGGAGACAGGAGAGCTAGCAGGTATTGACAAAGGGTGGAGATTGGTGGGAGAAGTGGGTTTGGGGGGCACTGGAGGGGGAACAGCTAGCTTTTCACCTGAATTAGAGTGAGGGATAGGGGGTAGGTTCGGCGGCCTCTTTGCAGGTAGGATAGTCCCATTGCTTTTCCCTTCAACTTGAGGAGTTTCTTTTTCATCAGGAATGTTTGCTTTGTCTTTGGAAACCACATGTGCCCCACTCTCATGCATCACATCTTTCTTCTGTTTCGAGCTGTTTTCTTGCCTCTTGGTCTTTTCCTCAGGTTGTGGTGTTGTGATTTGTAGGGGTTGCTTGCTGCACCTCACTGCTGTGATCAAAGGTGATGACAGAGGCAGTCCACCTGCCCCGGATGTGACAGACTTGAACTCCATGGTGTCCGGCTCCATTTCCAGGAGTTCAGAGGACAGACGTCCAGAGGCATCCCCATTGCAGTGGGCATATGATCGTCCATGCTGGGGGGACTTGGGAGGAATGATCTGAGGTTTGGGAGGCAGCTGGGGCTTAGGTGCCAGTGGTGGTTTAACTTTAACTTCAGGTTTCTGTGATGGCTTTGTTGGACTGGGCTGTTGGTTGGTAAGTTGATTTGTGGTCCCTTTAAGTGTCTCCACTTGCTTCTTTATTTTAGAGGATTGTGGGGATGGCTCTTTCCCTGGCGCAGCTGGAACACCATTCCAGGTTCCACTCAACCGATTAGCATTTCGCCGGTCGGCCAGTTCAGCATCTGTGAAAGACAGAGACAAATCAAAAGAAAAGGACAGAAAGAGAAAAGCATCAATGAACTGACACAAATCTCCCCCACACCTCCTTTAATCACATCACTATCTCAAAGATAAATGATTTTATTTGGCACAGATAAATTATCTGATTTAGAAGTCATAACAAACATGATATGACTGTGAACAAACCTGATAGATCAGGAACTGGGGGAGTAAATCTCTCCTGTGCATCAAAAAACTCATCCTCAGACTCTGAGACAGTCTCTTTGACTAAAAGAGCTGGTTTAGGGTTGGGTGACGGGGTCAGGAATAGACCCTCTTCGTCCTTGGAGAGGCGCTGCTCAGCCTGTTCTGCTTTGTGCCCGGGAATTGAACTCGTCCTCATTGGGACTTTGGGAGGTACCTTTTTCTTTCTTTTAATTGGTGATCTTTGAAAGGGTATGCTGTCAATCATTCTCAAATCTCTTGAGCTAGGGATCTTGGAAATGCGTCTGAGTTCCTCCACTCCGTGCTCATCCTCCTCCTCCTCGTCATCGTCGTCGTCGTCGTCAGTAGTAGCCCCAGGCGGGCTAGGGAGGAAATCAGCCTTGGAGAGCTCAGCAAAGCAAAGGCAAGAGTTGTCATTTCCACGGTAATTGAGGTTGGTGGGTCGCAGAGGGCCCTGGCGGCGTTTTGGCTCTAGGAGGTAGGGGTGGTGAACGTCCAAGCTTTGTAGGTCCTCAGCTGTGCGTGGTCCACGGAGTGCGTCCATGCGAGATGGGGCTTTAGCAGCGGCACTGCTCTCCTCCAGTGCAGCACTCAAAGAGCCGCTGGACAAGCTGGAGAAGCTGCTGGTGACCCGTGGGTCAGTGTGGTACCAGGTGGTCTCCAGGTTCATTTCTTCATCTATAATACTAAATTTATGCAGACCACATCCTGTTGCTCCTCGTTCCTCTTCGCCCTCATTTTCCTTACCTTCTGTTGTCACAATTATCTTCACTTCCTGTTTGCCTTTGTGTTCCTCTCTCTCTTTTCTTTCTTCCTCTCTCCTCTTCTCTTCCTCCTCCCTCCTCCTTTCTTCCCAGTCCTGACTTGCAGGGTCTGGACGTTTGTAATTCTGAGAATCCATCGGGTCGTCCTCATCTGTTGAGTCATCTGAGTCACTACAGCAGCGAGACACATAACCTAATAACACAGGGAAAACACACAAACAAGACGAGCATCACAAAACAAGTTAACACAGTAGGAGAACAGAATAATGTTCTAAGTTTTTTAATCTAAATGACTTGCTTTTCTATCCGTACCCGTACTGGCTGGTGACATACATCAAGGTGTGATGTGAAAAATGTCTATCAAAAGGCCAAGGCCAAAAAGTGAGTATTTTAAGTGAAACAGTTTTTGCTCACTTGATAGGGATTCATAGCACACGCCCTCTATTACGGCGAACCTCCCACACACACCTTCTTCAGCAGGAATCCGGTGCACCCTCACTTTTGGGCGCCCCAGACGGAAGACATTGACACTGGGATCCACCAGGAGTTTGCAGTAGCCTCCCAGCAGACACCCTAAGTCTTTGGCTGCCAGAGAGTCCATCAGTAAGGCAAATGGCTGTGAGAGGGGGAGGGCATTGCAGAAGATAAGGTAAAGCGGCAGTGATTAAAGCCAAAGGGTAAGGGAAAAAAGGCGATGGAGTGGGAGAAAGAGGGAGAGAGAGTCACCTTTGAGACCAGTGAATTAGCTTTATATAGCTACCACACACTCCCTTAGGCTTCATATTGTTTGTGTATTGGAGGAGAAATGCCTGACCTATATTTACTCTAGCATGAGCTTTGGCGCAAATATAATGTGGTGAGTGAATATCCATCTTTCATATCTGTGTCAGTAGATGTGCCTACATGTTTATGAATAATAGAGCCTAGTGGCTGGATGACCATGTATATGCACTCTGTGTCTTCCATACCTTCATGTCGTGCAGTGAGATGCGCAGTAGGCTGACTTTGTCCGACTCTGAGAGCAACTCCACTCGGCTGATGCTGCTGAACTCGACCAGTGTGGAGATCACATTGAGCTTGTGGTTGATGATCTGACTCATTCCATATTTGGCCCCGACCAGCAGGCTGACCAGCACCTCCCTGTCTTGAAGCTGAATGTGGATGAGTGAGGAAGGGTACAGCAGATGAAGAGTTTGAGTTTGAGTTGGTTAAATTGTGATTATGTTATATGCTTTAGCAAATGGACCCATCAGGCCACATTAGGCTCTTAACCCTTACCATCATTGTAGCTGTGTATGACCGTCCGCCATATGAAATGAGCTCTCCCAGCTGAGTGAGGTAGGCCAACCGAGCTTGTGAAGCAGATATGACCTACAACGCCACAGTGGACGTGGAAGAAGGGAGAAGAATAACTGAGAAGGCAGACAGAATGAAAGAAAACCAGGGGAAATGTTATGGTTGACTCAGTGACCAAAACAATGCTCTCCACAGAGAAATATGCTCCATTTATTTTCCTAGAAACTTAACCCAAGCCCCAGACCCACTATTTCCTTTCAAATTATCCTCCCACCCACCCACCATCTATCTTTCTCCCAAGCTGCTATTCCACTTAAAACCACAGGGAGATTAGCAGTCACTGTAAGTGTCAACTAAAAAGTGCCCTAAAGGCTCCACTAAAATGTCACTATCTATCTCTTTACGCCTCTCAATGCTTCCTCCCACTCATCCATCAGTCTGTTTCTACCTTCTGGCGTGGCTCCAGCAGGGACTGGATCTTTTTGAGGTGGTAGCTGATGGCTTTCCTCAGGTCCTTCTCCCTCATGTTGCTCAGCAGCGTGGGAGAGATGAAGCTGTCAAGGCCAAACTCCTTCCTGTCATCACCACACACGCACAGAGAAATGAGAAGTGCACTGATACTCTGCCAGTTCGATGGCTGATAGAATTGTAAGTGAAGTTACAGATTAGTTACAGTTAAGTGATTTAGTTTTAAGTTTAAAGATGGTGTAGCGTTTGAAAGCAAGAGGGAGCTTGGGAAGTTTCATTGATATTATGTTTCTAATACACATGGCCAGCACCTAGTTTTTGGTGCGCTGTCACCAGACAACTCTTGTTTGGTGTGTTTGGTGTACACTTAAGTAACGTGTTATTCAGTATCCGGTCTTTTCTACAGGAGGTGATCAGTAATCTTTGCTGACATAATGTGAAGCTGAAGTTTGTTTATTAAAGTAAAACCAAATACAGACTGTACTAAAAAATATATAAAAACACATTGGGGTTTGTTGACTTTCGTGGAGTGCTGTATTTTTCTGCCACTAGATGTTACTAAACAGCCACATTTTGACTGAATGCCCCTTTAATTGTAAGTGTAACCATGACTGTGTCTGCAATGATATATAACCACAGTAATCTGTGACCACTGAGTCACTGAGGTGGTCCTTTGGGGAAATAGTCTGTGCTTTTATACAGTTTGGGCTCCGAAATGTCAAAGAGAGACGCAGAAAGAGGGGGAATTGTGTCACACACAATAAGACAATAGTGATCCACACATCACAAATACACACTCTTACACACACAAACCACTTCCCATCACATTAATAGATCAGGCATTTAGTGATCCCAGACAAATTACAATGATTGCAGCAGTAGAGCAAGCTTAAACTCTGACCGTAAACCGACACAAACACAAACCACAAACCACACTCACGTTATACTCTTGATCGAGGTCCTGGTCTGTCCACAACTGTCTAGTCTCTCGTGCATGTGCAGTGCTGCCAGGCGAAGTGCAGTGTTACACTTCATCTCCACTGCAAAACGCTCCTGCAGCACGTCCCCAACACTCTGAAAAGGACACAGTCATGCATGCAGACATCGCAAATACACATGTGCATTACAGTAAACCTACCAATGTACAACTAAAAAGCACCATATTTTTTTGTACTTGTGTGATATACCAACATACACTTCATCTCACATTACAAAATACACAGCTCATAAGCGTCTTTGCAAGTAAACCAACACTGTGACACCCTAACTGCCATTTCTACAACAAAAACAAACACAGCAAGAGGCAAAGATTCCTCGCAGAACAATAAATCAAGATGACATAAGTGGCACTCCCAATGCTTGACTGTGCACTAATAATATGCACAGGCAATCTGTGACTTTCATCCAGGGTTACAGAACATAAATGCAGTTTCAGACATGAGGTACATCACAGAGGAGTATCTGTATGCAGGAGCTGACCAAGTTCATTGTTAACTTCCAAAATGTTGATACAAGAAGTGACACAAGGCCGCAAAACAGTGATGAATGTTATTATATGAGATCAGGACAGTTTTGAACTAATATCAGGGAGAAACGAGGAGCAGCTGCTTGTTGACTTCAAAGCTGCTCTTGGCTTTGATTCTGGCATCATTTCTGTAATGTTGCTGTAATGTTTTTGGAGCAGATTTAAAGCACCCTAGAGCAAGTTGCCATATCAACATCTATTAAACATCAGATATACAACTGCAGACTAAGACATGCAGTAAAAAGAGTTTTTTTTTTTTTACTGTACGAACATTTAGACTTGTTTTCCACATGTAAGTAGGGAGGTGGGCCTAACTTCTGATTGTCAAATAAGAGATAGAGCAGGAGACAGAGAAAGTAGCACCACAGATAATAGAATTAGCTTCTCTAACCTGCAAAAATAGGTATTCAAAGGTAGAAGGGTCATCCTGCAGCAGGTCCACGGGGTCTCTGGGGATGAAACACACCCTGAACAAACATCGGTAATCATGGGAGTCTTTTTTCTGCACCACCTGGCGAGGACAAAAGACAGGGTCATGAAGATGTATGCAAGCTGTAAAAGTAAAGGCAACAACTCTGCATCCCATATGAGCCGAGTTGTACCTTGTACCCATTGTACCTCTCTTCAGTAAACAGCCATCCACAACTACTCTTATGTTTGTGTGTGGGTTTACATGCGTGTCCGTTTCCCTCACCTTCTGTATGAACTCGTCTTCGTGCAGCAGCAGGAGTTTGGTGATGCTGTACTGTTGCTCTAGCACCAGGGCAAAGTACTCGATGGCCCGGATGGACAGTTTATCCTTCAGAGTCAGAACAATGTCCTGGAATGGTGAAAAACCAACAGTTCAGACCCCCTTAGACAAACACGTTTCATCCCAGTCTGCTGGTGGCAGATGGTCAAACCCGATTTCCCCCCTCTCACTTTCCCTTTGGCTGGGAATACAAACAGAAATACAAATACAAAACCTGCTGTAACAATAACAATAACAATGTGCTCATAAAGACAGTCTCCAAAACAGAGTGTAGCTGACCGTGGTAACTTATCTTATGAGATTTGCTATCTCATTATGTTCTTCTCCTCACTTTTAAATGTATTATTCCATCATTAAGAACAGCTACAGTCTACCCACACTCTGTCACCCTTGGGGCAATCACATAATAACTTGTGGTGTGCTTTAATTACGAAATACACCCACGTGTTTCTAGAAAGCCTTTCCCAACCAGATCCACTCATGTCTGGTCTCATGATGTTTATGAAAAATGTGTGTGGGGGGGGGGGTCTCATCAGATCTTCTGAGGACAATGATGTGGACGGTGGATTAGATGGTAAAATTTCTATCCATCTTTCTACCTCTGCTCTTTTTTTTTGTTTCATCTGTAATTGCGGCTTGTTCCTCTTGTATATGTATATTATTCAACTTGGTATACACTGTGGCAGGTTTCTTCTCATTGGCTTGCATAGAGCGCACTGGTATTGACAAACGTGTCAACCACCCAAGAATGATGTGGCCAAGTCTTGTGCCAATCGTTAGCAAGATGCATCATCCAGTTATCCATCTTCCATTCAAGATTCATCAGATGTGAACAATCAGTGTAGCTGCTGTGGCCGGTTAAAGGTTGAAATTTTGACCTCTCATTACCAGGTTTCTGTCAGAGGATACAAGGCCAAACACTCCAAATACCGAAGGTTAGAATTGTTGAAGAAATTGCCAAGCTGCACTGAGATCCTTTTTAGTATTTACCTTGACAGTGGTGGTGTTATCAAACTTGAAGGCCTTGGTCTGTCCATTCTCTAAATAGACTTTTAGGACATTGGGCAGGAAGAGAAGAGAGTTTCCCTGGTGGAGAGAAGTGAGAGATGTCAGTGTGGCTAGACAGGAGTCAATATCAGATTAGGAAAGATAAAACAGGAAAAGGCAGCATGACAGCTTGGAGAATGAGACCAAAGAAAGACGACTCAAAGATCCAGAAATGAGGATGATTCATCTGTGGTTCACAACAGCCATCATTCTGTGTCAAGTAAGATTCTCCCACCTGAGTGTGCCCGTTGACCACCACCTCCTCTGCAAAGCGCACTTTAACTGGATTACTCCTCAGACGAGCTCTCTTCTCTGCCGACATGATGGATGACTTGGGATTCTGCAACACACAGACGTGCGCCATTATGTGAGGGCGGGACCACATACACACACACACGCCCGTGCACACACAGACACACACAGATACACACAGACACACACAGACACACACACACACACACACACACACACACTTGTTGAACTGAAAGCACTGCAATGACACACTTACTGAGATCAACAAAACATTAAGGCACAAACAACCACAGCCTTAATCAAAGGGTCGACACACACACACACACACACACACACACACACACACACATATATTTACATTGACACATCACAATCTGAGAGCAATGTGAAGGCAGTTAATCCTGTCAGAAGATTTCAGCTTCCAGTCACATGCTTGAAAACACACAGAGAGCTTATGTTTAAATGAAGAAGGGTGTAATGACTCTTTGTGAATGTGTGTGTGTGTGTGTGTGTGTGTGTCTGTGTGTGTGTGTGTCTGTGTGTGTGTGTGTCTGTGTGTGTGTGTGTCTGTGTGTGTGTGTGTCTGTGTGTGTGTGTGTCTGTGTGTGTGTGTGTCTGTGTGTGTGTGTGTCTGTGTGTGTGTGTGTCTGTGTGTGTGTGTGTCTGTGTGTGTGTGTGTCTGTGTGTGTGTGTGTCTGTGTGTGTGTGTGTCTGTGTGTGTGTGTGTCTGTGTGTGTGTGTGTCTGTGTGTGTGTGTGTCTGTGTGTGTGTGTGTCTGTGTGTGTGTGTGTCTGTGTGTGTGTGTGTCTGTGTGTGTGTGTGTCTGTGTGTGTGTGTGTCTGTGTGTGTGTGTGTCTGTGTGTGTGTGTGTCTGTGTGTGTGTGTGTCTGTGTGTGTGTGTGTCTGTGTGTGTGTGTGTCTGTGTGTGTGTGTGTCTGTGTGTGTGTGTGTCTGTGTGTGTGTGTGTCTGTGTGTGTGTGTGTCTGTGTGTGTGTGTGTCTGTGTGTGTGTGTGTCTGTGTGTGTGTGTGTCTGTGTGTGTGTGTGTCTGTGTGTGTGTGTGTCTGTGTGTGTGTGTGTCTGTGTGTGTGTGTGTCTGTGTGTGTGTGTGTCTGTGTGTGTGTGTGTCTGTGTGTGTGTGTGTCTGTGTGTGTGTGTGTCTGTGTGTGTGTGTGTCTGTGTGTGTGTGTGTCTGTGTGTGTGTGTGTCTGTGTGTGTGTGTGTCTGTGTGTGTGTGTGTCTGTGTGTGTGTGTGTCTGTGTGTGTGTGTGTCTGTGTGTGTGTGTGTCTGTGTGTGTGTGTGTCTGTGTGTGTGTGTGTCTGTGTGTGTGTGTGTCTGTGTGTGTGTGTGTCTGTGTGTGTGTGTGTCTGTGTGTGTGTGTGTCTGTGTGTGTGTGTGTCTGTGTGTGTGTGTGTCTGTGTGTGTGTGTGTCTGTGTGTGTGTGTGTCTGTGTGTGTGTGTGTCTGTGTGTGTGTGTGTCTGTGTGTGTGTGTGTCTGTGTGTGTGTGTGTCTGTGTGTGTGTGTGTCTGTGTGTGTGTGTGTCTGTGTGTGTGTGTGTCTGTGTGTGTGTGTGTCTGTGTGTGTGTGTGTCTGTGTGTGTGTGTGTCTGTGTGTGTGTGTGTCTGTGTGTGTGTGTGTCTGTGTGTGTGTGTGTCTGTGTGTGTGTGTGTCTGTGTGTGTGTGTGTCTGTGTGTGTGTGTGTCTGTGTGTGTGTGTGTCTGTGTGTGTGTGTGTCTGTGTGTGTGTGTGTCTGTGTGTGTGTGTGTCTGTGTGTGTGTGTGTCTGTGTGTGTGTGTGTCTGTGTGTGTGTGTGTCTGTGTGTGTGTGTGTCTGTGTGTGTGTGTGTCTGTGTGTGTGTGTGTCTGTGTGTGTGTGTGTCTGTGTGTGTGTGTGTCTGTGTGTGTGTGTGTCTGTGTGTGTGTGTGTCTGTGTGTGTGTGTGTCTGTGTGTGTGTGTGTCTGTGTGTGTGTGTGTCTGTGTGTGTGTGTGTCTGTGTGTGTGTGTGTCTGTGTGTGTGTGTGTCTGTGTGTGTGTGTGTCTGTGTGTGTGTGTGTCTGTGTGTGTGTGTGTCTGTGTGTGTGTGTGTCTGTGTGTGTGTGTGTCTGTGTGTGTGTGTGTCTGTGTGTGTGTGTGTCTGTGTGTGTGTGTGTCTGTGTGTGTGTGTGTCTGTGTGTGTGTGTGTCTGTGTGTGTGTGTGTCTGTGTGTGTGTGTGTCTGTGTGTGTGTGTGTCTGTGTGTGTGTGTGTCTGTGTGTGTGTGTGTCTGTGTGTGTGTGTGTCTGTGTGTGTGTGTGTCTGTGTGTGTGTGTGTCTGTGTGTGTGTGTGTCTGTGTGTGTGTGTGTCTGTGTGTGTGTGTGTCTGTGTGTGTGTGTGTCTGTGTGTGTGTGTGTCTGTGTGTGTGTGTGTCTGTGTGTGTGTGTGTCTGTGTGTGTGTGTGTCTGTGTGTGTGTGTGTCTGTGTGTGTGTGTGTCTGTGTGTGTGTGTGTCTGTGTGTGTGTGTGTCTGTGTGTGTGTGTGTCTGTGTGTGTGTGTGTCTGTGTGTGTGTGTGTCTGTGTGTGTGTGTGTCTGTGTGTGTGTGTGTCTGTGTGTGTGTGTGTCTGTGTGTGTGTGTGTCTGTGTGTGTGTGTGTCTGTGTGTGTGTGTGTCTGTGTGTGTGTGTGTCTGTGTGTGTGTGTGTCTGTGTGTGTGTGTGTCTGTGTGTGTGTGTGTCTGTGTGTGTGTGTGTCTGTGTGTGTGTGTGTCTGTGTGTGTGTGTGTCTGTGTGTGTGTGTGTCTGTGTGTGTGTGTGTCTGTGTGTGTGTGTGTCTGTGTGTGTGTGTGTCTGTGTGTGTGTGTGTCTGTGTGTGTGTGTGTCTGTGTGTGTGTGTGTCTGTGTGTGTGTGTGTCTGTGTGTGTGTGTGTCTGTGTGTGTGTGTGTCTGTGTGTGTGTGTGTCTGTGTGTGTGTGTGTCTGTGTGTGTGTGTGTCTGTGTGTGTGTGTGTCTGTGTGTGTGTGTGTCTGTGTGTGTGTGTGTCTGTGTGTGTGTGTGTCTGTGTGTGTGTGTGTCTGTGTGTGTGTGTGTCTGTGTGTGTGTGTGTCTGTGTGTGTGTGTGTCTGTGTGTGTGTGTGTCTGTGTGTGTGTGTGTCTGTGTGTGTGTGTGTCTGTGTGTGTGTGTGTCTGTGTGTGTGTGTGTCTGTGTGTGTGTGTGTCTGTGTGTGTGTGTGTCTGTGTGTGTGTGTGTCTGTGTGTGTGTGTGTCTGTGTGTGTGTGTGTCTGTGTGTGTGTGTGTCTGTGTGTGTGTGTGTCTGTGTGTGTGTGTGTCTGTGTGTGTGTGTGTCTGTGTGTGTGTGTGTCTGTGTGTGTGTGTGTCTGTGTGTGTGTGTGTCTGTGTGTGTGTGTGTCTGTGTGTGTGTGTGTCTGTGTGTGTGTGTGTCTGTGTGTGTGTGTGTCTGTGTGTGTGTGTGTCTGTGTGTGTGTGTGTCTGTGTGTGTGTGTGTCTGTGTGTGTGTGTGTCTGTGTGTGTGTGTGTCTGTGTGTGTGTGTGTCTGTGTGTGTGTGTGTCTGTGTGTGTGTGTGTCTGTGTGTGTGTGTGTCTGTGTGTGTGTGTGTCTGTGTGTGTGTGTGTCTGTGTGTGTGTGTGTCTGTGTGTGTGTGTGTCTGTGTGTGTGTGTGTCTGTGTGTGTGTGTGTCTGTGTGTGTGTGTGTCTGTGTGTGTGTGTGTCTGTGTGTGTGTGTGTCTGTGTGTGTGTGTGTCTGTGTGTGTGTGTGTCTGTGTGTGTGTGTGTCTGTGTGTGTGTGTGTCTGTGTGTGTGTGTGTCTGTGTGTGTGTGTGTCTGTGTGTGTGTGTGTCTGTGTGTGTGTGTGTCTGTGTGTGTGTGTGTCTGTGTGTGTGTGTGTCTGTGTGTGTGTGTGTCTGTGTGTGTGTGTGTCTGTGTGTGTGTGTGTCTGTGTGTGTGTGTGTCTGTGTGTGTGTGTGTCTGTGTGTGTGTGTGTCTGTGTGTGTGTGTGTCTGTGTGTGTGTGTGTCTGTGTGTGTGTGTGTCTGTGTGTGTGTGTGTCTGTGTGTGTGTGTGTCTGTGTGTGTGTGTGTCTGTGTGTGTGTGTGTCTGTGTGTGTGTGTGTCTGTGTGTGTGTGTGTCTGTGTGTGTGTGTGTCTGTGTGTGTGTGTGTCTGTGTGTGTGTGTGTCTGTGTGTGTGTGTGTCTGTGTGTGTGTGTGTCTGTGTGTGTGTGTGTCTGTGTGTGTGTGTGTCTGTGTGTGTGTGTGTCTGTGTGTGTGTGTGTCTGTGTGTGTGTGTGTCTGTGTGTGTGTGTGTCTGTGTGTGTGTGTGTCTGTGTGTGTGTGTGTCTGTGTGTGTGTGTGTCTGTGTGTGTGTGTGTCTGTGTGTGTGTGTGTCTGTGTGTGTGTGTGTCTGTGTGTGTGTGTGTCTGTGTGTGTGTGTGTCTGTGTGTGTGTGTGTCTGTGTGTGTGTGTGTCTGTGTGTGTGTGTGTCTGTGTGTGTGTGTGTCTGTGTGTGTGTGTGTCTGTGTGTGTGTGTGTCTGTGTGTGTGTGTGTCTGTGTGTGTGTGTGTCTGTGTGTGTGTGTGTCTGTGTGTGTGTGTGTCTGTGTGTGTGTGTGTCTGTGTGTGTGTGTGTCTGTGTGTGTGTGTGTCTGTGTGTGTGTGTGTCTGTGTGTGTGTGTGTCTGTGTGTGTGTGTGTCTGTGTGTGTGTGTGTCTGTGTGTGTGTGTGTCTGTGTGTGTGTGTGTCTGTGTGTGTGTGTGTCTGTGTGTGTGTGTGTCTGTGTGTGTGTGTGTCTGTGTGTGTGTGTGTCTGTGTGTGTGTGTGTCTGTGTGTGTGTGTGTCTGTGTGTGTGTGTGTCTGTGTGTGTGTGTGTCTGTGTGTGTGTGTGTCTGTGTGTGTGTGTGTCTGTGTGTGTGTGTGTCTGTGTGTGTGTGTGTCTGTGTGTGTGTGTGTCTGTGTGTGTGTGTGTCTGTGTGTGTGTGTGTCTGTGTGTGTGTGTGTCTGTGTGTGTGTGTGTCTGTGTGTGTGTGTGTCTGTGTGTGTGTGTGTCTGTGTGTGTGTGTGTCTGTGTGTGTGTGTGTCTGTGTGTGTGTGTGTCTGTGTGTGTGTGTGTCTGTGTGTGTGTGTGTCTGTGTGTGTGTGTGTCTGTGTGTGTGTGTGTCTGTGTGTGTGTGTGTCTGTGTGTGTGTGTGTCTGTGTGTGTGTGTGTCTGTGTGTGTGTGTGTCTGTGTGTGTGTGTGTCTGTGTGTGTGTGTGTCTGTGTGTGTGTGTGTCTGTGTGTGTGTGTGTCTGTGTGTGTGTGTGTCTGTGTGTGTGTGTGTCTGTGTGTGTGTGTGTCTGTGTGTGTGTGTGTCTGTGTGTGTGTGTGTGTGTGTGTGTGTGGTCAGGTCATCAGTGTCTTCTTTGTACTCACTGTCATGTGCCGTAGGATAGTCACAGTGATACAATCCTGCAAGTCCCTGTGCGGAGAAAGAATACACACACACGCACACACACACACACACGCACACACACACACACGCGCGCACACACACACACTCACACACACACACACACACACACACCATGCACGTACACACACACACGCACACAAGAGAGATCATTATCCTTCTGTCCAGCTGTAAAGTAAGCACTTTCTCCTCTGACCTTTGCCCTTAACTTGCTAAGCCTTTCTCAAACACTCACTCTCTCTCACACACACACAGACTCCCACATGAATAATGCTCACACACTGAGTGGACTGGACACACTGGTAGTATGACAATGGTCCTACTAACTGAACTGGTTTTAGATAGAAAGATAAAGTATCTCTGCAATTTGTCTCACCTTAAGATGTTTTCCACCTGCTCGGTGCTCAAATCCTCCAGCACTGTATCATTAATCTGCAGCACCTGGTCCCCTGGGAACAGTATCCCATCTGCAGGACTCCCTACACACACCCACACCCACACCCACACACACACACACACACACAATGAAAAGAGTGAGTGCTTGCATAAAACAAAAACTCAGCTGCACACGTGGGCTTGTACTTTCAGTTCAGATAAAAGGGAGATATACACACAGATATAGGCACACTTACACGCACACATGCACACACACACACATACACACACAGAATGACACACATGGTTATTCAACATGGCTGACTCAACAATGTTCAGCTGAGCTCTCCAGGATGTGAGGGGTTACAGTTATTCTGGGTCTCATCCAGCTCGGCTCCGCTCTGCTTTCTCTGGTTATTTATACTCATTTGTCTTCAGGCAAGAGAGCACGACTGAGGCACAGCAGCTTCAGCTTACTCTAACACACACACACACACACACTAAGCGTATGTATGCATAAACACATACGCCCATGCACGCTTATTTTCACACACCCAGTCTGCCTGGCAAAGCCCCGTCTGTCCCTGATTTTTGACCCACTGACGGGATGCTACACTGCTCTGCAAGCTTATGAAAACACACGCACACACACACACACACACACACACAGGCTACACTTGCACACACTCTGTCTCTTTCCAGACAAGCCAACCCCCCCGCCTCCTGTCGAGCTTTTAATGTCAACTCTGCCAATATCCTGATCTTTGCGGTTTTTCATGTCCCGTCCCTTCCCTCTCTTTTTTTCAAGTCCTTCTTCCTCATCCACTACTTCCCTCTCACATTCACCTTCTCACCTCGCTGAGTCCTCCCACACCCGAAGGAGTCAGCCTTCCACCCTCTCTGCACTTCGCACAATTTCACACTTATTATTTTGCCCTCTTTGGTCATATTTGCACGTTGGTCGTTATGTATTCCCTACTGGGTATTCCTGCTGGCATCTTCTCTGTCTATTAAATCTTGTTTTCTGTTATCACCTCTCTCTCTCTCTCTCTCTCCCCTTCTCTTTCCCACTCCCTCTCTTTGGCATCAGATAGCAATTACAGAGCTGGTGGCAGGGTGGGACCCCCCTCAGGGCCTTTATCAGCTTATTTTACAGGATTGACATAAAAGTAATGGATCAGCATCTCTCTCTCTCTCTCTCTCTCTCTCTCTCTCTCTCTCTGTCTCTCTTTCTCTCTCTGTCGCTTTCTCTCAATCCCCCCTATCAAAGTTGCCTAAATGAAAAGTGATTGAATTTAGAAAGGATGAGCAGGTGGCTCTGTTGTTTCTGTGGCTTCTCTGGCACCGTGCCTTGCAGTTTGAATGCCAGGACAGAGTCAATGTGTTTGTGCGTGTGTGTGAGAGAGAGAGAGAGACAGAGAGAGAGAGACAGAGAGAGAGAGAGAGAGGGAGGGAGAGAGACAAAGAGAGTATGTAAATCTGTCTTGCTGCAGGCGGTGCACTGTTGCATAGAGCAGGTGGCCATTTGGAGGGGAAGCTGGGAAACAAAGTGCACTCTTCCACATACATACAAACGCACACCGACGCCCACCACACATGCCGCGTACCTGTGGCGACGTCCCTGACCAGCAGGGGTGGGTTTGTGGTGAGGGTGAAGCCATGTCCAGTGCTGCTGTCTAGGACCGGGTCCCGGGTAATCTGCAGCGTCAGCTTGGCCTGGAAATTCTGATTGGACAGACTGTTGGAGCGCTGCGACCTCCCATCGCCTAGCAACCGCTCTCTGAAGAGGTCAAACAGGGTGACAGGTTACCTGAGTGGACACTACTAACACTGTGGCCATCAACAAATAAATCCAGGTCCATTAAAGGCAAGATACGTCATCACTGTTTACGTGTTCACTGGCAACACCCTCTTTTACAAATCATGTCTCTTGTTTATCAGGCAATGACTATTATTACTGTTAGTGACTCTGCACTGCACTCTCTTTTTTGTTCATTAATCGATGAGTTTCTCACTAAAATGTCAGAAAATTATGAAAAATGCCCATCACAGATCAGCCCAAGATGACATATTCAAATAGCACAATTTGCTGAACAATTCAAAACTCAGTTCATAATGATATAAAGCATTAAAGAGCAGGCAAATACTCAGATTTAAGAAGCTGGTTGCTGCAAGTGATTGGCCTTTTTGCTTGAAAAGTGAGTCAAGTGATTTAAGTGATTGCTAAAATAGTTGCCAGTTAATTTTCTGTCCTTTGACTAATCAATTAATCGACTAATCAACACTCATAAACATAAAACAAAAACAGTCTACATGTTAGTTCCTCTGCGACTTTGAGCTAAATGCTACATGCTAACACGCTCACAACGACAATGTTTACCATGTTTAAAGTTGTTTTACTTTACCATGTTAGCATCCTAACATTTGAAAGTAGAGCTGGGGCTGATGGGAATGTGTGTTTTGAGCTGTTGATGGTGCCAAATAAAAAGTTACATTTTTAAAGTCATTACAATTCATTCGAAGGGGGGCATGGATGTCTGAACCAAATTTCTTGCCAATCCATTCAATTGTCGTTGAGGCAATTATCTCAAAACGACACTTGCTGACCTCATGGTGGGTCTAGATGAAAAGTCAGGGGATCACCATAGTCATTAGGATTCATCCTGTAGGTGACACCAAATTTAATGGCAGCTTGGTTGCTAACATTCATTAGCAGGGCAAGTAGCCATTATTGTGCGCTTCCTAAAAAATGGCCATTTTGAGGAGCCAGAGGTCACATTCCCATAAACTCTGGGAATGTACAGCTCAAGTGCACTCTGGGAATCTACAGTATCTGTATTCTTTTGTGTTGCATTTAAATCTAACAGTGACATCCTCTTCCTGAGGTCTGCTGTCCAGCTGTTCTTGATATGGTCAGACTCTTTCCCCAAGAATTTGTAACAGGGAGTTTACTGGGCCTCCACTGCATCGCCTCCTCTGTTGAGAATGAGAAACCACTTCGCGGACAGCAAGGCAATGAAGGTCTCTTGAAAGCATATTTGTGGTGCACTGTGGGGTGTGTTTGTGTGTGAGAGAGGGACAGTCAGGTTTTGAACTATGTGTTATGTGTCTGAATGTGTGGGTGTGGGGAGGGGATCTGGTGTGTCTGCTGATAGGAGAAATCAATTTCTCTCTCTCTCTTTTTCTTTTTTTTTTTTTTACTTTAACATTTTATTTTATTTTTGGGGATATTTCTTTTCTATTTGGATAGCCATTTCTATTTAAAATGCAATTGCAGATTTTCCCAGCTAAAAACACCCATTTGTCAAACTACATTTTTTATTTTAAATGATACATACCACACATCCCACACTTCTTCCCACTACAGGATCTGGCAGCAGGCCTAGAAGTGGATAATGCTGTTTTCTCCACCCTCTATCCCAAACTTGGCTGTTTAGTTTTTCTATACTATAAGTTGTTTTATTTGTTGTTGACGCAGTGGTTTGTGTTGGGTCGGCATTTTCTGCTAATACCAGCTGTGTGCTGCATCACTTTCTACTGCATTCTCAGTTGTTTTCCCATCAAACTCTATTCTACTTTCTCACACAGAGGATATAGGCTCTCTTAAACCAGAATGTCAGCTGTTATATTCATGTCCACTCTGTACCTGCTAAGCGACTCTCGGGTGCGTCGTATTATTGTTCCCACCACCTGCTGCACCCGACTGGCCCTTCGAGCCGGAGATCTGCTCCTACATCGCTCATTCTCCTCCATTTATCTACAGAGACAAAGAGAGAGACGGGTTTGAGTTACAGACATAATTCTAAAGATGCAAAAAAAACTGAAAAAAAGAGACATGGAAAGAAGATGACAGGATCTGGAGGGGGAAAATAAGTTAGAAACTGTTTCGAGTTTAGCTCTGTCTTACTGGACTATGTATTCAGGGCCAGAATTGTGCTCCAGCTAAATTTGCATTGCATCTGCTCTGTTTTTACATGCAGAGCATGTAGCCTGCCTTGAATACAGAGAATAATCAGATATGTGAGCAGAGAGCAAGAAAGGCTGAGGGAGAGAGAGAGAGGGGAGTGGAGTTTGGTCAGCATGTCAACACGTCACACAATGATTCTCAACAACAACTGCACCATCATAAATGAACAGAATTCAAAAAGACTTCAACATAAATATAAAACAATCCTGATGTTCACAACAACTCCAACGCAGCTGTGCAAATTCTGCTTAGCCTGCTCTTTAAACAGAAGAGAGGTGGGGACATAATGAAAGAAAGAGAGATCAGTCAAACCCCAGGGAGGCAAAGCTGGTCAGCAGTGAACCCCGACCAAATCTCAAGACTTACGACTCTCCTCAACTGCGTTTTTGTTTCTGTCAGCCAATCAATACGCTGGCATTGAATTTGTGGAGACTAATAATAAGAGGTGCTTCAGGTGAGTCAAGTTATCTCTGCATTTTTGTCAGCAGATACTATTTTACTGTTGTCTTGTCATCAGCCACGACGTTAAAACCAGTTACCAGTTTTAACGCTGTGGCTGATCTGGCCCTGCGAGGGTTAGGGTAAATGGGGCGGGGAATAGAAATAAATGTAGGAATAGGTAGAACTGCGACCCAGACTTGATCAATACAACTAACGATGATGAATGTGCTCCTGAAACCTAATGATCCGTACCTTGGCCTCAGCAGCTGGCAGGCTTGAGAGCTTAGTTTGATCAGCTCTCTGAAATATGGAGAGAGCAAGCCAAGATCTTAAAAGAAGCAAAATTATGTGGAAACAATACACACTGCATTGCAATCAATAGAGGATGTTAAGCAGTATCGCTGTGAGTTAAGACATATTCATGAGATAGAAAACAAAATTACTTTGTTTTTTTCTTTCCTTTTTTTTTTTGAAACAATCAGCAGCTAAAACAACAGGATCTTATCTCATCTCATCTCTGTTGACGTGACCACTCATGGTAGGCCAGCAATGACTAGCCACGCTCAGTAGTAGTAAAGCATGCAGTGTAGGTCTGTCCTTTAAGAGGATTAGAGGCCTTCGCTCTGCACGGGCCCACAGTGGTCAGGGTGTCACTTTAGCACCTCCCGCTGATCCGGATTGAGGCAGATTGACGTGGATGAGGAGGGATGAGTGAGGCTAGGTAGCTGACAGTTGCACATGAGGAGCCGAGTGTGGTTGTTGACACACACGCCCCGTTCGTTCGCAGAGAAAAGCAGAAACTGACTCTGGGCTCACAGGGATCATGATACATGTTTGGACTGCTAACAGAGACTTACTTAGATTGTGCTCCATTTGCATGACACTGTGTTGTTTTGTTGCATTCAGTACACAATCGCTGGCAGGCATGTGGATGTGCATATGTGTGTCTGTTCTATGTGCTGAAAAGGCGCCTGCAGTCAGTGCAGAGTCAGGTGACAGTTTTTGCTGTCATTCTCCCTTTTTCTCTTTTCTCTCTTTCACTTTCTCCTTTCTCTCTTGCTTCCTCACCCTCTCTGTCCTTGCCGAGTCAGGGAGTCGTCTCCGATGACAGTCTCTCTGGGCAGCAGCAGCCAGCCATTTTTATATACATGCACATCCTAAGCACTTGATCAAGGTGCTTACTGTCCTCACTCTTTACAGTAACAGCCCACCTCTATAACTTTCCTAGAACAGATAGTTAAGCAGGTGTAAGGGCAAACATGCTGAGTGTAATAGCATAAATGGTTCAACCCCTGAAGCGCTTACATTTTTTAACAATTAAACATTCCACCAGAAAATGAGCTACTGCACGTTAATTACAAGTGGTGAGCTTCTGGGAAAGGCAGGCAAACATTTGCCATCTAATCTGTCCTCGGGAAACTCAAACCAACACTTTCAGGGGCTCAAATCTTGTTCACATATTTTAAGACAGCAGCACAATGTCCCACATTTTAACTTAAGACTGTGAGAGCGTGACTCACCGTGATGTGGCTTGTCTCTTCAGGACTCCAGAACACAAATACCCTCTCGCCCTCTGAGACATCAGCTCTGCAGCCCCTCCAGGATTGGCTGAAAAGAGGTGGAGGGGGGTCCTTGTGATCATCAGGGCCAATCCCAATCTGCTGCAGCCACCTGTGTAGAGCAGAGCAGCGCTATCAGGGAGACCTGTCAAAACCCATAAACAAGATGCATATCCACACGACAAGTTTATAATTAGAGCGAGGCGTGAAACGACCAGTTATCAAGTCCGATTAAGCTGCGTCCGCCTTGGATTTTTAACCTATTTATAAGTAACAGAACTATATTCGAGTTGTTGATAGTTTCAGAGTGAACACGCAAGCATGTTAAGCAAAGCAGATGTGAGTCCAAACCAGCTATGTGGTTGTGGTTTTCCAAGAGGCCCCTCCTCTGGTCCCCAAGGCTTGCTCTCTCTCTCTCTCTCTCTGTTGTCTCTCTCTGTCTCTCTCTCTCTCTCTCTCTCTCTCTCTCTCTCTATCTCTGTCTCTCTCTCTCTGTCTCTCTTCCACTCTCTCTACTCCTCCGCAGCCTCGAAAGCACATGGCAATGTGGAGACGAGGCACTCCATCTCCGTCTGGTTGTCTAAATTAAAATTTCATACCGCCCAGTTCAGCTAACAGTTCTTACTGGGCGTGCTCTAAAAGCAAAGAGGACAGCCTGTGAATCCTGATGTGGTGGAGAGAGAAACGCTGCCAGGCCGACGGAGATCTTGGCCAAATAATAAAAGAGGACAAGTCTTTCATATGAACATCAGGGCAGATATGGCTGAAACCTTAGCTGGCCTCTGGTTTGGGGAGAAAAACAAACTGGGGGAACGCTTTGTTGTGAAAAGCCTGGCTGTTGAATTAGGAGAGACACTGAATAAACATTCTTGATCTCGTCTAAGGAAACCACCTCATTTTGCACTTGAATGTTGATCTGTGAAGTAAACTCTCACTCCCAGAGGCTTTCATCTAGAAGAGAGAGCAGAAATCAAGGAATTGATAGCTCCATCTGTGCAGCTCTTCCACCAGGCCCTGTGTCCCACACACAGAGCTCTTTCACGGGGCCCGTGTGTCCCAGTGAAAAGCCAGCAGAAGACCTAGACCCACACAGACTGCAGGGCATATGAATAATGCATGGGGCTAATGCAGCTAGCTAGGCCTCCGACCGCCTCCTTCTGCCACTTTGCCAACACAGGCAACAAGAAGAGTGGAGCACAGAAGAGGAGAGAGAGACACACAGGAAAGACGTATGGGGGTTGCAGAGGTGAGGAAGGGGGAGAGGGAGGGGTGTAGGGTGGGGGCTCAGAGGGGCTGAGAAAAGGGGAAGGGATACAGAAAAGAGAATTGGTCAAGGCAAAGAAAAGAGAGAAAAGACAGGATATTGAAGGGGGAGGAAAGGGGGAGCATTTTAAAGAGGGTGAAGAGGGCAGCGGCAAAGAAACGAGGGAGTAAAGCTGCAGGAGAAGAAAAGAAAGAACAAAAGTATCTACAGTGAGACGTTCACCGGGAGGAGTGGGACAAAAAAAGCTGATCAGTGCAGTATTTCTCCTCCAACCAAGAGCAGACAAAGCCAGGCAGCAGACATTGATGTATGGTCAGTCATTAAATTAATAAATAAATAAAACGCAAACCTGTCACACTGTTACCATTTGTCTTCTTCCTTGCTTGCTTTTAATAAAGAGATTGTTCCCTCTTTCTAATGATGTGACAGCATTCTCCAGTTGATCCCAGTTTCAAATCCAAGACAGTAAAAAAGCTTGTCTGCGAGCTGTTGATGAGTCTGCTCCTAATCTGGTTCTGAATCAATAGTAATCGCGAATCCTGTCCTCCACTGTCGTGTCCTTAAGTCCCCAGGCTGCCCGCACACACAGCTCATCAGCGAGCCTTGTAGTCTGTCTGGCCTTTCACTCATTCTCCCTCCTTTACTCCCTTCACCTCCCCACCCCTCCTCCAATCTTCACTGTACATGGAGAATATTTGTATGAGGTGCTGTTAGGTAATGAAGGCTGTCTCAAACCTTCTGTTTCAGCGGCTCTGAGACAATCTCCCCTCCACCCCACCCTCTCTCTCTCTCTCTCTCTCTGCTCATTTTCCCACACAATGTCTCTCTGTCTCGGACAAAACAGTCAGTTATTCAATCCTGTCGCCTGGTATGAGAACACATGCAGTTCATAGAAGTACTCCACTCTCTCCTCAGGGGTTGAGAGGTAGTACTGAACTGGCAGTTTCTGTGCAGCCAGCTGGACAGAAAACAGTCCAATTAACGCTGCTGGGCCACTTCGGGCTGCTGAGGGTGAGGGACGGGGCCTGGAGAAGCTGCATTTAGACATGAAGTGGGAAAAACATGTCCACATATAGCTGCTGTCCTGCTAAATACATAATCCAGGCTAATGGATATGACAATCTGACTGACAGGATGAATTTATCTGTAATAAACTTAAACTCTTAGTCACTTAGCTGTGCGCACTGCTAAATGAAAACTGGACTCAGCACATGGACACTCTGTTAATGCAGTTACACACACTGAAACACACACCGCTTGCATGCACATACACACACATGCTCGCAACTCATACGCCTTAATATGATTTGCAACTGGAGCGTTACACAATTGGTAACCAGACTCCAGCAGAAGTCTTGCTGACTAGCTTTTATTTAGAAAAGACCAGTTGGCTACTACTGACATTTCGTTCCCAATCAAACACACACACACACACACACACACACACACACACACACACACACACACACAGCCAAATACGACACACCGGATACAGCTGCACCGCATGAGGTAGCAGCAGCAGGGGTTGGTTCGGCAACTCGACAATTCATTTTGGCTCACAGTCACTGGCAACAAAGCTGGACACAGACATCAGTGAACATTCAGTCCAACAGCAGCACACTTGGCAGATGTGTCCGCAGTGTATGAATATCTGGATGACTGACTTGAGGTGAGAGTGATTTATGTTTATGAGAAGCATCTGGTTTGCTTCAGATTCCATAAATGCAAACTTGTAAATGTAAGGGAACACCAAGCCCAGCAGACAACAAATACTCTAAAGATTCATTTCTCTGTGCAAAAGGCTGCGGACAAATGACTCACAGATGATAGGTCATGCTTTTGTTTCAGGGGCTGAGCTTTGACATCAGGTTAACAGACATACATTTACACTCATCAGACACTCCTTCTAGTCTTATGCTGCAAATGGTTTTATGTATTTCATGATTTTTCTACATTTAAGTTACTGTGCAACATCATGCTCACAAGCAGCTTCCACAATAATCACTGCCATGTTCTTATGTCTATAATTTCATTACATTTACTAATATTAGACTCATCCATGAATACATTAATAGGAGAGGATAAATTTGTGATCCCCTCACCTTCCCTCTAGTGCCAGTGGCAGATTGAAATCTGTGTTTCTTAGTAAAAGATCTCAACAACTATTGGATGGATTGCCATGAAATTTGGTACAGACATCACATCTCCCTCCCTCCGGACCAAATGGAATCACTTTGGTGACCCCTTAACATTTCATCATCAGATCAAACCTTCATGTTTGTCCACTGCTTTGATTCATGGTGATTCAGTAATGATATCACCAGCAGCTGTACTTTGCATTTACTGCTAATTACCAAATACTAGCATGCTACATTAAGATGATAAACATGGTAAACATTATACCTGCTAAAAATGAGCATGTTAGCATTGTCATTGCGAGCATGTTAGCACGCTAATGTTCACTTAGCTGAAAGCACCGCTGTGCCTAAAGCTTAACAGAGCAGCTAGCATTGTTGTATGGACTTGTAGTCTTGTTATCATATAATTCTTTGTTGTCTATTGTCCTGTTTTCTTGTTGTGTTGCTCATATTCGTATAAAGTGCCAAAGGGACAGGTTTTGTTAACACGCTTTGGCTTTATAAACTATGCTTTATGGCTTTAGGGCTGCAAGTAATGATTATTTTCAATTAATTTGTCGATTATTTCGATCAATCATTGGAAACAGAGGGATATTCAAATTTGAGAAGCTGGAAACCCTTTGTCATTTTACTTAATGAATCAATTCTAATAGATACTGATAGTTTCTGTTGATTTACTAATTCATTAATCAACAAATCATTGCAGGCAGCTCTATTTTATATAGGCTACTGTGGTATGTAGCGTTGCTATGCTATGGACTTGCCGATAACAATTAAACATAATAATAAATTAATCTTGCGCTCCCTATTGCAGTCTGCCGTCAAACAGCAGCTTGGTGGCGTGTTTGTCTGTTGATTGCCACTGTTACTTGTGACGTTTGGCTGGTTATTTTGCTGTTACCTGTCCCCCAGACATAATCACATCTCCTGTTCTTCATGCAGCCTGTCAGCTCATTCCATTAGCATTAGGAAGACAGGGCTCACTGTGCGCCGCTCATTTCATTTCCCCTTTCATCAGCGACCTGGCGAGGCTTGAGTTCCCCAGTGCACTATTAAATAATGAGTCTTTTGAAGATTAATAGTGCACTGCATTGTGTTACAGATTTCTATCAATGGTTGTGATGGTTCTGGAGAGAGACAGACAGACAGCGGGACAGAGAGAGTGAGAGAGAGAGGAAGATCTTGATGTTTTAGGAAGGCCTTTGGATGTTAGTGGATGATGGATGTTGCAAGTCTGGAAAACTGTCTGCCTCACTTCTTCTGTTGCTGTCTGAGCCAATTTCCTTCAACTCAACGATCCTTCAAAAAACTGCACAATAGCGGTCTTATCTTTAAGTAAAAGTAATATGAGTGCAGCCAGCAAGCCAGCAGCTACAATAGGCATCTGGGCTCTGTAATAATACTTACATACAGCTACAGCCAGACTTTAATATTTTATGTTACACCAAAGAATAGAGGAGGTGAAAACCTGGTTATAGGGAGCTGATGATTTACTTAGGCCTTATGATTTTCTTAAGGGTAATATAAATGCTTTTCATTCTCTTTATGTTTTACTACATCTTCATAAATAGTCGGCCTAAATCACAGCACCACTGCCAGTCAATTGTGCCATCACCATGGAGCTGTCACATCAATGAGGTCATGTCTCCTTTTTCCTCTGCTGGAGTAATACTCGTACAGTTTGAGGGAAAATATGCAAGTGCGCAGTAAATCCAAGCTCTGATCCAATATCCATCAATATGCCCATTAATAAATCCAACCCATCATTATATCCAGCAACCCATCAATCCATTCAAACATTCACTACCATTATGTACACTGATGCAACCCCTGACCCCTGAATTCATTGAATCCCTGTAGTGAGAAAGAGCAATATTGATCAATCAGCAACCTCCAGTATCCAGTAGATGCTACAATGGGAATCAAATTCTTTAACAGGTTCAATTATAGACTGATCCAATGATCTATTGGTCAAGGCATTGGAATGGAGCAGAAAACACCAGCCCAGCAACACAGTCTGCCCTGGAGACATGAAGCTCAGTCCAAAGAGGAAGAGAGAGGGAGAGGATGGCTGGCTGGATGCAGTAAGTGGGCTAGAGGAGCAGTCAGCAGGGCAGATCGAGGCTAATGCAGCCAAGCATCAAGTCTTTCCTGATGTGCAAGTTCTGCCCGTCGTGTTTCTCCTCTGGCAGAATGACCTCGGAGCAGCAACTGCCATCACATGTTGTAGCATACTACATCCCTGAGTCATAGCACAATGCCTGCAGCAGTGGCACAGCACAGGCTGAGCGCGCGCACACACACACACACACACACACACACACACACACACACTCAGTACACTCAAGAGTGAAAGCAAAACACTGAGCATCCACAGCTATTTCACATAGGCTACTCTTCACAGGACCAAAATGGCATTCATTCATTCATTCTTTAGATGTGTTTCTGTGTGTGTGTGTGTGTGTGTGTCTGTGTGTGTGTGTGTGTGTGTGTGTGTGTGTGTGTGTGTGTGTATGTGTGGGTGGGGGGTGTCCAGCTGTAAACCACCAATCATATGATGCTACTAAAAAAACAATAGTCATTAACCTAAGTGATGTCTCTATGCACAGTGAGGGCTGCTGTGTCACACGTGTCTAAATGGAACCGCAATCAGCGGTCATATTAAATCATGTCATGCATTAAATGAAGGCCCCAGAACAGCAAAACGCATTGTTCCGGTCTAGTTGTGTTGGGCTTGTCATGCCTGGCACGGCACGAAAGAGCACAGGGAAGAGGCTGCTGCTGGCCAGAGGAAACGAGCAAAGAAGAAAAAAAAAACAGAGGAGAGACGACTGTCCCAGGGTGGCTGCACATCGCCTACGCCCATTCATAATGTGCGTGTTTTACTACCCAGACTCCTGGCATCCCCCTGATCCGTCAGGATTTAGCCTGTACTTGTCCAATCTGTATCCAGTGACGGTGATTTCATTGCGCATACGGCAGCATGTCCACTCTCACTGCATAAGACATGTGTTTGTGAATGTGCCGAATGAATGTGGCTCGAGAATAACCAGTGCCAGTAAATATGGACTGTAATTCTGTATTATTTATATTAGCCTGAATTCAAGTTGTGACAAATAACTAACCACGTATCGAGCGCATCTGTCGCTCATAAATGCTTTAAAATGCCTTTAAAAACAATCAATATCCATCACATCATGGTCCATCACTAACTTAGATCAGTGGTCGCAGCCATGCCAGTCAAACCAGGGGGCTAAACAAAGAAAAAAAAAAAAGGTCAGTCTTTTGTCGCTTCCTATTTAATCTTAATCGGATTTAAATCTCTCCATCGCCTCCCTCAAACAGGGACACGGGTGTAGCCTGCAGGCGTTTTGAAAACGTCCATCAGTTAAATTATTCATTTGGACCTGATAAATATCAGTCCAAATAGCACGAACGGATGCAAGGTGCAGGCGCCTCCGTCTACAGCCGGGCGCTCCTTCATCAGACAATAACACCGGGAAATACCGAGAAAACTCACCTCGTGGTCTGAGGAGACAGACGGACCAGGAGTCTGGGAGGGCTGTCCCCCAAAAAGATCAGTGATGCAGAGGATTTGGAGGGGAAAGGATATTCGTTACTCAAAAATATCGGCTGCGTCCTCCCGGGCGGATGATGGTGGTGATGTGATGTGTGAGGGGGGAGTTGGCTATATGCTGGATGCTGTCATCGTACTGGGACTGCTCCCTGCCTAATCCTCGGCCCTGAGCTCAGAAATAACTCACCCCCCTCCCTCTGTTCGTCTCTCCTCCTCCGCTGTCTGCCCGGAGGACCCCTACCCCTCCTCCACAAGGTCAGTTGGTTACATCAAATAGTAAGAATAAGAATAATTATTCTTAAAATAAAATATTTTAAGATATTTGTTTTTGTAGAGAAAAATGTCATTGTTTGCTTTCCAGTTTTTGTTGGCCTATCAATTTGTTGTAGCCTATTTTATAAATCATATACTCAATCATAATCAATAATATAGCCTACTGGAGCCTACCTATGTCCATCTCAATAAGGTTTCAGTACTGTAAATTTAAATTAATCTACTTTATGTTTATCTTTATTCATAGGGACTTTATCATTTTATTTCTGAAGTGTAATGGGTTGCGCTTTGTATTACAATGTTGTAGCCTATATATTCATGAACAACAACTACTAGGCTACTACTTCTACAAATAATATTACTAATACTAATAATACTAATAATGTTATGAAATAAACTTGACTCAATGACCACTGTAAAACCTAAAACAAATAGATGGGAAACAGGGCTGAATTAGGCAAAGCAGAAAAACTGCCCCAGGGCCCCAGATACTCAGGGAACCTAAGGGCCTCATATTCATTGTGAGTCAGCTAGTTTGTGGTAATTTAATGAATTGCAAATTTGTTTGGCAATCTCGAAGAATAAGGGCAGAAGAGTGGGTCCTGCTACCTGTCTTGTGTCAAAATTTACACAATGTATATTAATTGATCAATTTGTTTTTAACCAAATTACACGAAACAGAGGGTCAATGGGAGCTCAGTGCTCATATTTGCCCAAGTGTCCCCTATAGTGGGTTGATTTGACTATATCAACAGCCCAAATACATTTTATTTTTTCAGAAATCAAGTAATTATTGTTTCCTCCCTCAATAATAAAAACTTTGGCATATTAGTCACAGATGTCTTGTCATTTGTGTTCTAATAACAATTAACATGCTATATCAGCGTGGATAGGACTTTTTTAATACGCTACGTTTACAGTTTTTTCCTCTCTTTATTAACAGAACAATACAAAGAAAACTGATCATTTTAGGAATACAACCAGAGAGGATTTAAATATAATAATGAGACTTTTTAAATAAATGAAAAAACTAATCTAAAAAATAAAATAATATTGTATATAATAATTGTATATAATAAAATGTTACCATATTCAAATGATTATATGTTACATTTATGTGTGCCAGATTTAGTTTTTGCCCTCTGGTGTCTTCGTGCGGTTTGTCCCTCGGTGCGCGCTGCCGGTAACGTCACTTCCGTTGTTGCGTAATTCCGGTTCAGATTATTTCATCCATGCTCCCGAAACGGTGAAATTTCTAACACCGACGGCGGATTGATAAAAGAAAACCCGATAAAATCACAGCCACGATGTTCAAACTGGAAGGACTCGGACCTAAAATGGACCCAGAAGAAATGAGGAAGAAAATGCGACAAGACGTGATCTCATCTTTGAGAAACTTTCTGATTTACGTTGCCCTTCTCAGAGCCAGTGAGTACAGACAGGTGACACGAGCGTTTAGCCAAATACTAATAATACTGACATTTGTAAAAGAGGGTTTCACAGGTATTTAGGTCATGTTTGGTCACCTTATCTATTCATTCAACAACAGCAAACCGAAACGTGGCTCTCTGACTGTTTTCTGCGATTCAGTGTCTCATAGAGGAAGATACAAACATCACAACAACACTAGCTTTCTTGTCTTGAACATACAGGATTCAGAATACCACAAATGTCACTATACTCACACATGTTGCCCACACACTAAGCTACAGTGGGAAGACTGTGCTGATAAATTTCTCAGCATGGCCTTAACCGAGTGTAATCTGTGTTTTCTGTACTTACAGCTCCGTATGTGTTAAAGAAGCTGGACAGCATATGAGTGAAGCAGCTGGTCTCTTCTCTCCTCCATCCACTGAGAGTTGCATCAGAGACGGTACAGACCATCACCATGAGCAGACAGCTGGGGCCATGACAGCACACCCTGTGAGAGACGTCCAGTGTCTGTCCATCACTGCACCGGAGAAAACAAACTTCTCATTTCTAGTCTTGTTGTAAACTGTCCTCTCTACTTTGTTAAATACATTGTGATCATTGTTAAATGTGGTGTTTGATAATGCGCTGCTGAGTCACACAATAAAGAGAAACTATGTTTAATCTGCAAGGCATTATTTATCATTTTGACTCACCTGCAGCAGAAAACTCGGTGTATTTGACCTAAAATTGAAGCTGGCGATGTCTGTATCATAAGTTTACAGCAGGTCTGCAAAAGCTAGTGTAATTCTAGAGCTCTTACTTACAGTGTTACACTGCTCAGAGGTACATGATGAAATACTGAGAAGCTTCCTTTTCTTTTTAATGGGGACCCACTAAGTACTGCCTGTATTTAAGGGGATTTAGGACCTCTAATTGTCAGGTTGTCAGATCTGAATAGGACTCTTTCATATTATTAATACATCAAAGAAATAAAACAATGAAGCAAAGTTTCTTAAAAATAAAATGGTAATTCTAATATGTCTTGTGTAGGATTCTTTACTGGAGTGATGAACCTCCAGGCAATTTCCAATAAAAGAAAATGTCAAAAATATTCCTTAATTGAACTTTAACATATTTACATCGAGTTTCCTTTACACTGTAAAATAAATAGACTGGCAGTGGGCGAACATTTTAAACAAAATGGTGATAAATGAATCTTAACTCAGCTGAGACTTATAGAAAAGATGAGTTGCACTCTCGGAAGATCACCGCCTGGGGGCAGTGTTTTATTCCGAGGATAGGAGAGACTCAGTGATGGAGACATCGACAATGGATGCAAAACTCAGCCTCGTTGTATGAGCTCTGTGAATCATAAACATTAATGTCAATGGAAAAGGCTACAATTCTGGATATTGTCTTTGATTCGCAACCATAAGTGAGAACCAGCTGCGCGGACAGCGGACTGCTTGTGGAGACAAAGCCCGAGTCTGCGTCGCATCTTTCCGCGTTATTGTTGGACCAGGCCCGCCCATACTCCAGAGCATCTCCAGGAAACCCGGCGACAGCAGACTAATGAACCGCTACACATCACAACAGAGGTAGGCTGCGATGAAATGTATCGGAGTCAGCTTGATTACCGTTTTCAACAGATGAGACGTGGATAACGACAGGCGTCTTAAAGCGCTGTCCGTCAGCAGTTTTTTGACAATGACCTTCACTGTGTTAGTGTATCACCAGTAGCACCTCCAAGATTAAATAACCAATTCCACTGTCCATCATGGACTTCCCAGGTCATTTCCAGCACATTTTCAAGCAGCTCAACCACCAGCGCCTCCATGCTCAGCTGTGTGACTGTGTGGTGGTGGTTGGAGGTCAGAGCTTCCAGGCTCACCGCTCCATCCTAGCGGCGTGCAGCTCTCACTTCAGAGCTCTCCTCAGCTCCAATGAAAGTGCTGATGAGATTGGAGGAGCAAGAGCTGACAGAGGTGAAGGTGGAAGCCCCAGTGTGATGGAGTTAGATCCAGAGGTGGTGACCCCCGAGGCCTTCTCCACCCTACTAGAGATGATTTATACCTCCACCCTCTCCCTGGGGGCCTCCAATGTGATGGATGTGCTGTTGGCGGCCTCGCACCTGCACCTGAACACTGTGGTGAAGGCGTGCAAGCTCCACCTGTCCAGGAAAAACTTCCCTACCTCACCGCCTAAAGGATGGAGGTCAGTGCAACAGCAGCTGCAGCAGTGTCCCCCCTCACAGGCAGAGAGGTCGCCCACGCTTCAACACGTCACATCTGCTATGGAGGAGGATGTAGATGAAGAGGGAGTGGGAGTTGAGGTGAGCCAGTCGGGTGGGGTCGAAGATCAGAGGGTAGTCAGTTGTGAACAGGGTGCCGCAGCAGCACCGTCCAACAGACTTAAAAGAAAGTCGTACGAGGACAGGCTCGGCGGCAGGAAGAGAAGCTGCAGGCTGTCCGGGGGAAACTACAAGGAGTGTTCACCTACTGTGACCAGCAGAAGCACTGTCAGCGCAGGGGAAGGAGGAGAAGATCTGCAGTTCCCAGACTGCCTGAAGACAACTGATGGACTCTGGGAGAACAGAGACGAGGAGGTGGAGGAGGAGGAGGAGGAGGAGGAGAAATACGAAGCAACCAAGGGAGAGTCAGAGGAGATCCAGCTGCCGAGCCAGTCAGACAGCAGCACAGGAGGTGTGGATACGTGGGAGAAGAATGGAGATACAGGTGGAGACACAGTGGTTAAAGTAAAGGTGGGAGAAGAAGGTGAGGAAGACGGAGAGGAGCCAAAGATGGAGGTGATTGAGGTGAAAAAGGAAAATCTAAGCGCATATTCCCCAGATTTAGATTGTCCTCCATCTCCACCACAAGACTGCACGGACAATTTGAATGCACAAGTAAATGATGAGAAAATGGCCGCAGTAGCCGACCCAACAGAGGGTGGTGTTAGCTCTTTACCCTCTCAGCTGTGCACAGATCTTCAAAGTGATGAGCACAGAGAGGCTGGAGGTTTGGGTGAGGACTCGGTAGACGGGGAAGGCCTGGACAGCCTGTCAGAGCTGGCCTTCTCCTGCTTCCTTAATCCCAGTGCTGAAAGTGTAATGGGAGCTCTGGAAGAAGAAGACAGCCTAGCTAGTCTCACGGCTGCCGCTACTGCAGCTGCTGCCGCCAGCGATGCTCCTGCAGCTGCTGGTAACATAGGTGAACCGTATCAAAACTCAGAAGAAGCGAATACCTCTTCTGCTCAGTCCTCTGATTCCTCTTCCTCCTCTTCTCTTGTTTTTCCAGTAACTTCTGTCCCCTTGCAGCAGCTTCTCCCGACTCAGAGCCCTGGTTTTAGCGACACGCTCATCCTACAGCCCACTCAAAACACTTTAGCTGGGTTTCTGAGCGGCATCAGACCGGGCCTCAGTCTGGAGGCCTCCCTTGTCCAACCCTCCAGGGTCGGGAAAAGCTCAGGGGCAACAACCTTCCGTCGCATCGCCCCAAAAGTCCCGCCTGGATCAGAAGCCGGCACCGATCCTTCCTCTTCCTCCGGATCAGCGGGAGACGCTGCTGATCGGCCGCCTCTGACCAGAGCTTCGGATGATGTTCTGTCCAAGTGCAAGAAAGCAGCTGCTGAAGACCATGTGCTGTTAGTGGAAGGGGAGAAGAAATATGCCTGCAACATCTGCTGTAAGACGTTCATGAACCTGACTGACTGTAAGAAGCACATTCGCGTCCACACAGGAGAAAAGCCTTATCCCTGTCCAAAGTGTGGCAAACGCTTCAGCCAGTCCTCCCATCTTTACAAGCACTCTAAGAATACCTGTCTAAACTGGAAAGATGACCAGTCATTCCCAGACACGCTACTCTGACCTCTTCGTTAGAGGCACACAATTCTTCCAAAAAAAAAAAAGAAAATCCTGTCAATGACATTATTTATTAATCCCAATCAATTTTTGATCTTGTTACATGAAATCAAAGTCCATTTCCTGATGTATCTCTTAAGTTATTTGATGCTTTTTATGTTTTTATGTTCTCTCATAATTGAAACAAATGAAAATGTTGCCAATCAGATGTGAATGCACTTAAAAAAATGCACTAAATATATTCTCAAACATGGTTTATATCATGGCTGGAAGAGTGATGAGAATAAATAATGCACTTGGTGATTTTTATTGATCTCAAATCTATTTTCTTTTAAACACACTTGCACATAGATTTTACATTTCGACTAAATCATCAGTTTTAATCTTCATAAAAATCCCATTTCACACAAAACTGGAGTGTTGCACTGTTTAGTGACAAAAGACAAGGAACATTATCATTAGAATAAAGTACAGACCAACAAGCACCGCATTTAGAGTGAGAGAGATAACAAACCACTGATTCTGTCTTAAGGGAAACATTTAAAATGCAAATTAGTGAGTGAAATGATTTCTTCAGTTTTACAGCAATTTCACCTCAGACTAGGCATGTACAGTCAGTTGTGTTAAGGACTAAAGTTAAGGAGTGCTGCTAGTTTGTTCATTAGCCACTTTATCATGAACTTGAAAACATGTCTGAGATGAGTGAAACCTTGAACTGAGCATTTCCTTCCTCAGAAATGCACACTGTTCATTAAAAGTGCAATTCTGTCTGACTGTGACAGGATCAAATCAAACTATCAAGTTAACAATCACATCATGTAAACACATATCTGAGAACATCTGAACTACAGTACATTTGTATTGTTACTATTCTTTTCATCCCCTCACTGCTTTGATCCCACATCAGAGACTATTGTCAGACCAGTACACTGCTGTTTTCTGATTTCCACGCAGCACCAGGGGAGGCAGTAGGCACAGCGGCTCCGTTTCAGGCTCTAGAAGGTGAGTTCACTGGGCATTTCTGTGCCCTGTAAACCACCCAGCAGGTTTCGCGCTGACAAGGCTGACATGACACCCCTTGTGGAGTAGGTGGCACTGCCGATGTGCGGCAACACCACTTCACAAGATAAGAGAGGAAAGGAAAGAAAAGAAAAGAAAAAAAATCAAATCAAATCAGGAAGCAAAGTGTGGAAAAAAGAGGCCAAAAAAAAGATATCTCTAGATATTGCAAATACTCACCACAGTTTTTTAGTGTAAGAAGGGGGTGGTTTGTTGGGAGTGGCTCTGGTGTTGTGACGTCCAGTCCAGCTGCTGCTATCTGTCCACTGCTCAAAGCCTCGTACAGATCCTCCTGGTTCACCACAGCCCCCCTAAAATCAACAATTCACCACGTTTTCAGCCTTATGTATTTTCATATTAAACATAGCTGGTGTCAGAAGATGCAGGAGAAAGATTCACAGCCATTAAAAAGTCCATGAGTACAGATATAGAAATATTTCCAATCTGATGCATTGCTCATAATGCACACTCAGCTTTGTGCTGCTTTGGAAGTCTACCTGCTTGAGTTGACGAAGACTGCGGTGTTCTTCATCTTGCTGAAGAAGGCCTTGTCACACAGCCCCTGGGTTTCTGGTGTCAGGGAGCAGGAAACAACGATGAAGTCGCTCTCAGACACAAGTGTGTCCAGGGGAACTGTTGGACAGAGGAGAAAGAGGAGAGGAGAGGAGGAGGAACAAAAGGGGGAGAGAGGAAAAAGATAATAAAAAATGCAGACCTGCTAACCAAAAGCCCTTATTTTCATCAGTTATATAATATTACATTTTCACTTCTCCTTCCAGCCTGTGATTACTGTCTTACTATGCTTTCATCACTGCTTAAGTTTCTCTCCTTATTCTTACCAAACTCTCCTTTCACCTCTGCGGCGTGGGGCTTGGCTGTTCTCCCAGAGTATAGCAGCCTCTTCACTCCAAAGGGCATGAGTCTCTGAGAAATGGCCATACCTGAGCACAAACACAACCAGTTACTCACGTACCAACAGGTCGTAAACTTTGTGAGGAAAATAATGTCACATGTTGCTCGTTAGATATGTCAGCATGGGATTTGGCTACGGGATTGAGTCATATGCCAAAGTTAATGAAGCAATAACAGCAAGCCTTACCAATGCGTCCCAGCCCAATGACTCCTACCGTGCTGCCAGAGAGACCATAACCACACAGCCAGAGAGGTTTCCATGAGCTCCAGCCACCACTGAGAGAGAAACAAAAAGACAGAATGACTATTGGTTGGCTCGATTAAGGCAAAATACTTGTACTTTTAGATTAAAAGCTACACAAACACAATCACCATGAAAAGAAAACACTGATAAGTGTAAATGTGTAACTTGGTGAGACTGACTTTTTGACCTCCTCCACTCCCTCTGGTAATCTGCGAGCAGTGGCCAGCAGCAGAGCTACAGTCAGTTCAGCTGTGGCATCAGTCAGCACATCTGGAGTGTATCCAACACGTATACCACTGCAGAAAACACACAGCAGCATAACTTATAGAGACCACACGAGACTTCATCCTCCTTGTTGAAGGTCGATTTTGTCACTATAAGTTACAGTTTTTCGGTGTGACCTACCGTTTTTTTATTTCATCCATAGCCAAGTGGTCAAACCCCACAGACAGGGTGCTGATGACTTTTAGGTTTGGCCCTGTAATCAGAGAGAGATGAGCTGAAAGACTGAAATCTAGACACTACTACACTTGATTGGCAGACTATTACTACTGTTTGATATGTTTTAATTAAACCTTATTATTAGTTGATTGACAGAAAATTAATCAGCAACAATTTTAATTATCATCAATAACATCAAGTATCAATACCGCAGTATAGAAATACATGTTACAAGTTAAAGTTGTGCATTTAAAATTTGACTTATTAGTATCAAAATATAGTGAAAGGGCCAAAAGTAAAACTACTCATTATGCAGAATGTTCCAGTTCAGAATACTGTACATCACTTTAATATTGCAAATGGTAAAGGTGGGGATTTAACTACTTTATATATGGTTGGGCAGCTTGTCAATTTCCCTACATGGAAAAATAAAGTCTTAACCAATAATAACACATCATAGTTTACTTGTTGATTATATTTTATATCATCATCTCAATCTGGAAATAAAGTAGCAGCTAAAGTTATTAAATAAATCTGGTGGAGTGAAAAGTACAATATCTGCCTCTGAATTGGAGTAGAGTAGAAGTTTAAAGTAGCATAAAATTAAACTAGTGTAGTAAAGTACAAGTACCTCAAAATAGATCTTAAGTACACAGAACTCCCTGGAAGCCAGTACTGATAGTGAATGGATTGGATCGGATCAGATCAGATCAGATCAGATCTATCTGACTGGCTGACATATACAATGACTCGGTTCTACACCCACACATGAGGAGTACCTGCTGCATCCAGAACCTCAGCATCGATCTTGTCTGACAGCAGACACAGAAGACCATGAGCCCCCTGCACACCTTTGAGAAGCTCTGCTTTCGGCACAGGCTCATCCGAGTCCCACAGAGACACTTCACAACTGGAGACAGAAAAGGAAATGGTGGACGTCATTCAGGTATACAGGCAGATTTAGTCATAAAGCCTTTGGTCTGTGGGAAAGCTGACAGTGGTGGAGAGAGTGTGTGTGTGTGGCCCTCGGAGAGGTCACAGGGTTTAATATTTAGATCTGGCAGGCCCTTGGCTGCAGAAGTGTGTAACTGCAGTAAAGGACACACACGCAGTCTGCTGTTGGCTGATAAATGCTGCTTTGCCAATGTCAAATAACAATTAAAAAAACTTCGTACTCTGCGGCCGCTGACAGGATCTTCATCCCCTCCTGCGGGATGCGCCTCGTCACGAAAACCTTCATGAGTTTTCCAGCTGCCTTCATCACACTTTAAATAACTGAATCCTGTGCGGGAAGAAGACTTAAGTCTGTGGGGATACCTCAGCTGTTTTCACCTTCAATGCCTGCAGCGCTCACAGTGAAACAAGTACGCTTCACATGCCCCTCCACACATCAGGAAGTACTTCAGTTCATGTCAGTGCGCCTGCGTGGACTTGTAGCTATATTACTTAAATGGGTGGGTGGGTCTGATGTGCTATCTTTGTCTCTGATGGACGTGTTTTCTGCACAAATCAGATTAAATGTAATGTCAGCGATCAAATTTAAAACCTGTGTCATGTCTATCGTGTTGTCGATCAGGATGTCAACTGTAAAAGTAGCTAAAATAAATAAAATAAGTAAAAAATAAATCAGTCGTCAGTCTGTTAAGACTTGGATCTGCGCCGCTCAGCTGTTTTCTTTACTCATCTATTTAGGAGCAAGTTGTGATTCCCTCTACTCATCTCATCCTAGTAAGGGCATGTTTACATGACTCTGATTCTGCTTCCTGGGTTCGTGTAGTAAAGTAAGGAGAGGACAATGTCATAAGCGGTTGCCGCAAGACGCATGCGCATTGAAATGGTTCAACCCTAAACCAGCAGAAATTAAAAGTTGTAATTTTATTGAGTCATATTGGTGGAAAACAAGTACATTTAGTCACGTGTTCTCTTAACTATAGTTTGAAGTACTATGATACTTTACTTGAGTGTTTACATTTTATGCTACTTTATAATTTTACTCCACTACATTCTCAAAGGGAAATGTTGTACTTTTTAGATTACGATTTTACATACTAAAACATAATGGTCTAATAAATCTGATGCATTAACAGCCTACATATCACAAACTACATAAGAGTCTGAAGTGTTAGATCCATGTCGACAGCCTACAATATTAAAATTCTATTTACATAGAAATGCCTCAGTAATAATCAAATATTATAAAATTATAACTCTGACGGGTCATTTTACTGCCTGATTTCATTTTAGGCTAATAATACTTTTACTTTACTTAATTAAAGCTTAAAGCAGTATTTTTATTTTAGAGTACTTTAACATTATGGTATTGCTACTTTTACTTAGGATCCTGAATACTTCCTCCACCTCTATACCAGCCTAAAACAAGAAACAAGAAGTTTCTTATTTTCATTTTCTACTCACCAATACAATTCAATGACCCCTCATACCCTATGAATGGGGGCATTATCATCATGATTCTCCACCCCAGTTTTTTTCCTTTTATGTGTCACCCGTCTGTATGTGACAGCTATAATTACCATTTAGGCCTACTTCTCAGATTAACATTTTACATAAGACATATGATGAGTTAATGAAATAAACTAAAGTACTAACGTTGCATAAAGTGGTTAAAACTAGTATTTAAAGTGGGTTAAGATATCAGTCATTGATAATACTTATTTACTTTGAGGATTTTTCAGGACTTTTACTTGTGATGGAAAATTATTTTTTAGATTTTTGTACTGGTACTTCTACTAAGCAAACAAGCCTTTTTATGGCCACTGCGGGTTGGACGTTGAGGTACGTGAACGTTTGAGTGCGTATGACGTCATTGTCCATTCCCCCGTATACTCTCCTTCTCTGGGGAAACCGCTGGGCTGTAAATGGTGAAGTCTTCACCCTCGAAGCATAACAGAGGGCGGAATAAGGAGCTCCCGGTACAAACTAATAGGCACCAAAGGAGGATACTGGAGTGGGCGCCCGGTCTGGAAAACGTGAGTAGTTTCTCTCATTTGGGAGGTTTTTAATTATTTATCCGTGTTGTCTTGTACACAGCAGCAGTAGCAGCCAACGTTATGGTCAGCTGTTAGCGACTGGCTGTAACAGGCTACACAGCCTGTTGTTTGTGGTTTGGTGCAGTAACGACGTGCGGTCTGTTCTCAGCTCGGCAGGCAGGACCAAACCACTTCATTACGATTCCTCACTTGTTCACAGCGTCAGGATATAGAGTGAGTGGATTACCTGCAAGCAACGAGCTGGAGCCTTATCGAATTAATTGCTGCCATATAATACAGGCGTTACCACACTGTTCATGTCTTAGGGACTGTCAGAAAAAAGACTCAAGAAACCTTTTATGGAAGGTTTTAGTACTGTTAATAACGTGAATTAAATGTGTGGCCTACAAAGCTATTCAGAAAATAATGTGCCAACCTCCAGCTATGTCATTTTTATATTCGTTATTTTTATAGGTCAGTTTTACGGTAATAATGACCTGAGGCACATCCTTAAATGCAGGTACTTTTATCAACAATAATTATATCCCATCTAAGCCCAACAAGGAACTTAATTATCAGTGTTTAATTTCATATAAATTCTATTATTATAGTCTTCCTGTATTTTCTGCCTGTTTGTTTTAATGACATACCTAATAAAAGAAAAAGTGTGGTATATTGACAGTGCAGTTTCATGTTGATGAGTGGATGAATGAGTGAATGAATGGCAATAAATTCTATCTTTGATTGAAGATATGGATTAAATTGTCAACCACACTATGTGCGTTTTTTTCCTACCTTGGTATTGATATGTATTGTAGAAATATTGTGACATTTTCTTAAAACTCAACTGAGAAATTCTTTATAGATTAAATAATAAGATAAAATGTTTGCTTTACTCTAATGTTGTGAGGTGAATTCCTAACAAGTCCAGTTACTTCATCACATTGAAGCCATGATCAAATCCATTAATGTCATTAAGCAATCTTGGCCCAATACAAACCAGCGATATGACAAAATCTAGTATATAGTATATGTAGCTCATGGTATGTACCCACATATTGCCTAACACTACCTCCACTGGATGAAACAACCATGAAAGGATTGTGAAAACTATTCCTTCCAAATTATGTAACTCCCTGAACCAAACACCTGGCATCCTCTGACTTCTTTATCTCTGACACAAAGCCTATTTATTGAATGTAATCAAACCCAAATATTCACGTGTCATTCCAGAAATAAATACCAGTAATTGCCCCGCCCACTGCACACTTTTGGCTGTGGAACCTGCAGAGCCTGTCTGAGCCTGCCAGCAACAGCAGGTTTACTGGAGACAGACCTGTACTGTGTAATGGCTCTGTTGACCCTGCACAGGATCCCATCCCTGGCCACTGCTCAAGTGAGTTCACTCATCCCCACACCTTGTTGTATGCAAACAAATTTGGCATTTTTGCATCATATCCTAAGACAAATCATTGTTTACTCTTGCTTCAGTAAGAGTGATTCAGAACTATGTGAGCTGTTCGTGTTGGGCCCTGGTAGTTCTGCATGAAGAGCAGTTGTTCCTGAATGTGTCCCTTTGTGGATATCATCAGTGTATTTGCCTAAATGATAATGAGGCTGTTTGGTTTTTAAATTGTTGCCTGGGATGTGATTGGACAGGGCAAACATGCCACAGATAAATGGTCATCACATTCAAATTTCATTACAGCCACGTCAGAGAGTGATTGAATCACTGTCACTGTAGCTGTTTAATGCATACATACAATCATATAAACACTGTATCATCAGCCTCTGTCTGTAACTTCTCTCTTCTCCTCTCATTCTTTCATTAAGATGATTTAACTTTATGTCAAAGGCTTGGCTTTTCTCCTGGACTTTATCATTGCCAACTAAACCATAGATGACCTGACTGTAGGTCCAAGTCTCATTTTCTTTGCATATTTTGTCACAGGATCTAATCACTCTCCTATCTTAACTTGTGTTCTCTCCTTTTTTTTTCTTCTTCAAACCCTCATCGTTCCTCTCCTGGCTCCTGCCCACTTCTCCTCTTTAATTTCTGTTTTTTTCTTTCTTGACTCTGTCTGGACTTGTCAGTTGCGTAACAGGTAATGTTACTGTCTCAAGTTTGTTTCTCTGTAAACCCTTGCTACTACTGCTACTTCTCTCTTTTTTCTTTCTCCCTCCTCTTTCTTGTATTGAATCTTTCCTTTATTTTTATGTTTTTCTTCTGTCTTTTCACTGCCAATCTCTTTGTTTTTATCTTCCCCCCCTTAGTGTCCGCTTCCCTCTACTTGCATATCACTCTTTGTCTCCGTCTTCCACTGCACCTTATCTGTGTTGCACCACATTTCACCCAAGAAAATGACTACAATTTTATTCCAGACATTTGTGTTCACACTTTCAACAGGAAAAACATCACACACACTCCCACGAATGCTCCCAGAAAGCTTGTTATGGTGTTTAAACACATTTTTTCTTCATCAAGTTAGAAATGTGCCCGTTTGGGAGCATTAGAAACAGTGAGCATCGTTTCCTCATAGTAATTAGTGTTTTGCAGCCTCTGCATCCGCTGACAACTTTCTTTGGGATGTGAATATAAAAAACCCTTTTTCAAATTTATAAACAGACTGCACAACAGAAACTGTGCAGTCTGCCATACTGAGTTAACTGTGGTAAAAAAAAATAAATTATAAAAATCAACATCAATTTAAAAAAAGCAACCATTTGCATAATTTAGCTTTGCGCACAAAAACTGAATCACACACAACCACAACAGAGGCTAAATATTTTCCAGTCTTATTGATGAGCCTTTCTTTGATTTATTTTATTTTGTAAGGATGAAAGCCTCCAAAGAAGAGGGAGACTTCAGAAAAGGTAGCTATACGCCTGTGTTGTCTCTGATTTGTCATTTAATTACACTCGTAACAAAATGATAACCAGCTTCTTGATGACAGCAATTTTAGACCGACTGATGTCTGTTTGCTTCTAGGGAGAGCTTTGCCCTTGTGAAGGGGGCGGTCCTTCTGCTGGAAGACGGCGAGGGGCTGGACCTTCATGATGAGACTTCTCCCACTGCGACTTCTCCCGTGAAACAGGGCAGTGGAGCGTCAGATACACGGCACAGGCACCTCCATGCCATGATTGAACAGCTCAGACCAGAAGATACCATCAAGCTGGTGAGGCCTCATGTTTCCACACACATTGCAAATCAGATCAGACATGAAATATACCATGCAGATAAGGTTCTGTTTGTGACCCAGTTATTAAAGTACAAGTAGTCTATTTACAATTGAAATCGTATCTGGTCAAAATATCAGAATCGATCCAATACACAGGACTGGTACTAGTATCAATACTGATTTTATTAAGTTAACTGATTATCTGAAATGATGTGACCAATCCACACTCCAAATGTTCTTTATTAATGTCACCATAAAACTCACTGTTTCTGCTATCAATCATTCATTCATTCATTCTGTCACTGCTGGTCACTAAGTTTTTAGCACCATAGCATCCTTGGCCTTATGCTACCTTTTTTATTATAATTATTCCAATGAATTTCATGCAACAAAGTTTGTAGATTTTGGATGTTGGGGAGTAAGAGAGCGCTGGTGTTGCCTGGTTACTCAGAAACTCTGAGATTAGGCATCTTGGATCAGCGCATCACTACAAACCAGGGACAGCTCCATCATTGGAGTAATTCACTTCCTCTGTATTAAAACTAACTTGAAGATGAGTCAGAGGGTGCAGCTGCATTTTTTACATTTAATTATGCTGCAGTATGTGGACAGTGTTGCTGTCCTGCTGGTACACAGCTATATTCTGTAAATTGTTATGGTCAACATGACAGGATATTAAACTAAACATGTAAGCTAAATACCACATCAGTGGACTACACTGGTTGCTTTGTATGTTTCACTACTGCAAAAGATCGTAATACTGATGCTTTCCAGATCATTGCACTGATTTTGAGCTTGACTATAAAAGTTTTCCAGGCAGCTGCTGGATTCATTTCATCACTAAAATATGAAAAATAATTGATTGAACAGTTGGGTTTTTTTCCCCCTCGTCAGCTCTGTTAACATGCTGGCATCATGAAGAAAATCAAATATAGGAGTTAAACAAAAAGCAAACATGGATGTTATACAAACACTTTACATTTCAGTATCTTATATTAAAAATGTTGTTTAGTATTGAGCTCTTAAGGCATTTTTCTCAGACACCAACATGGAAGAATGTTTAAAATACTGTAATTTGTGCTTTCAGCTGTATCACCTGAATAATAATTCAATTTGATGGATTACCCAAAATAAACTGAAACCAGATGTTTTCTGGATGGCAGAAAAAAACAAATCAATCAATTTAAATATACAGGATTTAGAGTTAATGGGCTAAAAAAAAAAAAACACAGGTATGGTCCTTTAAGTGGACTTCAGCCAGTGTCTGGGTTTCTCTGTAAACATAACACTGACTTCCTTGATTTGATTTTCTCAGGAAGGCCAAGGAAAATATACCGCACAGGATATTTTGCCCTGTGTGTAATCAGACACGTTTATTGAGTTTAATGGGTAACTCCAGACTTCAGAGGAAACAAAAAAAATACATTGGTTTTTATGATTATTGTATCATCATTATCCTCTCTTTCTCCTTTCTGTCTCACACAACCTCTGCCTGTGCCTCCCTGCTGCTCTGGTCCTCTCTGCAGGCGGTGCAGCTGGAGTCCGTCAGCCCCGTCAGAGTCAGGTATCTGATCGTGGTTTCCACCGTTGGCAGCAAACAGGAGAGCATCCTGCTGGGCATGGATTTCCCCAACTCAGACAGGTGTGTGTAACCAAGATGCTGGCATACTGTTTCACAAAGAGAGCACAAGATAAGATTTCCATTCAGTTAACAATTTCAGGATCAGCTTTGACATTTTAAACGTACTTCCTTGTCTTCAGTCTCTGTGTGCTCACTACCTCTTTGCAGTAATCAGTGCACCATCGGCCTGGTTCTGCCGGTATGGAGTGACACGCAAGTGTATCTCGATGGAGATGGGTAAGAAACATTTTTAAAAGAGTATTGAATTAGAAGTATAAAAGCACATGCGAGGAATTTGTGTGGCTGCATCACAGACGGTGCAGCTTGATGTCTGGGATTCTGGCCAGAGATAATGAGAATGAGTAATGACTATTTATGGAGTTAAATCATTCTCCTTGAATTACAACTGCTCCTATCACTCACTCAGACGCTTACATAAGCATGGAGGTCATGTGTTTTTGAAAGTTAAGTATTGCTGGTTTCTTTCTGTGTCCTAACGTAAAGGTCAGTGAGAGTTTAGCTGCTGAAAGTTCTGGTAAATATACTCCCTGGTTGCATTGCAGTGCATCCAGAGCCCCAAAATATTCACTCCAGCTGAGTTTCAGTATACATTTTTTGCCTCACATCACAGTTTTTGTTATAAATGTGGCAACCCTTGAGCTCAGAGGAGGATGTAGAGAGGAACACTGTGAAACTAAGAGTTAGCAGGTCTAAAAACAGTCAGGATCACATGGTGCAGTGACAACTACTGTGTTTTAACTAATCTGCCATCACACACTGATTGTCACGCAAGAGGCTTTGATCAGCTGCCATGTCACACCAGCGTGTTCAGCCTCGTTAGGCTGGATCGCACCTCCGAATGTGCTTATTTCTCTTTCTCACTCATCCTCATTTTTTTTTTCCCACACTTTCTTCACAAGAACCGTCACTAATTTACTGCGGATAATTGAATAATTTGAGTGCGTATTCATTGTCAGTCTACTAGGAGTTGTGCTCATAATGCTTCTTATCAGTCTGACTTCCTCTTTTCTCTTTCATCTCCTCTGCTTCCTCTGACTTAATTATAAGTTCATGTTTATGTCATTTGTCCACAGTGGTTTTAGCGTGACCTCTGCCGAAGAGACCAGAATTTTTAAGCCTGTTTCCATGCAGACCATGTGGTGAGTAAAATGCTGACACCGGGGAATTAACACCAAGCATGAGTGTCCTTTTTATGGCATCCAGCACACATCACATCCTAAAGTAACTCATCAAGACCTCCTCAACTTAAAAAAAAAAACCAAAAAACAAAACTGTCCTCAACCTAATGTAGTGACATATTTCTTGGCTTTCTCCCCTCCGTTGTAAGGTCAGTGCTGCAAGTGTTGCACGGCTGCTGCGAGCGGGCGGTGAAGGCAGCGGTGATCCCAGGCTGTGGCCTGGAGTGGGCCCAGCACTACAACAAGCACATCGAGTCAGATCGCTTCTGCCTCAATGAGTGGGAGGCCATGAACGACCTGGAGTCAGTCCGCAAGGACATTAACGGACAGAGGTATGTGTCTGTTCTGTTTGAATTCAGTGTGTCTTATTTATTCTTTTGTCTGGGTGAGCCACACTGAAGCGTTGTCTTCCACTGCCAGTGGTGGAACAAGTATTTATTTAAGTGAAAGTAGAAATACAGCATTCTCCACTACATTGAGACCAGCATTCAAAATCTTATATAAGTAGGAGTACAGGAGCATTATTAGCAAAATATACTTACTAGATATCTAAAGTAAAAGCACTAGCTAAATAGCTCCATATGAGTGTTAAATTATTATATGTTGTATATTTGGAAAGTTAATACTGATGCATTGATGTGTTCTTGATCGGTAAAGTAATTAGTAACTAACATTAAATAACTCATTACCCTCTGAACTGTAGTAGAATAAAAGTATTAAGTAGCATCAAGTGGAAATTCTTAAGTAAACTACAAGTACCTCAAAACTGAGTGTACTGAGTTACATTCCACTGTCTGCTGCTTTAAATGTTGAAATAAAATGGAAATTATCATCTGTGCTTATTGCTCACGCACACCTGTCAATTTGTACTAAAGTTTCACTTTTCCTTGTATGGGAAGCTCGGCAGACAGAGTCTCCAACGAGAGTCTGATCAAAGAGCACCTGAGAGACATTATGAGGACCGAAGACCTGGACAACCTCACATCTAAAATGGTGAGACTTTGGCAGATGTGAAGAGGAAATAGTCTTGAATAAAGACATAAAACTACTAGAGCAGGACCGTAGAATATAATGGGTCAAATATATAAGAGACTGTTTGCAAGCCTGTATGATTTGATCTTTCCTTTGCTCTGCTGTAGGTGCACTCTGCCCTGGAGACGAGGATAGGCTTCGATATGAGACCTTACAAGGAGTACATTGACAATGAGATCCTGGTCACCATGGCTCAGATGGACAAACCCTCTAAAATATTTGACTATCTTTATCTGGTGAGTGAATGCTCGGCTTCAAAGACAGTAATAAGTTTTCTTTTACCACCATGCTTTCTTTTGCTTTGGCCAGGAAACTTACGGAAGTGTGCTCTCACCAGGATGTTGTATGTGAATGTAACTTCCCCTTTGGGTGTTGACAGTGATAGGGAAGACGGCTGTGCAGGCCCTTTCCTTTTTGTCCTCTGTGCCCTCAACTGAACATCTCTTTCTTTATCTGGTTTCAGGGCTCTGAGTGGAACGCAGCGAACTTTGAGGAGCTGCAGAAAAACAAGTCAGTGTTTTCACCTGCCAACATTTTATATAGCTCTGTGCATTCTTGTTTTTGTCACTAGTTTCCATTGTCTCATGACATGGGTGATACTCAATTGCGTATTGTGTTTTGTTGAGTCACCACCGTGCCTCTAAGTGTGCGTCTGTGTGTTTTTCAGTATCGGCTACATTCTGAATGTGACGAGAGAGATTGACAACTTTTTCCCAGAGTCCTTCACTTACATGAACATCAGAGTGTACGATGTCGAAGCAACCGACCTGCTCCCCCACTGGACAGACACATACACCTTCATCGACCAAGCAAGGTAGTCCTGAAACCCTACACACATTAGAGGACATTTGAAGGTGTGTATCAGCATTGGCCAGTCTTTTGCAGGTTACAGCTGTAGACAAACACACAGCCATCACATTTCCGTCATCAATCACGTCACATTTAGATTTGTCCAGTTACCAGATATTAAAATCAAACATGTTAATTTATTTGTGACTGCTCTGACTCCTGCATCGTTACGCACACCAGTGCAGATTTAAACTCCTTTCCACTCAGTTCAAGCTGTGTGAACGATGTCTACAAACTCAGACTGAACTGTGAAACTTCTTGACTGCATTATCCAAACAGAGTGTAACAGAGAAAATAGCGCTTTGCATTTGGACTCTCTAAAGAAAAACTAGTTAGGTTTCCCTCTCCATTTGTTTGTTTTTGGGGATGTGAGCTCCTTCACACTCCCCTGCTGGATGAAACTTGCAGTAATAAAGTGTGCTAATGTGCTTTTCAGGTACTAGCAAGGACACGGTACACAGGAATATCTATGAATGAGATTAATAAGAAGTAGCGTTTATGTTACATCTGCAGCTTCCGCGCACCCTGTGAGCTTGTGTGGCAGTTCAAACCGCAGTAGGTCAACCAGTCAGTATTGCTAAATTATGAAAGCTGCCACCTGTTCACAAGCTAGCAGCTTTTTTATTATGTTTTAAAACATTGCCTGTCAAGCTTACCAAGCTAACCACCTCAACATGTACATTTCAGCGGGGTATCCAGTGACTTAACACCATTATTCTTCCACTATTTGTCACAAACTGTCAAAAACAAACTCTCTAAACCAATGACTGAGCTTCTCTTGATCTCTGTGTATTACAGGAAGAGTGGACAGGCGGTGTTGGTGCACTGCAAGATGGGCGTTTCTCGCTCTGCATCCACAGTGATTGCCTACGCCATGAAGCAGCAGCGCTGGCCGCTGGATGTGGCGTTAGCGTATGTCAGGGATCGCCGGTCCATCATTAAGCCCAACGAGGGCTTCATGAAGCAGCTCCACACCTACAACGGCATCCTCAACGCAAGGTCAGGCATGGTGTTAGGCCTACTAGTGTTTGAAGATCTCTATTCCAAAATGTAAAATATCAACTTTTTTTTTTTTTTTTTAGTTTGCCTTTGTTTGACTTTTTTGATGTTGATTTATGGGCTCATGTGAGGATTGTGCCATCTGTTCATTCATCATTCCAGCCAGCAGCGTCACAGCACACTCTGGAGGCGAAAGTCGAGAGACCAAAGACAGAAGTCAGTACGCAAGGAGGAGAGAAGAGAGGAGGGAAAGCCAGAAGAGGATGAGGATGAGGAGGAGGATGAGGAGGAGGATGAGGATGAGGATGAGGATGAGGATGAGGGACTTGATGAAGAGGAGGACGTAGAGAGTCCAGATGAAAAAGATTCCGGCAGCCCGGATGAAAAAGATGAATCCGAGGAAGACACAGAGGTAATTACTTACAACAATGATATGTTTTTAGCATTTTATATCCTATAGATTTTTTTTATTTTTATGGCTTCAACTCTTTTACTTTCTCAAACACACCCAGGTATTTGAAGAACCCACCCCCACATCTGACACCAACCAGGAACCTGGGCAGACAGGACCACCAAGTGTCAATCCCGTAATCACTGTAAATGAACCAGAAAAGGTGCGCAGGCCTCCTGACACTATGTTACTCGCGCACACTTCATCTGAGGATGTGTATCTTCCCATGTATCAGTAACCTTCACTAATTTTTTGGATATTCTATTTGTTTCTGTCATCTCCAGGTTGCTCCAAGTGTTAATCGCAGCGGCAGGATGAACCTCTTCTCCCTCATGCAGTCCATTAGCGAACTGGATGACGAGGATAAGGGATGTGAACAGGTAAATGAAACAGTGTGCTGGGAGGAATGACCAAGCAAACTTACAGTTTGCCTTTCATACTCTTTGTTGTTGTTGTTGTGAGTAGACCTCTCAGACAAATGGCTGATGTGTTGATTGAAGACATTTCCTCTGGAAAGAGGGAGGAGATGCGTAGACCCAAAACCTTCAAGTAAATGTAATTGTACTTGAATTTAATTTTACTTCAAGTTTTTGTAGTTGAGCTGTAGACTTGTGATATTGCACATATCTTTTTCAGCTTCATTTCCCTGACCTTTACAGGGAAATTTTATTAATTTAACTCAATTTTATTTAATGAATTAAACTCAATTCATTTAAGTAAATTTAATTCAAATATTAGTTTCAATAAAATAAAATGAACTCATTTTCATTCAAGTGAATTTAGTTTAATTGAATGTAATGTAATATAATTCAGTAAATTTAATATAAAAATGTAATACATTTAATAGCTTTTATTAAATTCAAAGTCTTCTCTACATATATTATGTGAGACTGGACAGACATGAATGTGAACTGCAACTTGACTAGTTGGCAGAGGCATACAACCGCAAGACAGTAATTCTGCTTATTATTGATTAACCTGTTATTTTCTCAATTAATTGCTTAATCATTCAGTCTGACTGTGATGTCTTCACTTTGCTTGTTTAGTCCATCTAACAATCCTAAATATTTAGTTTACTTTCATATATGACAGAGACAAACAGCAAATTGTCACATTTGAGAAGCAGGAACAAGATAATATTTGTATTTTTTCTTGGATTATCATTTTATCTGCCGATTCATTCATTCATTCATCCACCAATCAGCTAATCGATTGATCAGCTCTAGTGCCAGTGCTCATCCAATTCTATAAGTAACTACTCTGCGACTTTATTATTCTTCAAAGCTTCCTGGCAGTCCGAGGCATTCTCCAGGACAGAGGAAGCGAAGCCACATGCGCCGAGGTCTGACTCACCAGAGAGCATGTGTGGATGTTTCACCTGAACCACGCAACCTGCTGGATGCAGGTCAAAGTAAACCCTAAAGTAACGAAAGACATGGGAGAGCAGGAAGGGAGAGGGTCCTATAAAGGAGGCAGAGAGGAGGAAAAGCATTGTGGGGGAAAAGTCTGGACTATGAAAGTTGAAATTTTTTCTGGTAACATGCCATGGTTTTTATACTCTGCTGTGCTCTGGCTCAGTTGCATATTTTAGATTATTTTGGTGTTGAAAGTTTTAATTTATGTTTTGAAGGTCATTTTCATTGTACTTTCTTTGCATTTCTCTGTTCATAATTATTATAACTGGTAACTAATTATAAAAGGATCCTGCTGCAGCATTGCTATACCAGTAAAGGCCAGGATTCTGATTGATACATTGTTGTATTATGATGGTTTATACAGTGTTTTTAGAACATATCCTACCACATAGACATAGAAGTCTCTCCCTCCATGTAGCGTCCTCTTTCTCAAGCTCCCTTTTTACCATTTCCCTTCTTAAACTCTCACTCTAGAGATTATATGCTATGCAATTACTGTTCTCTGTAAATATGAGGCTGTATGCTGCCAATCCAAGGTAAACAGTTTGAAATAATTTTCATATTCTCTCATCAGAAGTTTTTTTTTTTTTTTTTAACAAGCGTACATTGCTCACAGATGGGAGGATTGTACTGTCTAAGCTGTGCATTATGGACCAAGTTAGGGCCAGTTTTGTGGCACAAGCCTGTTTGCCAAACTATGTATTCCAATGTGCCAATTAATATATATTTAATTGAAAATCTTTATCATGTCAGTATATTAAAAACGTCTCCCATTTTATTTTTGTTCATTCTATGTAAACACCAGGGCTATATGAGTGCCTTCAACCTGAGAATGAAATACGACTCTATGACTGGTGTTTTTAATGTTTTTACTAAGAGGTGGTGGCCAAATATTGTATGTGTCTTGTACTGTTTCTCACTTGGTTTGATTGCAGTATAAATTTGACTTCCTAAGGTTTTGCATGTATGCGTAATGCAGATATATATACAGTATGTATGTATCGACACAAAATTGCTGATGAACTGGGTGCATGTTATGTGTTTTTATACCAGCCTGTGAGAGCAAATTGTTCAGGGTTTTCTCATGTATTTATATGGACATTTAATGGATAAATTATTCAATACATTCTTTTCAGATTGATGATCACTAGATGCTGACGTGGAGCATTCTTATTTCATGCTGGTGTTATCCAATGAACCCTAGTTACAGCTCACTTTACATTTAATCTGCATGTTCACCGTAAATGAAAAAAAAAGAAACCATGCACTTTATAATCCCACAACACACTGTTCCCACTGCCTGAGCCAATGTCACGCTGTACTATGATCAAAATGGTCAGACTTTTTTTTTTTTTTTTTTTTAAATCTGAAGTCAACATTTCTATGCCTTCTTGTGTTAAGCTCTCCACTGTCTGCACCTCACTCTTGTTTACAACAAGCACTATGAGTGAAAAATAAATGATTATCCTCAAACCAACTGCTTTGTTCCTTGATTAAATAACACACCAGAGCAGAGAGAGCAGACTGGTTATATTCAGAAACATTTTATCCACATGAAACAAACAGAGGGACAAGCAACATTATTTTCAGCGCTCATTTTGATTCTCTCTGTATTGTAATTCACTGTAGTGCTTGTCATCTTAATATCAGTACAGTGATAAACTCACAACATAGCAGATATAGTAAGGGTTACAGAGGATATTTTAATAAAACAGCAAATGTGATAGATGACACCAAAATTTAGGTCCCAATGTATTTTCTTCTGGGTTCACTGAGCGTGATTCCTCCTTCTTTCATTCCTTTCCTGAAAGCCTGAACCTGTGAAAGGGAAAAAAAAAAAAAATCAGGAAGTGAAGAACATGAAGCAGGTGAAAAAGACATACAAATCATTTCTCTAACAGCAATTCATGCTTTATGTACTCACAGCGTCAGAGCGATAGGCCCAGGGAATAGCCCTGTACACCATCCTGGTGATGCCAGCCTGTTGACATCGACGTGCCAGCACCTCACCCACAGCCTGACATGCTGCCACACACCTTGTAGAAGCCAATTCCTTTTTCAATGCCCACTCTGTGGTTGAGCAGGTCAACACTGGGATAGGAGAACTGCTGGAGAACACTTGTGCCGTCACATAATGTTGGGTGCGAGAAAACACCAACCTGAAAAGAGACAAACGTGGTAAAACATGAGAAACAGGAGGATGCGAGGGTTAGAGAATATGAGTGAAATAAAAATCATGATAAAAGAATATTTTTCCTATAACACTATACATCTTTATATGGAAAATGAGATTCACCAATCAATCAAAATAATATTCAATGCCAAAACAAGACTTTAATGGTTTACTTTTTAGATTACAATTTGTTTGGAATTATTCCTTTGGAAAACACAGTATTGTAACCAATATCAACCAATGTCGCCACTGACAACATGATAATATTGAATTACTTCCCATTCCTAGAGGAGTCCCTTTAAGATCACACTGAGAGGCAAATCAACTGAATATCTGCATGCACACAGAATTTAGGTAAAAAACATGAACAATAATACAGTAACTCTACCTGTTCTTTAAAGTCTTTTATCTTTTCTATCTTTTGATTTGTTATTGACCTTTTTTTTTATCTATTAAGAGATACACACAATTTTGGTGCCAAAGACACTTAAGGCCAATTAATCTCGATCTCATTTGTGAAATACTGAGAAAATGCTGTTGACACTGCAATAAAAATGAGAAATGAATCACCTGATTTTACAAAGAGCTAAAAAAAAAAGTGTGACTTTAAAGACAACTGTTCCTCGTACACACAGACCTGTGGTAGAACTCCCGGTGGGGCCAGGTCGTTTTCCAGCCCCGGTCCTTCACAGCCAGCGCCATCTGCTCCAGGTTCCGGGGGTTTCTGTTCACAAAGGTCGGGTTCACGGCTTCATTTTCGTTCGCGCTGGGCTCCGGCTGAGAGGCTGCTTGGCTGAGACACCGAGCTGGGAGACGGACAACAGGTAGATAGGCTATTTGATAACTATTTGGATTAAACTAGCCACTACAATCAACCTGTTAAATAACGTTAACTGACACACCGGTGTGTAAGTAGCTGAAGAGAATAAAGGTTAAGCAGTTGTGACTTACCTGTCTGGTTTGTAGCCGCAACCGGGCGACAGCGTTGAATTTGACCTAACAACTGGCGCACACAGCGATTTAAATCACTCAGAGCCATTTATTCCTCAGCTGTGTTCACCTCACAAAGTAAAACACAGGGTCGGTCAGTGTGCTAGCATCTGGTAAGGCTTTATGTCCTTAAAAACATACTGTGGAACAATTTGCTACGAGTTCAGCGTGACATGTCCGGCGCCATCTTTGACATTCAGACAACATCCGGTTAACTTACCGGTGCCACAGCAGAAACAGCACGGACAGAAACAACCCTCTTTAACTCTTATAAGATCCACTTACACGTCTGCATCAAGAATAATAGGATTTGCCGTCTATTTACTCTACAATAATTTCCAGTGCTGGAAAGTAACTCAGTACTTTTTCTTAAGTATGATTTTGAATGCAAGACTTCATATATAATGAATTATTAATACCTATTATATTTTATTTACATGTTCTATCACTTATATGTACTTTGATGTAAAGCACACTGAGTTTACTTAAAATTAAATGTGCTTTATTTCTCCTTTCCTTTACATTGTGGTATTCTTCCGTATATTTACACTCAAAGGATTTAAGTACTTCTTCCATCACTGTATAGTATAGTCAAACATATAAATGACACAATAGTGCGACTACACAACAGGTAAGGTAGCCTGTTCAGTCAATGACTTCCCACAATAAGATTAAACAAGAAATTTTTTTATTTCAGTTCAGATTTTACAGTGCAAACCAGCAGAAAAAAAGAGACACGTGTCTAGAGCAGAGTGTTGTTTAAAGTGGTGACATGTTAATGGATGATATTATATGTCCAAATGAATAAACAAGCACTCAGTCCCAGTAAGGCACCTGGAAACACTACCAATAAATACCTGTTGTGTGTTGTGCTTGGAAGACATGACATGACAATGAGTGGAAAGTACCTTTGGCTCATGAACATCCTTGAGATAATCCTGCTGATCCCTGCTGTCATTTGACAAATTCTACAGGACTGGCTTATTAAAGTACAATACACCAGTTCAACAATCACACATTCCCTTAAACTGCAGAAGAGATTCATTAATTGATGTACTTTCCCTTTCATAACTGAAGATTATAAAGCGAGAAGTAAATGATTACTATCCCTTTCACTACTGAAAGAGTAATTAGAAAGCATTACATAACACTGAGAGTGGAAAAAATTAGCATTGAGATACAAAAGTATGTTTTTCATTTCATATAATGTACTTGTAATTCATAATAAAAGGAATCATTTTCATTCTAGTGATGCAAAAATAACAGTCATCATGATCACTGTGCAAGTCAATTAAACCATTTCATAGCCTACAGGCAGTAGAATACCACTGTTAAAGGCAGGGTTATTCTGAAGTGTTGCAGTCCAAGTACTCAATAATATACATAAATTAACGTAACCGTTTGGCAATACTAAGCAATAACTTGGCAGATCATACAGCAGCTGATCCATTGATCAGAGATGAGAAAGAGAAAGGGCTCAGCTTGTAGCCTGTTCCACTATAGAACTTGTTCTGAAACTCCACCCTGCAAGAGATGGGAGCAGAGTCAGCATAAAATACAAAATACAAAAAAATACATAATCAATTTTTATCCACCCACACAATTTCTCTACCTCCTTAAACAATCCTGTCCACTTCATTCTAAATTGGACTTTAAGCTGAATATAAAGTTTGATTTACAAATGATTGATTTGGTGATGCTCTGAACTTTCGTATGGTTTGGTATGGCTTTTCATTTTCTTTCTTTAAAAAATGTGGTTCCTCAAGTGAGTTTAGTGGGTTGTTTATCAATCTTAGATTGATGTCATCTTGAATAACACTGCAATCATATTTGGAAATAATTCATAATTTTTTCTCAGACTCATATGTTCTCTTTTAAAATCTCACTTATATCAATGTTTTTCATCATCCCTCTTAAATAAGGAGTCATTTGAATCTGAAAATTAGTTTTGCAGGTTTAGACCTAAGGATTTGTTAATCTGAAAATAGTTCCATATTATTTTAAGACAGCTCTGAATGGAACAGGGCCATTTTCCCCTTTGTCCTGTCCTTCCCCTCATTCTTACCAGTGCAGACGGAGCGCATGGAGGAAAGCTGAGAGGCCCTCCATAACAAGCAGAATGGAGACAGTCAACACAGCAAAGAAGGCAAAAATCACAAAAAGGACCACAGATCCCATATAGCCAGACCACTTCAGGGCAAGACGCATCACCATCACCCACAACACCTCTGACAGCTCTGTGGAGACACAAATAACTCACCATCACATAACCATAACTGGTTGGAACAAAACCATCATGTGTTTAAATAACTGGCTCAAAAAAGAATAGTATGAGTGTGTTTGGTTTTAAAGAGGAAGTCTGTCCATTTGTATACATCATGT